CGCGCCGCCGCAACCACCGGTGAGCGCACCGGCGGCGATAGGGTTGACGTAGTCGTCCTTCTTGCGGACGTAGAACATTGTACACTCGAAGCTGGCAAACAGTGTGCCCCAGACGGCGAACGCACCGCCCATCTTTGGTGCGTTCTTTCTGATCAGTGAGAATGCTCCCATTGCCTTCTCTCCTCTTGGTGCATTCCTCACACCTTTAAATGTATTGGCCAGTGTAGACAGTGTGCTGCCCATTGTGAACGTGACTCCAATGTCTGTCCAAATCTTCTCTGGGCATACTTGTCCTTCCATTCTTCTATATTATTATTATATATGTTATATGTATGTATGTTATGTGTATGTTGATGTTGATATTAAAGTGTATCTCTCTTTTATAAAGTGATCACTCGTTCGATTGATTGATTGATTGATCGATCGTTTACTTTTGTCGATCAAACGATGATGCTTGTGTGTTTGTGAGTAGTAGTAGTCACTAACTAAACAGTCTGTTATTAATATATATATTGTTGTTGTTCGAAGTAATATTAATGACCTGTCACTCTCTATCTGTCTTTGTTGTTGAGAACTCACAAGTCGTATTCCAACACCTCATCAACATGCAACCATCCTTCAGGAGACTGTCGACACCCAAAATGAATCAAAATTAAAAAAAAAACGACAAAGACGAAGACACACTAGTTGAGTCGACTCACTCATCAAGCATGTTGCCCACATAATTACATGTATTCGATTGATGTAATAATAATAATAATAATTACTCAACTAATTTGGTTGGTCATAATTAATAAACACAATGTACCAGCTACCAATCAATCATCATGTTGCGGGGTAGGTCACCATAATGCAATGCAAATGGTGTTGAACATCAATCAACTCATTCATTATACCATGCAAGCAAGAATGCATTGCATTTCAGTGAGCATGATTGGTGAGGGTTGTTGTCATTGAATGTCAACGAAGATGTTTAAAGAGAGATACTATCTCGGTTGTTTGATTTAAACATCCATCTACCAACATTATATTTAAGTATGTCAGAGTGTTAGTGTGTATGCCCGATCGTATAACATAACTTATCACCGTAAGGAGATAACTATGTTTGCAATCATAGTTAGGTTAGGTTTGATTGATTCGCGAGTGAGCGGGTGTAGAAGGGCTATGCACCACGAGAAGGGAAGCACGCTTTGACGGAGTAGTTTGTTTCGTGAAGTGTGGAACGTAATTCAAACAAGAAATCGGTTTCACTTTAGACTTGGTGGGGTCTTTGCTTGTGGAACGAAAAAGGATAATGATCACAAGGTGAGGCTAAAAGTGATGGCGTCGTTCGAGCTTGTAACTTCACATGGGGTCTTAGTTCTGGGGGGCTTAATCCAGAGTTGTCAAGCTTTGCGGGCCCTTGTAACTTGATTTTTTTTGAAGACTTCAGTGTATTCTGAGCGTTCTGGGGATCTGCCGTCGTGTCGTTGTTGATTGTGTGTTTACTTCGCCCACCATTCCATTTAGAATGATCATCAAACACAACAATAATAACAAATTAAATAAAATAAAATAAAAGTTTAGATTAGAGTGCACTCTATCATTGATCCATCCACTCAATATCAACTCGTATTGGTTGAGTGGAGTGTGTGTGTGGAACAACAAGAAGGCAGGAAGGCGGGTCAGTAAGAAGGTCCACCACACACATCCATCCATCTGGTCCCTGGCCAGGTTCCATACTCATTCGTTGTGTTGTGGCATATCGACTAGTATCTCAGTCTGTTGGAATCATCACAAGCCATCCACATCGTCTTCACGTGCCATTCATTCATATTATTAATCATTTAACTTATTATACACAGATACACAAGTATACAATTTATAATCAGTCATATATATATTCTTTGAATCAAAAGATATATATAAGACAGGTCTATAGTAGTACACGCCCATCACATCACATCACACAATGAATCGCAGATCAACTTTCATATTCTTGGTGGCACTCATCAGTGTTGCCACTCTCGCCTTTTTGTCTGGCGTTAATGCCGACGTCACCGTTGGACATGCTTCCAACATTACCTCTGGTCCAGCTCCATGCAAGTCTGCTGTTTGCCAAGTCCAACGCAGTGTTCAATCATTTGGTATGTATCATCAATCTGATCAGATTGATTGATTGATTGATTGATCATTATGGGACTATTCCATTTAGTGATCAATCAATCAATAATGATTGTTAAATGATTGATTGAGTGAAATAACTAACATTGAAGTTCATCAAATTAATTAATCAATCATGGAACTATTCCACCACTCATACATCACAATCTGAACAAACGAATATTTAAACGACAACAGCCTCCAAATTCACAGTTAAGCAGGTGTTGGTTGCAATTATTATTGTGTTGACATCTATTGCAGCGCATCAACATTATGTGTTGAGCCAAAAGAAGGGCAATTTGCCAGGCCCATCATTCGTTCCACCATTCTTTGGAATGCTGTTCCAGCTCATCTTGACACCATTCACCTTCTACCAGAACCAGGAGAAGTATGGCCCAGTGTCCTGGACGTCGATCATGAACAAGTTTGTGCTGTTTGTCACCGACGCCGAGACCACGCGTCAGGTGTTCAAGGAGGAGAACGCCAAGCTCTACCTCTCCATCACGGCCAAGCAGATTCTCACTGAGAAGGCCATCCCCTACATCGAGGGCACCGCCCATCGCCAGCTGCGCAAGCAGCTGTTGCCACTGTTCACCATCCGCGCGCTCAGCTCCTACCTGCCCATCCAGGACGCCATCATCAAGGAGCACATCGACCTGTGGTTCAAGGAGGGCAACACGATCAACGCCCGCACCAAGTGCCGCGACCTCAACATGGCCATCTCTGCCGGAGTCTTTGTCGGACAAAAGACACCAGCTGATGTGCGCGAGGAGATTGCTCGCAACTTCTTTGTCATGAACGAGGGCTTCCTGTGCTTCCCCATCGATCTGCCAGGCACCACCCTGCGCAAGGCCGTCAACGCCCGCATTCGCCTCGTCGAGATCTTCACCGACATCATTGAGGACTCTCGCAAGAGAATGTCCGAGGGCGAGCAGCCTCAGTCACTGATCGACCTCTGGGTCGAGTACTACCTCGGCTGTGACGAGTCGGAGCGCGACGAGCTCTCCAACGACACCATCATCTACACACTTCTCTCCTTCATGTTTGCCTCTCAGGACGCCATGTCCTCATCACTTGTCTGGGTCGTCGCTCTCCTCGCTGAGCACCCCGACGTTCTGGCTCGCGTTCGTGAGGAGCAGTTCCGTCTCCGCCCCAACGGCGAGGCCAACACCCTTGAGACCATGCGCAAGGCCTTCTACACACGTCAGGTCGTCAACGAGATCCTTCGTTTCCGTCCACCCGCCGTCATGGTGCCCCACGAGAACATCGAAGACATTGTCATTGGCGACAACGTCGTCGTTCCCAAGGGCACGATGATCCTGCCATCGATCTGGTCGGCTCACTTTGACAAGGAGGGCTTCAAGGACGCACACAAGTTCGATCCCGAGCGTTTCAACGATGAGCGCAAGGAGGAGATCACCTGCGCCAAGCACTACCTGGTCTTTGGTGCCGGTCCACATTACTGCATTGGTCGCGAGCTTGCCAAGAACCAGATCGAGCTCTTCCTCACACACATGGCCATGCACGTCGAGTGGGAGCACTTGCCAACTCCAGGCGGTGACGAGATCATCTTTGGACCAACCATCTTCCCCAAGGACGGTTGCAACGCCAGCATCAAGCGTCGTGTCTACGCTGCCTAAGCTGTCCTCTCATCTCACAATGCACCAAGGGTTGTCGACGCCCCATCATTCATCTCTTCTGGAAACACACCAACTTGATATAGTCCTCTTCTGTCCTGCCATGATCTGTCCTGTAGTCTGCACCATCGGACATTAACTTAGTTAGTTATGTCAACCATTTTAGTTAGTTAGTAGTTAACTATAGTTAGTTAGTTAGTCAATCAGTCAGTCAGCCAGTCAGTCAGTCAGTTAGTTAGTTAGATAGTTCTTTGTTATTGTTTGTTAGTAGTGCTAATGCTTCTTCCTCAATCCAAATATACAATTGGATTGTTGGTAATGGCATCATCATCATTACTCAGCAGTAACAAAGTAACATCAACAGACAAACAGACAGACCAACAGATAAACAGTGATAAACAGCAAGCAGAAGATATGGACAAGTATCAAGAATGACACATATACAGATAGAGATACAGATAGATAGATAGATAGATAAGAACCATTCACCAATCCATTCACTCATGAATAAACAATGATAGCATCCTCACTCATTCATATGACTACAAACAAGCCCATTCATTGGTCATGACTTTGACTAACTAACTTTCCAGATCTCCCCCCCCCTTTCATGCACGAACCCACCAACCTATTAATATCTATCTTGCATCAAAGTTGGACCTTTCATTCATTCGATTACAATCACACACATAACATACACAGACAGAACAAGTTGTATCTGTATCATTACATAATGAAGAATGAGTAGCAATAACAATAACAATAGCAATGGATCAGCATCGACATCAACATCAAAGAATGATCATCATAATCATGCTCAAGTTGAGATTGAGATGACGAACCTTTCATTCTCTCGTCAACAACAACCTCAACAACAACCTCAACAACCTCAATCATTACAACAACAACCAGAATCACCTGTTATAGCACTCACTTATAATATACCTATAACAACATCTTTGAAGCCAAATTCAAGTCATCCAAACTTATTGAATGCAGGTGGATTGTCATCTGATGCTTCCTCGTCGATGGGCGGAAGCACAAGTGATAGATATAGGGCCAACTCAAAGTCGGCGGTACACATGGCACGCAGTCAATCACAGACCAACATGCACACGTTGAGCATCCATGATCTATCCGACTCCTCGCAGACACACAAGCACTCTCACTCCCATCACTCTCATTCACAATCACACTCTGGCAATGTGTTGCACGCATCAGTTGGCGTGCATGGAGGTATTCGCGACGATGCCTCCGTCTCATTCCACGACACATACAATGACAACCAACAAATACATCAACATCCCGACATTGGACTGACGTCAGTCCAAGCATCGACGTACGTAGTTCATGTGGCGGGATGGCTGTGCCATTCAATCAATCGGTCAGTCAGCTGCTAACACCGCGCACACACACAACAGGAAGCTTGTCAACATGATTGAGACGTTGCTGACCGAGAAGGAACAGGAGAATCCGTTTAACACGTGGAAGGTACTGCGGCAACAGGTGCTTAGAATCACGACCCTGATATATATACTGGCGGTGGCACTATTGGTGGTGGCCTTTGCACTGCAGCACGAACATTTCCAAGCGCTGCACCTCATTGTTGAAGCGGGTCTACTGCTCCTATTCCTTATTCTCCATCTGTTTATGCGTGTGCGCGAGGAGCGCCTCGAGCACAACGAGGTCATTGCCAAGGCCCGCGGACATCTTCGCCACTACCTCACTCTGGGCGATGTGTTGGAGCATGGTGTGACGAGCAGCAGCGAATCAATCAGCGATCTGTCCGTGTGCAGGGATGATCTCTGGAGGAAGGTGCCACTCAATCTGCTGGTGGAGGGCGATCACATCAGTCTGCGAGAGGGTGAGCGCGTGCCCGTCATGTTGCAGTGCGCCGAGCCAATGTTCAAATCAATCGTGCTGCATCGTGGCGACACGTACTCGTCCGACCTCCTGGTCACGCGTCTACTGGAGATAAAGCCAAACATTGGAGAGAAGGAGAGACAGCAGGTCAAGGAGATGTCAGAGACCCTCTTCACATCTGGACGCAGTTGCTTTGTTGTGAGCGAGACGCCATCCTTCCCTCAATTGGTTCGCGCAACACTGGGCTCGGCGGGCCGCCCCGCTAACCCAGTGATCAACGCCATCAACTACATTCGCATCGTGGTCGAGCGGTTCTTGTGGGCCGCCGTGGCCATCTCGCTCGTGGCCAACATTATACGCGCAGTGCTCCAGAAGGATCGACTGCTGGTCGACGTTCTCATCATTAGACAGGTGGACCTGGTCATTGCGTTCAGCTTTGTGATGTTGCCATCGATCCTACTGTTGGTGGCCTACTCACTGGGGCACGCCAAGCTACTCGCACTGTTTGATGTGCTTCAGGAGCGATCACTCAAGGGCGAGATCTCAGACGACCATCCTGCGCTCAACTTTGATCGCGAGTACAACGACGATCACCTGCCCAAGGTGCCATTCAAGTTGATGAAGAACTACTGGGAGGCGATCCTCAGCAGCAAGCACGTGGCATTCTCGCACTCATCCAATTTGTTGCATCACATTGCCAGCACGACAGTCATCTGCTGTATCGACAAGGAGGGCATTGTGTCCGAACCGGTCAGCACCGTGGGCGAGCTGTGCTACCTGCGTGGCGACGGACCCGTGCGTCTCGAGCTATCGTCTGAGTACTCGCACACACAATACTCAATTTCATTCAACGATCAGGACTGGCAGGAGCACTTGAACGCGCTCAAGCCAATGGGCCTCAACTGTCTGCTCAACAAGACCTGTCGCCTATACTCGGGCGGAGACAGCAACGGCAACAACAGCAATAGCATCAGTGGATCACGCCTCTCAACCCTCCCCAACAGCTTCAATGGCCAGCGACTGTTATCGGATCACGTGTCCAAGATTCAGCTGATCAAGGATCGCGAGGAGAGCAACGACACGACCAACTCGCAGTGTCTCTGTCTGCTGGCCAAGGAGATTGGATTCTCCGACGAGGTCTCCAATCAATTCGTCAATCTCAAGACGATTCACACGCTCACACAACGCTCAGTCAAGGGTGATGCCAAGGCCAGCGATGATGACTCTTCGAAGGACTCGCCATCCATGATATCCTTGGTCGCCAAGGACATGTCCGAGACGCTCCAGCTGCTGTCCAAGGGCAGCACCGACCTCATCCTGGAGCACTGCAACCAATACTGGGACGGCACTACTATCCTGCCATTTGGCGAGGAAGAGAAGGAGAAGGTGCGAGCGATCAACAACAAGTGGCTGACGAGCGAGGGCATGAAGTGCATCTCATTCGCCTATGCGCCCATCGACTCCAAGTACAACAAGCTGTTTGCAACTGGCAGCATAAACAGTCCGCTGGTGGACGTGCGATTCTCCAACAGTACAATGGTGCGACGCAAGAAGCAGGACCTGCGCATGCAGATGAGCAAGAGGCCACAGATCAGCACGCCCGACGCGGGGCTCAAGGTGAACAGCATCGTGGTCAACTCGCCAATCACGTCGAACAGCGTGTCGTCGCAGTCACAGATCAAGATGACGCCCAAGAAGACTGATCCGGAGGATGACAAGTCCGAGGTGGTCATCTTTGTCGAGTCTCCAATCCCCAGTGGCAAGCAATCACCCATACTACTCAAGAACACACAAGACAACATCAATGACAACAACAATGGCAACAACAACAACAGTGCCAAGAAGAAGAAGAAGAAGACCAAGTTCTTGAAGCCATATAAGAAGAAGTCGAGCAAGAACAAGGAGGATAAGGAGAAGGAGAAGGAGAAGGACACGCCACCAAGCATCGACCTGGACATATCATCAATCACACAGACCCTTAGTCTGCCACCAGTCGAACTCGAGTATGAGAGTGGCGATGACTCTCAGCATGCCAGCAACAACAACAACATCGCCAATGATAACGACAACAATGATCCCAACAACAACAACCCTGATAACATTGTTGTAATGGATGGCGAGATAGAGGACGAACATGATGGAACACACAACCACTCAGAATACACGAACAATGATAGCGAGACAGAGAGCGACTCACCCAAGCCAGCCAAGATCGATCAGCATCAGCAACACCGAATGAGAAGATTGTCGAATGAGACCAGTTCATACAGTGTGTCCGAGACATCTGAGTCTGACTCTTTCGCCGACAAGAAGAGAGGCAAGCATAGGAGCAATGACAGATATCGTCGTTCAAAGTTCAAGAAGCAACAACAGCAGCAAATGTCACAGATGGCGCCAATCGCGGATGAAGCTCAACACAACAATCAACAAACAGAGGAGAAGAGCACTGATGCAGAACAACATTCATCAATCATCATTGTGGACAACTCTGCCACTGGTGGCGAGATTGCTGCGGATCAGGACAGCAGTAGTCACGCTGGAATCAGCAAGGCTCAGGAGGTCAAGGAGGCGATCGCTGAGAACGAGACATTGGAGAAGCTCCAGGATGGACAGATCTTCATTGGAATGGCCGGCATGCGTGTGCTGCCCAAGTCACACGTCAATCACTTTGTCGAGGTACTCACCTCGGCTGGCATCAGGTTCGTCTACTTCTCCAGCGAGGACAGACGCACCAGCAACCCATTTGTCAATCGCCTTGGTCTGGAGACCGATTGGAACTGCTGTGTATCACTCAAAGATCCAGAGCACGACGAGGAGCAGCAACAGGACGGCCCATCACGCTTACCCAAGGGCATTGCGGCAATCAGGAAGCATCTGGACGAGGTTGACAACGTGCCATTGCTCGTGCCAATGTTCTCCAACTCGACGCCCGAGACCAAGCTCGAGATGATCAAGATCCTTCAGGAGAATGGCGAAGTCGTCTGTTGCATTGGTAGTTCATTGAACTATGAGAACACACCAATCTTTTGTCAATCCGACTTGGCCTTCTCACTGGAGCCAGCCGTATCGCGTTGCCTCAACTTGCCACTCAACAGAGCCGACCCGCGGCCATTGCTCACCAGCCGCAACTTCTTTGAGACCGAGTCGATCACACACCTGGCGCACCTTCCCATCAAAACAACAGATACCAAGCGCGTCCCCACCGAGAACCCATCGACCCAATCGCTGTGCTGCGACATCACCTCGCTTCCCTGCTCACTGGTCTTCCACAGACGAACAGACTTCAACGAGATCCTCGAGTTCTTCCATGTTGGACGACAGCAACTCACCAACACACGTCAATGTCTTCAGTTCATTCTCAGCGCGAGCATGACACTGGTGCTCATGTGTCTCGTGGCCGGTGTGCTGGTCGTCAGCATGCCTCGTGATGGAGTCGTTGGAGGCGTGCCACTCACTGGTCTGCAGATCATGTGGCTTCAGTTCATCATCATTCCCTTGGTAGGCTTCTCATTGTTGGCCACATCAGAGGATGAGGACGTCATGAAGACTCTGAGTCCCAAGAACAATCAGGAGTTTACACACATTCCAACATTTGCAAAGTATATTGCAATACGTCTGGTACCATCCCTTCTGCTCACAGTATGGCTGTTCATCTGGTGTCTGCACTCACTGTCCGATGCCAGCTGGGGCAATATATTTGGTGCCTCCATCTCAGATTGGCCGACCAATCCAAGGATCACCTATTCAGATGCCCTATTCGTCTCACAGAACATCATGATGTTTGCCTTTGTATATTATCTGAGTAAGTTGGTCAGTCAGCAAGTCAGTCAGTTATGGATACATCGCTCACTCACTCACTCAATCAATCAGGTATCACAAGTCTTAGTTTTATCCATCATACTCAGAGTGTACTCAAGTTCAACCCATTAAGGAAGAACTACATATGGGTGATTGCAGCATTACTTAGGTATGTACTGTCACTCCTTCCTCCACAGGAACACATTCATCATTAACACAAACAAACAAATACTAGTATTGGATTACAGGTTGGATTCTCATTAGTATCACTCAAGGCCATTGATGGCATCGGTTTGCTTGGTAGTATACCATGGGAGCTGTATGTCGTTCTGTTCTGTTGGGCGATCGTTGTGATTTTGTTGGACGAGTTTGTCAAGAGACTCTACAAGAAATGGTTCGATGAGATCCAGTTGGAGTTACGACTCGAATTCGACACGAAGCTTGGAATGCATTCACCAATATAGTTAATGCACTCATTCAACATCATGGAGTCGTCACGGTCATTCGTTCATCCAGTACTTCATATTACTTACTTGAGGCGTGTGCTAAGTCCTTGTTGGTCCTCGCCGAATGGAGTGGATGCTTTGAGGTTTGATTGTGTGATGACACAAACATAATAACTACCAACCCCAGTCGCCAGATCAAAATATATTTCCTTTTTGAGGATAGTTTTAGTCTTTGTTCCATCACATTCGTTCGGTTCACAGGTTGGGCAGATTTAGACATGTGTCAGGAATATCTTGTTAAAGGTTATAAAGTACACAAACGTACTGTAATCCCACCGACAATTCTTTCCCTCAATATTTCGTTTCTACCGAGCGAATGAATAAGTGTCAAGTCTGATCACAATGACATTATATTTAATTAATCTTATTCCTAATAATAATAATAATACAATATGTTACTACAACTAATTTTAATTATATTGATATCATCAGTCTCTTTGAGTTTGGCTGCTACTCCACTTCAATTCAACTTGACTACGGATTGTAGTGCTGGATGTTCATTCTCAAATCCACGTATGGGTCGGTAACATCGTACCATCGATCGGCTATGATATAATCATCAATATTGGGGACAATCTTCCACAATCCTTCGAGATCAACTCAGACATCACTGTGTCATCTATCACAACTATTGGACGAGTGAGTCTAAATATCTTAAACAGTTTGACTACCAACACTATTGTCACAGATAATAACGGTTACGTTTACCTTAACGGCAATGGCAAGCTGTCCGTACCAAGTTCATCATCATGTACCATCATGTCCATATATCGACTGGAGTCGTCGTCCACATCTTCAATCGACTTGAACTGCGATGAGATCAGCATCAACACAGTCACATCAGAAGGACAGTTTGCGATGAAATTCCTCAAGTTGAACCTTGGCCGTGAAGGAAGGCAGTCCTTCATCACCAATTGGTATATGGCCACCAAGAATACAACAAGCCCCTCAACGTCATATCTATACCTTAGCAATGTTACGATTACAAATTGGGATGGCACGACAACAGGCTCCAACGATTGGGCCATCTACTTCTATGGCCAGACCGTCCTTGGATTCAACTTCCGTCTGGCGGGTGGTGCCAACAGCAAGATTGTCATGGACCAAGATGCAACTGTCCAACTAAGCGGTGGTATCTCTTGGGAGAAGTATAAACTGAACATTACAAACGGAGCATTCTTTGCCTCTGGGGCCAGACTTGGAGAAGTCACACAGACTGGAGGCGACATCATCTTTAAAGACCCCTCGACAAAGTTGTACCTCGCTGGCCCGTACTCGGCACCCAGTGGGAAGGCATCGATCACATTCATAGACGCTTTGTTACCTGGAACCAATGCACCAATCGAGGTCGATGATGACATCACTGTCACTTTTGCAAAGGTCAATGTCCAGTTTATCAAAACCTCACCAGTTTTCAATCAACCGTACAGACTGATGTCTGGATTTACCAAGATTGACTACAAGACCATAGTTCCAAACGTGTGGTGGAATGGAGGCAGCCTAGACAACTATGTATCCAAGATCGACAGGGTGGACAATAGTTTCGTTCTCAACTTCTACGAAAAATGCATCAAGTGCAACGGTCGAGGCTATTGCCTGCACAATGATACATGTGTATGTGATCAATACTATCAGGTGGTGGACAACTGCAGCATCAAAGGTTGCTATCAAAACTGCAGTGCCAGAGGAGTCTGCGCCAAGCCAGGCACCGACCAATGTCAATGCGACCTTGGCTTTGTTGGACAATATTGCCAGCTCCCTTCATCATCCTGTGCTGGACTACTTTCAGATACTGATTGTTCCACCGTACCAGGATGTACATGGTCAGGAAACACATGTATTTATCCAAAGTCTACAACAACAACTACACCAACTACCACAACTACCACTACTTCCTCAACTGGTACCAGTACTCCAACAACTTCAACATCAACAACAACAACATCAACAACAGGTCAACCAAACTCATCCAACTCAATCTTTGGATCAGTCTTTGGATCAACTTATATTGTTGGTTTACTCATTGCCGTCATCATTGGGACCTTCTCAATTTAATTTAATAAACATTAACTATATATATCACTTTTGACTGGAAGTAAAACAATTGAGCCATTCAATCAAGTAACAGATAGTAACTGTTAAAGTATGTAAGTGAAGTGACGATCATCTTGTTAATATATCTTGATCATAGATCTTGATCATTCAGTGCACTCATATATCTTGATCATATTAGATCTTGATCATAGATCTGATCACTGACCAAATCGATCAATCAACCAATGTAATGTAATGTAACAATAACTAACTAATATATCATTTATTATATGTTTATCTTCTTTGCTTTCTTGACATGTAGATGAATACACTTAGCATCAATACATTGAAGATCCAGAAACATCCAAGGATACCAAAGTTCCTCCAACGATGACTCTCTGACCAACCCAATTGATGGTAGTACTCGGAGCCATGGCTGTATAGACAGTAGCCGCAATCGGATGTCTGGTTCTGGTTGGTGATGTAGCCAGTGTGTGGATAGGTCTCAAAGATGGCTGTGTACTCGCCGCAAGTCTGGCCTGGAGGCGGGTTGAACTTGATCAGATCCTCCTCAGTGCAGGTGACGGTGACGTGGCTCAGCACATTGGTGACGAGGCCCTCGACAAAGTAGTGCACAGGGTCCAGATGGTACATCCAGGAGCGCCAGAAGGTGGGCAGGTCGTCGGGTGGCGCCATCACACCGCAGAACAGGATGAGGAAGACCATCAGCAGTGGGATGATGAACTTGGCCATGATGATGTTGATGCAGATGGCCGCAACCATCTGACCGAACGACACGCAGAAGAACAGGTAGAGCACGTACATGATCCAGAAGTAGAAGCCGGATGAGGCGCTGAACTGCAGACCCGACGTCCAGTAGACACAAATGAAGAACATGGTGGCGGTGATCACGAGATAGGGCAGCTCGACGAGGACGATCGACACTGAGAATGGCACGAACGAGTAGAACTTGCTGGAGAGGTCGCGACGGAAGTACTCACGCTGGGCAAACAGCTGGGGCAGTGCGATGAAGATCATCATTATACCGAGGATCAGTGCCTGGAAGATGACAAAGATACGCTGTTGCATGTCAGACGAGGAGTCCTGGAGATCGTAGAAGGTGAAACCGATGATGAGGCCGACGACTGCCGCCTGGACGAAACGGCCAAAGCAGTAGTATGGGTCGCGCCACCAGATGATGTTCATACGCTTGTAGACCTCGACAAACTGGTAGGCCATGGATGTGGCAAACTCGCGGGCTGGCTCAGTGGGCATGGCGATCGTGCTGTCCAGGGCGTCCAGCTCCTTCTTGATCTGCTGGCACTCGGCCGACGACTTCCAAGTCTGTGGCCAGTTGACGTCAGACTTGCCGTGGACGCCAGCGCCAATTGCCTCAAGGATGTACTCAGCTGGGTTCTCATTGTCGCCACAGGCGCGCACGCCGTAGCTCTGGAAGTAGGATGTGAGTGTTTTGGATCGCTCGCCAATATCACCAAAGTACACGGTCTTGCCACCACGCGCCAGCAACAGTAGACGATCAAAGTGCTCAAACAGGACTGATGATGGCTGATGGATGGTGCACACCAAGGGCATGCCAGCGTCGGCGAGCTTACGGATGAACTTGACGATGTTGTAGGAGGACTGGGCGTCGAGGCCACTGGTGGGCTCGTCCAAGAACAGGATATGTGGCTTGGCGACCAGCTCAACACCGATGGTGAGACGCTTGCGCTCCTCAACAGAGATACCAACGCCACTCTCCAGGTCACCGATGAGTGCGTCACCCAGATGCTTCATCTCCATCATCTCGAGCACGTTCTCGACGTACTTGTACTTCTCATCGAGGGACACGGCTGGGTCCTGGCGCAGCTTTGCAGAGAATCTGAGGGCCTCGCGCACGGTCAGGTTGGGGTTGTGCACATCCATCTGCTCCACATATCCAGTGATACGCTCAAAGTCAATGTCGAGTGGACGTCCGTTGAGCATGGTCTTGCCCTCGACGACACCAAGGGTCTTTCTCTTGGAGAGCACATCGAGCAGGGTGGTCTTGCCGGCGCCGGACGAGCCCATCAGGGCGGTCATCTGGCCGGGCTTGATCCAGCCCTCGACGTCGTCCAGCAACAGACGGGTGCCGCCTGGCACTGGAACAGTGTACTTGATGTTCTGCCATGTGAACATGCCGCCGCTCATAATCAGCGTGTCCTTCATCTTGTTGGTGGCTTCGGATACGATCTTGGCCTGGATCTTCTCGTCCTCAACGTCATTCATCTTTGGTGCCTTGCCCTTCTTGAACACCTTTTGGGTGTAGCCGCCAGCGGTCCAATCCAGGAACTCAAGTGCGACCATGTTGAGCGCGACAAACAGCAGCCAGAGCAGGTAGACCGCAATGACATTGATTGTACGTTGGCTCATGTTGAACTCGAGACTGGCCTCGAGGTAGGTCTCGCCAGTGACGTTGAGCACGCCCTGTTGCGCGCCAGCAGTTGGACAGATGCGGTAGGCGTCGTTGGTGTAGGCTGGGCCGTAGGGGATGGCCGTGAGCTGGCAGTCCAGCACCTTGTTCTTGAACTCGTTGGCCATCAGCGCCTTGAACGCGTACGAGAATGGGTTGACCCAGAAGAACCATTGGAACCATGGGTGCATCTTGGGATAGGGCACAATGTAGCCAGTGTACGTCAGCATGAAGATCAGGTACAGGGACATCACATTCTGGCCGACGTAGAGTGATGGAGTGAAGTTGCCAAAGGCGCGGAACAATGAAGTGGCGGCCAGTGTCACACCCATCAGTGTGAACAGCCAGATGAAGAACTCGTCAGCGCGATATTGGAAGCCAAACATGAAGTAGGCGATCACAGAGTATAGCGTCACTTGGAGGAAGATGATGGGGATGTCGGTCATCACCTGGGCGATGTGGAAGGCGGACGGGCGATACAGGGCGTAGGTCTTGTGCTTCTGGAGAATGCGACGGCCATGGTACGTGAGCACGATCTCACCTTGCGACAGGAAGGCGTTGAACAGCAAACTGCCAAAGATGGCGCCACCACGCGTAAAGATACCATTCATTGTGTTGTTCTGGAGGAAGAACACGGAGCCATAGACGAATGCCTGGATGAGGACGGACGTGTATCTGGAGAACAGCGAGAACTTGTTGCCCCACAGCAGTTGGAATTGGCGAATGGACAGAGCGCGCACTTGGGTAAGGAACGAGGTGGTGTATGGACGGTTCTTGTTTGTGGTCCTGGACTTCTGGGCCACGACCTCCTCAGCGAACATCAGATGTGGCTTGTCGGTCTCGAGCTGGCGCTCATACTCGCTTTGCTCCTCGAGCATGGCATGGTACAGCGGCGACTTGATCCAGGCTTGCTCAAACTCGAGCGATGTGGCTGGGGCGGTGCTCTCAAAGCCGGGACGCACCTTCCTCTCCTGGGGGTTGGTCACACCGGTCAAGAAGTCTGGCGTGGACTTGCGTGGCTCACACTCAAAGCCAAGATCCAGGAAGTATTGCTTGGCGGCGGTACCTGGTCCAAAGAATATACAACGACCCTTCTCAAGCACGATCACTTTGTCAAACAGTTGGTAGATCGAGTCGGATGCTTGGTAGAACGAGGCGATCGTGGTCTTGTGCAGGGTGTCAGACATGATGCGCAGCGACTTGGCATAGTCCAGGGCGGAGGCGGCGTCCAGTCCACGCGTGGACGAGTCCCAGGCGATGATTGGCGCGCCAGATACCATTGCCTCGGTGATGGTCATACGCTTGCGCTCGCCACCAGACAGACCGCGAACAAACTCGTTGCCAACCATGGTGTCGGCCTGCTTGGCAATGCCAAACATGTTGACGAGCAGCTCAAAGATCTTTTCACGGAATGAACGCTTGGTCTCGTCGGGCAGACGGTTGCCCGGTGTCTTGCACTTCAATGCAAAGTCCAAGGTCTGCTTGACGGTCAATGTTGGATGATGTGCATCTTCCTCGGGCGTGTAGATGGCTTCACCTCTGTACTTGGACCACTTCTCAGACTTGATTCCACCATAAGACACCTCTCCACTTACAGACACATAAGTATTTCTTTGATTTGATATCAGTCTCAACAATGTGCTGCATCCCGATCCAGGGCGACCCAACACCAACAACATCTCGCCATCCTTGCAAAAAGTATTGACCTTATGTAATATATCAAATGTTGTTCCATTGTTCTTAACCCTATTATTATGATAATAGTATGTTAGTATATTTGATTGATTGATTGGAATCATTCCACTAATTCACACACACACAAATGATCAACTTACCAATTAAATGGATTAAATATGAACTTGAGTGGAGACAACATATCCATGATGACAGAGGCATCGGCACCTTTACCAACAACGGTTAGATCTCGGATGGTGATACCCATCTTCTTGGGCTTGCCACCATTGTCCATGGCCATACGATGAGAATCTTCGAAATATTTCCTAAGTTTGAAATCCTCCTCACTCTCAGCGGGACGACCTTCCAGGTCATCCTTCTCCTTATCCATTCTTAATTGTACTGATTCCATTTCCAAAGAGGCTTCCACAGCCCTGAAATGTATCTCACTCTCTCTCAAATTTATATTTCCACCTCCACTGGCGGCACTACCTGTACTACTTCTAACATCCTTGAAACTATTGTCCAAACGTGGACCTTCCATTATTATTACTATTTAAATATATATATATATATATTAATAAATTAAAGATAAAATAAAAAAAATAATATTATTGTTATTTGTTTGAAAAGAATTTATATATTTGATTGATTGATTATTGTTGAACGTATGATTGAGATAATAATAGTATTTATAGATCATGATTGACGAAGTATGGTATTGACTTCGGTGGTATGGGTTGGCTGGTCCATCGTTGCCGTGATGCTAGTTTGTTCAAACCAAACCACACGAAAGATAGATTAAAGGTTCTTAATTTGGTCTTGGAAGTACTCGCAATGACATCCAAGCTCATTGTTTTCCCACACTGGACCTGAAAACCAACCCCCACCGCCATCCTCACGACTTGTCTTGGACCAGACCCTAAACCAAAAAAGGAAATGATAATCTGGCACTGCTCTGACGAATAACGAGTGGTGATAAGAAGTGTGGGTGAGTGCGACGTTCATCTCATAATCAGAAGAGAACTTGTAAGTAAACTCGATAGGATGATGTTGTTGGGTAGGTTCGTTAGATGGTTGGGCTTGAAGGAAAGTCAGTTGTTCCATACCTCACTCACTCAATCATCCAATCATCATCATCATAGTTCTTTAAGATCAAGAATATTAATTCAATTAATTTATAGATCACTATTCCGAGCGTCTTACTCTTTGTGATCTTCTAAAACACCATAATGACATTCAATTTATAAACGACTCCATCCAATCATCGTCATCCTTGTTTTAAAGTTGCGAAAGGCCATGTTTAAATGTAAAGATACACTAGTATAAAGGACTAAGTGAAAGGGTAAGGACAAGTGAGGGCAAGGGCAAGGGCAAGGGCGAGGGTGAGGGTAAGGGCGAGGGCAAGGGTTAGGGTACAAGTTTTGAAACACCCACCCTGAATGAAACGATGAGGTGAAGTTGAATTTGATATGAATGCAATACTCACTTGTTTCATTGAAGTGCAAGGACAAAGAAAGATGGATGAACTACATAGTATAGCTCAGAGTGCTGCAGCACACTTTAATAATAGACAGTATGATAAGTCTTATCAACTATTCCTCGATATAAAGAATAGATCGCCACAACAAACGCCGAGCAAAGAGGTCTTGATGAACTTGGCCATTACAGACTACTATCAGAACAATTGTGTAGACCCTAACAAGTTAATGGATGATCTGGCAAAGATCAACACTCCCTCAACATCATCATCATCAACTACAACAACAACAGCATCAACAACTGATACATCATCGTCTGCAACCAATACACCAACATCACCAAAGGATCTTCATCAACAACACCAACACCAACAACAACAACATGCTTCAAGTGATAACTCTCCACCTTCATCATTGGCCAACTCAACAGATGCCCTAGACTTGGATAATGATCAGGCGATGGTTATATATAATCAAGCGGTGCTATATAACTCACTGCGACAGTACGGTCAAGCCTACAACAACCTCGAGACACTATTTCAGAACATACTATTCCTCGATGACTACGTGGCCATACGCATCTGCTTCCTGATGGTCAACATTGGCATCACCCTGCAGCTCTACGACAAGGCCTACACCGTGCTCTCCTATCTGGAACAGAACTTCTCGCATCTCTACCTCAGCAAGGACAGTGTCGACACGCAACAGGCAGGATTGCAAGCGATCAATGAAGGTGGCGGTGGCGGTGGCAGTAGTAGCGAACAGCATTCCAACAACAACAACACACACAAAGAGTCAACAGAGAGTACCAATGATGATACCAACTCTACAGCGTCATGGAGCAACACATTGATGACTCCATTCGAGTACCGCTTCCTGATACACTTCTACAAGTCCAAGTTGTACCTTCTATCCAACGAGCATCATCACATGGCCAAAGAGGAGATCAATCAAGCAATCTCGCGAGCAATGAAAGTACGTCCCCACTCACTCACTCACTCGCTCAATCAATCAATCAATCAACTAACATACCTACCTTACTACCTTAGATTAACTACAAGCTACTACCAGCATGCTACTTGCTCAAGTCAAACTATTACAATCTATGTGGAAACGCCACAAAGACAGTGAGACTGTTGAATCAAAGCAAGGACAGCCAGCAGTCACCATCAACTCCAACGACGTCATCAGGGTCTTCTGCATCATCGACTACAACAGCCGACCCTGCTGCTGATAGTGCCACAATGGTCAAGCCACTATCATTTGGAATCGATCTCCAGATTGAAGACATCACGCCACACGTCTTCTTCAACAACGTTGGATGCATGCACTTCAATCTCAACCGACAACATCCATCGATATTCTATCTGACCAAGTCGCTGCAGGAGCAGTCACCGGCAGCCGGCCAGCCATCCTTGGCCAAGACAGAAGCATTCTACAATCTTGGCGTCATACTGTTGCTCTCTGGCAATGCCGAGCTGGCGTTCTCGTGTCTGCAAGAGGCGTGTATGGTCCTGCACAACAACCCACAGGTCTGGCTACGATTGTCCGAGTGCTGTATCCTTGCACATCAAAAGAAAGCGACTGAGGAACAACAGGCACATCAGAGCCTGACTCTGCTGGACAAGGAGGAGCACAGTCGACGCATACTCTTGCCAACTACCAGCGGTCTGCACCAGGGACTGCAAATCGAGGACAGCGACGTCCAATCCACTCTTGGCGATGAGTCCAATGAGTCGGTCAGACTTGGAACTCTGTCACTCGAGTTTGCTGCCAAGTGTCTCAGGAACGCCCACTACCTCCAGGCCAAGGTTCTAAAGTCCCTCAAGTCGCCCAAGACGCTAAAGTCTGCCATGTCCTCCTCGTCATCACCGCCATCGACTCCACCACTCACATCAACATCGACGGCGCCTGCACAACCCTCCTCTTCGACATCAACATCCTCATCAACACCCGTCTCCAGCAGGGGTGGAGCAACTTCACCTAGCGTCGCCCAACTGTTCCACGCTCACAGCAACGAACTGATGCTGAGCATCCTGGCATCGCAAGCCTACATTGCACTGTGCACCAACAATCCAGTCGTTACATTGACTGCCACCAAGTCACTACTTAGTCTATGTGATGAAGTGTCCGCTAGCAATCAACAACAGCAACAACAGACATCTGTGTCAGGTGATCAATCATCAGTGGAGGCAATCAACAACAAGTTTAGATACTATGGACATATTTATGCAGCTGAGGCCAGCATAATGTTGAATTGTCCAGACAAGGCCATCAGTTACCTCTCGCCCTCCTTCGTCGACTCAATCCAAGACAGCTCATTCCAAAGCCGGCTCAATCAAAACCCCATCACAGATACCATCTCTCCCAATGATCATAGAGCGTAAGTACATTACTTGGACACATTGATAGAATGTCCTCCGCTCAATCACTCACTCAATCACTCGCCTCCGCCAACCAACCAGTGTCTTCTACCGAAACCTGGCAATAGCCTATTTATTAATGGATAACCTTGAGGGCGCTACACAGTGCATCACAACGATATTGAGCAACGATCAAACAAACAACAACAACAACAACAAGACAAAGATAACACTGCTACAGGTATACATTGAGTTAAGACAAGGTAATGTGGCCAATGCCCTAAGCATCTTGGCCAGGGAGAGACCACTTCCAATACAACACTCATTGCAACAACAACAACAGCAACAAGCAGCCCAGCAGGCAGCCCAGGCGCAAGCGCAGCAGCAACAACAGGAGTAGTAGTGGTCGTGACCTATGAGCTCCTCCTCATTTGATAAAGTTTGTAATAAAGCCTCATCCTCATCATCCTCCATCCATCCAACATCCATCATCCCATCATCCTTGTTGTTGAATGTATGTATATATACCTGTGTTTATTCGATGTGTTTGTAATGTATTACTAGTTGATTAATGTATGTAATGAAGAGAGGGTCTACTATAGTACTGGGAGGGTTGATTATGTGCGCAGTTGGGCGTCAATGATGATGACCAATGATCGCTTAGTGCTCAGCCTCGTAGGACTTGATGATTGGGAGCTCCTCAAAGTTGTGCTCTGGCACTGGCAATGGGAGATGGTACTCCAATGAGGAATCTCCGTATGACAGGTCGTAGTTCTCGAGAACCTCCTTCTCTTGCTCTGGTGACAAGTTGTATCTGTATGAATGATTGATTGTGTGAACGCGTTGATGTCAGTCAGCTGATGACATTCCGATCGATTGATAGCAATCCTGTATGTTCTGATTGATTGATTCGATTGATTACCTCTCAATGACGTGCTTGTTGTATTTGATGACGGCAATGTGGAGGAGTGGGTCGTCGAGGAGGGCATCGGGGACACCGGTGGCAGCGGACACCTTGCTTGGTGAGACGTTGTCATAGAAGGTGTCAAACTCTGCCATACCTGGGTAGATGTTGGCAGATCTCAACTGCTCGACTCTAACCTGTCTATCGGTTGGGTAGAGGAACTTGTTAAGGAATCCTCTTCTGTAATATATTCGAATCAAATATGTCATCATTGATTGATTGATTGATTGATTGAATGATTGATGATGGGTAGTGTATATATGTTAGTTATCTTTCTTCTTTCTTCCTGATCATCACCTATCGATAATCTATTGTCTTTTGTTCTTGAAAGTATCATCATGTCTGTTTGTCTGTTTCGTTGATTGAATGATTGATTGACCGAAATGATGAAATCGAATGAATGATTGCTGTCACTGATCACTCTTCATTATCACTCATATATATTATATAATGGTGATCTGTTGTTGTTGTCATTGGTGTTCAATGTTCTACAACTCTTCGCCTCGATTCGATCACTGTATTTGATTTGATCCTACCTTTGGGTGCTGACAGCAGCAGAGGTGAAGACTCTGGAGACTGAACGGAATGAAGACAACATTCTATCTATGTAAATGTATATATGTTTGTATGAAATTATAAAACAATAAGTTCGCAAGTAGTTGCTAACATGACAGTAGGGTAGATGCGCAGACTCACAACCAAGTGTGTGAGAGGTAGAGTGATCAGAAGTTAGTGAGAGTGAAAAAATAAATTATCAAAAAGATTCTAAAAATCGAAATGGGCGAAGTTCAAATAATGAGCAGTTTTGAATTCATGTGAGCGAACAGGGTTGAATGGAAGGATCGGGAAACCCTTATTAGGAATACGAACTTATCGGTGGTTGGTTCACCCTTTGTTTCATATCTCGACGACCAAACACACACACTACAACGACCTACACAACAACCACAACAACAACATGAATGTCAGCTTGTGAACCATCCATCCATCTATCCATTCCAACTTTGACACATCAAGTGCCTCATTCATTCATACATTCCATTCGATGATCATCACCTGACTGACACATTCTTACATACATACATACTTATACAAATACATATTATATTACTTTACTTTACGTTACTTATACCAAACTACACTGCACCACAACAAACATAGTTCTTACAATTAATATAGACGATGGCAGTTGACGACACAACTAATGTTGGCGATGTTGGTGGTGGTGATGGAAACAATAGCAATAACAGTAGCATCAACAACAGTATCAATAACATTATAAACAACAATAGAGATCAAATAATAACAACAACAAATGAAGACAATGAACACGAAGAAAAGAATGATCAACATCAACAACCAGATGGTGTGTTACTTCGAAGTAATAATCACCTGCGAGTACCAAGCGATGTGATCCAAATAGACTTTGTTTCAGATCCCACAATGAGCGAGGTCAACACCAGTACAGAACTACTCAAAGACTCTATAGGCGCATCAACTGGCATCTCAATGCCCTTCATGTCAAGTATGTCTTTCACTCATCACTCAAACACTCGTGCGCGAGTACTTGGAACACGTGACTCACTCAATCAATCAAACATTGTAGGGAGCGGGAATTCAATGACTACGAGCAACAAAGAGATTGATCAACAAGATGATATTAGTAGTACAGATAATATAAAGGATGTGGATGTGGATGTGGATGATGAGGGCGAACATAGACATGCCGACTTATCAATGAATATGAATATACCTACTACTCCTGGAGAACTGAAGTTCTCTCCTGATACCGCCACCGAGGAATCACAATCACAAACAGCTGTACAATATGGACCAAATCCACTGACGAGATCACAATGCAAGAAGTCTGGCAAGCTCAAATACCTCAAATATCTATTCGATGAGAACAAATACCGACTGGACATTGTCAACAACAGGCGATTCTACCTTGCTGCACAAGTAATCACAAGGGTTGGATTCTTTTCAAAGTGTAAGTTTAGTTCATTCCTTGAGGCATGGAGCATGGAAGTGGAATGATCCCACTCACTCACTCAATCACTCACTCAATCAAATATATGTAGTCTTGTTGTACGCGACATTGGGTATCATATCTATTGCAGCGGCTGTGGATACGAAGAGACAACCACTTGGACCTGCCAGTGCCTTTGCAGAGTTGGAAGAGATGTTCAGTGGCGGTGTGATATTCTTGCTGATCATTGGTCTATGGTGCTATGGAGCAAATGGAATATTCTTTGTGGTCTTTGACATTGATCAACTAGGCAGAAAGACTGCTGGCGCAATCCTCAAGCGATTCGGTCGTGTCTTCTCATCCGGCTTCTACTTTGTGCTGGGTGTGGAGGCGGCGCGTGTGCTAGGCCACGTCAAGAAGGACAAGTCGGGCTCGGAGCAGATCCTCACATGGCTATACTCCTCGCTCGTGGGCAAGATCGTGGTGTGCGTGCTGGGCTGCCTGTTCTTTGTCGTGTCGATCGTGTACCTGGTCTACATCGTCAAGCCCGACAAGTTCAAGAAGGAGCTGTCCACCGAGCGCATGACCAAGGGCATGTATTTCACCGCGCTTGGCTTTGCAAGGATCGGCGCCATTGGCCGCTCGATGTTCTTTGCCGCTTTTGGCGCCTGTCTCATCCAGGCCGTGGCCAAGATCAACAAGGGCGAGGAGGGCGACCCCTCGCTGCTCGGCTTCGAAGGTGTGTTCCGTGCCATCGCCAAGTTCAACTCGACTCTGCTCTTCATCATTGCTTCACTGGTCGTAGTATATTCATTCTGGTGTCTGTGGCTGATGTTCTTTAGACGTCTGCCCGCGCATCACGATCCCAAGTACGCACAAGAGGTTGTGGGCACAGAGATCGATCCCAATCTGCGATTCCATGGCATCATTCTCAACATTCCAAAGAAGACCGTGGTCGATGAAGAGAACGACGCTGGAAACTTGGATGAAGATCAAGGAAACATTGAGTTAACTTCAAGAACACCTTCGCCTACATCTACGGCAGCAGGTGTAAGGCAACAACAGACACAACAAGACGCACTACCACAGGCAACAATCACTTCGTAACGAACGGACAACCTGCACTACACATAGTCCAGACATTCATACTGGACCGAACACATACACAAACATTCATTCATGGTGAACAGGATGGATGCCAAAAAGAGGTGGAGCATGCACATGACCATCGTCCTCTCACTTGGCGCCATGGAGGTGCCATCAGTGGGAAGGGCGTGGAATGGTCATGGTCCGTGACCAGCCAACCAATTTCAAGTTGGCGCCGACAAAGAGGAAGAGACCAAGTGTGACCACCCGCCTCCATGTACCAATGTACCTCTACTATTACTAAACAATCAAACAAAGTCATTCAATGTCTTTCATGTTGTTCAAACATCGTATCGTTCGTGTGTCTTCTTCTATTATTATTATTATTCTACATTGAGGTTGTTAACCTTGGTCTCCAATTGACCAATGATGTTTGAGTCCTCTGTCGTCTTTGATGATGGTGTCGTCTCGCTCGTTGATGTCGAAGTCGATGGTGTTTCGGCAGAACTTGTGATGGCTGCCTGTTGTGAAGATGAAGGAGCAACTGCAGACTCCTCAGCAGTCTTGAGCTCCACGTTTGAGTTATATCCATGTGCAGTGATGTCCCTCCAGGTTTCCTCAGGCTCGGACATTGATTGCATGCAGTACATCTCGAGGAAGCCAGTGATGGTGAGCTCACCCTTGTCATTGCAACTGAATGCCTCTTGAATGGCATCGATAGAGTCCTTGTCGAATGGCTTGCCATTGCACTTTACAGCGAATTGATTCAGTTCAGCCAATGACAATGCGCCATCCTTATTTGAATCATAACGACCGAATATCTCTCTTAGAGCATCTTCAACCTTGGGCAAGAAGAAGTCATCATCATCATCCAACAGTCTAGGTATAACAGGTTTCTCCTTCTTTGTAATACCCTTTGTAACATTCTTGCTTCCCTTCTTCTTTCCTCCCATTGTATATGTATGTATGTATGTATCTATGTATGAACGATTATGTTCTATTTATTTGTATGAATGAAAACAAAGTGTCGTTCGTTTTTTCAAGATTGAATGTTTGATATATGATCATGTTTGTACTCAAGTGTCAGTTCAAAATATGTATCCCTCAAATATAGGATTAACTAGGCTGGTCCTGGACAGAAATGATGTAATGGTCGTCCCTGATGAATGTTGAGGAGTCGTCGACAACATTGATAACCCCTATATATCGAACTTTCGAGCGGCCTCAATAATATAATATAGATTAGTTTATTGGGTCCATTAAAATCAAGCTGCTTCATGCTTCGCCTTCAGGAACTCTTGGTACTCTACACTTAATAGTCTCAACTACTAGTAGTGATGTTAATTGAACGGAGTTGCACCTTACAAAACATTAAAGACGATACTATTTCTGCCAAAGGCGAGAGTACCAAGAGTTCCTGAAGGCGAAGCTTGAAGCAGCTTCATATTCTTATTCCAAAGAGTATCACACATAATTTGTATTATTGAGCATCTCCCTCCGGAAATAATTAATAATAATGTTCCGGTAGATACTATCTAGGATAATCGATCATTGTCAAACACTATACTTCGTTCTAGAGTGCCAAATTAGGTAAACCCACACCCAACAAACATTCTCTTTCTCATCAACCACACTTTCAATCGGCTCCAGAACCAACCCTAAAAGTATTCTTATCTATTTTGACCAATCTGTTTTGGTTCATACTTATGTATAAATAACAACCTTTGATCAAAGGTCATAATATCAAATCAAAGTTAAATCAAATAATAATAATATTAACAATCATCAATAATATAAGGGATAAGTACATCTCAATAATATTTATTTAAAATAATTAATAATTATAATAATAATGTCGTCAAATAAATCATCAGTTGGAGTTATTGTTGGAAGTTCTCGTACTCAAAGAGTTGGAATGGCCATTGCCAAATGGTTCGTCGAAACTTCCAAACTTACTGATCAACATACAGTTGAGATTATTGATCTTGCCGAGTGGAACCTTCCACTTTATGACGAAGGTAAGTTTACAAACTTGGAATTATTCCACAATCGTATATTCATTAACTCAAGAATTTGAATTCAGCCATGCCACCAATGATGTTAAAGGGAGAATATACTACTGAGGCCGGAAAGAAGTGGGCAGCAAAGATTGGATCTTTGGACTCGTTCATCATTTTGTCACCAGAGTATAATTTGGGATATCCAGCAGCTTTGAAGAATGCTATCGATTATCTTTATGGAGAGTGGCAGAAGAAACCAGTAATGGTAGTAACATATGGTTATAGTACTGGTGGTAGTTCATCAAATGATCAACTTGTACATATCCTATCTGGAAACAGTCCAATCCAGACCAGACTAACAACTACACGACCAAAGCTATTCCTATCTCGTGGAATGTATGATGAGAAGGGACAAGTCGCCAACTTTTCTATCTTTGACAAGCATCTAGAAGAGATCAAGCAAGCTGTCAACGAGTTCACAGAGTTGAACAAGACTCCTGTTATCTCTGCCTAATATATATATCGATCAATCATCAATAAATTATTACCATTTTTAGACTTATCTTCAAACACAATGTTGTTGAGTTCAATTTTCAAAAAAGTGTCAAAATGAGCTCAGAAGCTTGAAGTTTCATTCATTTCATTCAAACATCGAATATCTCTTTTTTTAACTTATACAAATAATAATAATACATATACTTACTCAATAGTAATATAATGGATCAGAGAGCTTCAGATGCATTGGGTGTACTTGAGAAGTATATAAATGATAAACAAAAGGATGTTAGTGCAGCTATAACAGCATCAAAGTACATAAAGAATACAATCATTGGCAATCTAAAGAATAAGAGACAATTCATTGAATCGGGTGCTGTTGAGATGTATGTTATAGTCAAAGGGGAATGAATGAATGACTGTATATGACCGAGTACTGACCCTAAACAATCAAACAAGATTCGTTAAGCTGTTGGAGATTGAAAAGGATGAGACATTGTTGATACAGATAACAAGTATTATTGGTAGCTTTGCATGTCGTATGTACAAAGCCATGTAACATGTTCATTGATGTTGAAGTTATAACTTACTAACTATGAATTTATGAATGAATTGAAGGCTTGGACCAAGGTGCATATAAAGTGTATGATTCAAATGCAGTACCATTGTTGGTGGCATTGTTGTCACATTCAAATCCAAAGTTGGTAGAGTCTACAGCGAGATCACTCAAGATTCTACTCTCTTATCATTATCCAACTACATATATCTTTGGCGACGAAGGTATCAAATTATTGGTATCACTCTGTCAACGACCACTTGAGTCCATCAACGAGATTGCCGCCACAATATTGGCTGGAGGATGCGAGTTCTTATTGGCACGTAGTCAATCATCTGATTCCAATAACAACAATAACAACAACAACAATAGTGACGACTCATCATCAATGGACACAACATCATCATCATCGTCATCATCAACAACATGTACATTAACATTGAGTCAATATCAAAACAAGGTACATCAGTATGGTGGAGTGGACTCTATTGTCTCGATACTGTTGGCATCCAAGTCCAAGGTTCAAGAGACATGTCTACACGCACTGGAACTATTCACTCGTGACAACACAGACATCTCATCGTTCATTGTTAAGCGATCACCCGACAATGCCGAGCTGAAAGCCATCATTCAACTCTCCCGTGACAACTCCCCCAAGACCAAGTTGTTGGCTGCATCATGGTACGTATTAATTCATTCGTTCATTCAATGACCGACTGACTGACGCTGACCCATCCATGTCCTTAGCATCTGTAACTTGTACAAATGTAAAGTATTGCCAGAATCTTATGAACAGATCATTGGAAAGATATTACCGACGATTGTGAGATTGATGTCCCAGGAGGATTCGATAAAGGAGGAAGCCCCGGCATTCATTGCCAGGGTGATCAGCGAGAATGAGGATCTGCAGCGAGTGGCCAGTGAATGCGAGTCGATCAGCACACTGGTATCATTCCTCAAGGACACGAGCAGCAGTGAGAGACTACAGGAGAACTCTTTGAATGCTATCGCCGTGCTGTGTAGTGAGCGCGACGAGAGCCGCAAGCAGGTCACCGACGCCAAGGTCATCCCCAACATAGTCGGCTTCCTTCAGAGCCACAACCAGGCGATCCGCGCTGCCGCCTGTCGGTGCGCGCGCAGTCTGTCCCGCTCGATCAAGCAGCTGCGAACATCTCTCTACGACTCGTTGATTGCAAAGATGGTGCTGCGACTGTTGGACGACCCCTCGCTCGAGGTCAGGATCTCTGCCACGGCCACCGTGTGCAACCTTGTGCTCGACTTTAGTCCGATGAAGCAGATGGCCATCGAGGAAGGAGTAGTGCGCAAGTTGGCCGACTTCACGGCAACCACCGAGGAGCATCAGCTGCGCTACAACGCTGCGTGGGCACTCAAGAACCTGCTGTTCAAGACAGACAACGCCACAAAGGAGCTGGTGCTCAAGGAGCTGACATACGAGCGTCTGGTCGAGCTGCTCACCGACTCCAAGTCACAGATCGTCATACAGGCGCTGCAGATCGTTCGTAATCTCGCCTACCAAGACACTACCGACCTGATAAGCAAGGATAACAAGGGCACACAGCTCATTGGCATCCTCGAAGGATGTCTCAACAGTGATGTAATCGAGGTGCTCAAACAGGCACTCTTCTGCATCTGTAACATAGCCAGCAACAATGAGAAGCACAAGGAGACCATCATGGACAGCCAGATAGTGTTTAAGCTTGGTGACTTCCTTGTAAGTACTCTATCTAGGGATGATTGTACGTCATGTGATCACACACTAACTCCCTCCGACAACAGACACACACGAACCCTGAGATAAGGATGGCGGCAACGTGGTGTATATGTAATCTATTGTTGGAAGGTGGTGGACAGATGTCAAGGATCAACAGGATGAAGGAGTTGGGATATGACGAGAGGATGAACATGATGTTGACATGGGATAGGAATGAGGAGGTCAAGACAAGAGCCAAAGAAGCATTGCGACTGTTTAGCAAGACCCCAACTCAATACAAGTAGGCTAGCAGACATGACATTGACATGATGCTTGTATATTATATTGTAATGTATACGACAAAGTTAGACTAGGTATCCTGGCTGGCTGTGTGGCTGCCTGGATACATTTATTATATTATTGGATTGATTGATGGCGGTGAATGGAGTAGGGGAGGGGAGTCGGACAACAAGGGGCTTCTAATATTTACAGTAGAAGAGTGGAGTATGAATACAACCTCTGTTGCAATCACACTCATCCCTGGTACATGGGTTGTGGTCGTCACAGTTCACTGGAGAGTAGCTGCACTTGCCAGTGGCGGGGTCACACATGTCGTTGGTGCACTTGTTGCGGTCGTCACAGTTCCTTGGAGTGTGGATGCAGCCCTTGCCGCACTCGCACGAGTCGTATGTGCAGGGGTTGCCGTCGTCACAGTTGACCTTGAAGTGGTCGCAGCGGCCAGTGGAGTTATTGCACACGTCGATGGTGCAGACGTCATTGTCATCACAGTTCTTGGCGGTGTGCTTGCAGCCACCGTTGCAGTCGCATGTGTCTACGGTGCAAGCATTGCAGTCGTCACAGCTGATTGGAGTGTGGATGCATCCGCGCTCGCAGTCGCACGAGTCAGCGGTACAGGCGTTACCGTCGTCACAGTTGACTGGGGTGTGTGCGCAGCCGGTGGAGTTGCTGCACGAGTCGATTGTGCACTTGTTGTGGTCGTCACAGTCGATTGGCTTGTGGACACATCCATTCTCGCAGTCACATGAGTCGGCAGTGCATGGGTTGTTGTCGTCACAGTTGACTGGGGTGTGGGCGCAGCCGGTTGAGTTGCTGCACGAGTCGATGGTGCATGGGTTGCGGTCATCACAGTTGATTGGCTTGTGGACGCAGCCCTTCTCACAGTCACAGTAGTCCTGGGTGCATGGGTTGCAGTCGTCACAGTTGACTGGGGTATGAGTGCAGCCAGTCACGTTGTTGCAAGAGTCGATTGTGCACATGTTGCGGTCGTCACATGAGACTGGAGCGTGCTTGCAGCCACCATTGCACTCACACGAGTCGGCGGTACATGGGTTGCGGTCATCACAGCTGATAGGAGTGTGGACACAGCCGCGACCACAGTCACACGAGTCGGCAGTGCAATCGTTTCCGTCGTCACAGCTCATTGGGGTGTGGACACAGCCGGTCGAGTTGGAGCAGGTGTCAATGGTACATTGGTTGTCATCGTCACAACACAGTGGTGTGTGGACGCAGCCCTTCTCGCAGTCACATGAGTCTACGGTACATGAGTTGCCGTCGTCGCAGCTGACTGGGGCGTGGGTGCAGCCGGTGGAGTTGGAGCAGCTGTCAAAGGTGCAGGCATTGTGGTCGTCGCAGCTGAGTGGAACGTGCTTACAGCCGGAGGCGCAGTCACATGAGTCGGCGGTACAGGCATTGCAGTCGTCGCAGCTGATTGGAGTGTGGATGCAGCCCAAGTTGCAGTCACAAGTGTCGGCAGTACATGAGTTGCCGTCATTACAATCTATTGGGGTGTAGACACATCGGCCCTGGACGCATTTATCTGTGTTGCATCTATTTCTATCATAGCAGTCATTGTCACATGAGCAATATCCATAGCCTTCGGCTTCGGTAGCTTCCTCAACATTGGCTATTATTATTTGTTTAGTTGGATGTTAGTATGATTGATGGGTTGAATGATGTTTTCCAGTAGGTCTGGAAATTTTTAAAAAGTGATAAGATTTTTGATCATGTGGCACTTACCATTTATGGCAATTGTTAAAACCAAAAGAATTAATAAAATATTAATAATCTTCATTATTTATAATTTAAAGTAGGTTGGATAAAACTTTATATATTTAATTATATATTTAAAAGTTTAAAGGATGATGATTTGTTATAATTATTGATTAGCCCGGGCTTCTTTAAATAAGGATTGGACGTCAATCACTTGGCCCCCACCTCTCTCGCTCACTTCCAAGGTTGACACTTGATTGATCTATCACACCACCCAACCCTCGAGAGTGTTGTGGTTGTTGTAAGGGCGGGTAGCGTCCATCTAAGGATCACCAAATAAGATACTTGAAATTGTTAAAGATATCAAGTAATAGGTGCAGTATTGTGTATATCTATCTGCATGTAAGTATAGGTTGAGTGTCGTTACGATACGGTATGTGGGCAAAAGGTATTGGTTGGTACCGGGGGTTGTATTGATCGCCTATAGCACTTATATATATGTATATAACTTTGTTGGTTGTGTGTGAGTGATCACCTGACACCAGGTATGATGATGATGATGAAGTTGATTGATTGATTGATGATGTTGATGTTTTGAATCAGGGAGATTGAGTGAGAGTTGAAGGAGGATGTTTGAATTGTCAACCATGCCGATCAGACACACTTCCTCAAACCGCTCCTCATATGGAAGTGAGAGTGTCACGTATTGAAATTTAGAGTTGAGTACTGGGATGTGTCGTTTCCATCAATCAATCTTCCAACCAATCCACAACTTGTACGTTTGTGATGTGTTTTATGTGATATATGTGTTTGATGTGATCGAATGATTTATTCACACAACCTAACATCCAATCCAATCACCTCACACCCACACTCATCTTATTCAATTCAAAGTAGTGATCAGTCCAGTCTTGTGTGTTAGTGGTGAGTGTGTGTTTGATTGATTGATCTGGGGAAACTCACTCCACTAACATTATTATTATTTGTTGTAAATGATGATGTGTTTATTGGTATTGGATGGATGATCAACTTTAGTGATCGATAAGTGGTTGTGTATATCTGTTATACTGTTACCGTATACCGTTCGTGTTTAGTGTCAATAACAATCAATGATGAATGGCAATGTCTGTTCACAAAGTTAGTTCTATTATAAGAGTGATAGTGTTTGATTCAAACTGATGCTACTGCTCGACCATTCATTCATCATCACAACAACATAGATTTGTACAGCCAACTCTACTCCCTCAACTCCAATTCAACTTCCGTCAACCACATCCACTCATTCATTCATAATTAATAATGGAACCCTCTTTCATCAACAATGTCAATGACAAGTTAATATTAATTATTGACATCTGGTGATGGTTGATTGTGGTTGGACATCTAATATACGCGTTGCCAGATCCATCCATCCAACCAAACCATACTCACTACATGTCAACACAGTTGGACGGCCGTCCTTATTGGGTCATTGGTCCCAACCATTGGTGGGCACTTATTGACATTCTCATGCATCCTACACTTGCAATACTTTGTACAGGTGTCCCTTGGTGTTTGCCGGACTATCCATCCTTCAATCCAATTCAATTCAATCCAATCACTTTTTTCCATTCAATTTCCAGGTTGGCGATCTAGATGATGGGGACGACATTGGCGAAACAATCAATCAATGGCATGGCTAATAATAATGGGCTTGAACATTTGAATGTGTATCTTATTATTTATATACTATTAATCTTTTGGCAATATAATATACTTGCAATGAGTATAATTTAGAACTGATCCAATTATAACAATTGATGTTGCAACAACTTGTGCACACCATCCAACATCAGGTCCCCAGCTATTGTACTGGACAATGTTGTCTGGTAGCTCCAACTTCTCATTACCAAGGAATTGACTGTTGGCTCCACCCTGGCACGATCGATCATTCTTGAAACTAACATTCAAACAATCCTTCTTTGTTGCAAGGGGCAGTCCGAGGAACGCAAACATCGATATCAAGCAGAATATCAATGAGATGAATGGCAACACCTTTGAAATCTTTGGAGTGATGCTAGGGAAGTAGCGCATTATATCAAACAAATATAATACTACTAGGCCAATTTGAATGAATACTATTAACCATGCCAATATTGTGAAGGCTAGTGATGTGTTGTAGATAGCCCATTGGTAGGAATTCTCTTTGGTCTCTGTTATCATGGTATTTACAATATCCGAGTCGTTGGAGACATATTGGATTTGATTGAACTTGTACTTTATATGCATTGTAGACAAAGTAGAATGGTCAACTGCTGATGCAAATCTTGTATCCATTCTATACCAATATGCTAATATTATTATGTTTGGTTTGAGTTATCAATCATTTAATCAATCAATTATTCTTGTAATAGTTATAACTTACATGCAAAGGCAACAACCAATGATAACCATGCCATTACAAATATGAGGAATATTACATAGTATGGAATATGTTGTAACTTAAAGAATCTCTTCATTGTGTAAGTAAAGTATTAGTAATGTTATTATTTGTAGTAGTAATAATTATTTGATTGATTAGTTGATTGAATCAATGATCTTAAGTATTGAGTTAATAATACTTCTCATTGCGACTCTTAATTCCAGTTCTTAATTTACATCACTGCTGTCACTTCATCGATCAATGTTTGTTACCCCTTCAATCAATCAATCGATCAACACACTCACACATACTACACACACATATATACATACACATACATCATGTCAATCAATCTATCACTTTTGATCTATTTATGAATTGAATATTGTCTATTGATAGAGTACATACCAGGATCCTTCCATCTTTGAATCAATGACAATCTATCTGCAGTTGTTATTGGGTATCATCATTCATTCATTCACTCTATAGTTGTTAAGTTCGAGCAATGAACTATAACCTAACAACAAAGTGTTGGTAAGTATCTATATCTACATGTTATAAATAAAAGTATAAGTGTAGAGAATGAAACAAATATTATTATCTTATTTGTTGGTCTTTGCAGCATTCAAGTCCGAATCTGAACAAATGAGTGAATCTCTTGGGTGGGTGAGTTCCAACTCAACTTCACACTTTTAGTCTGTTTGTTGCTCAACATCATTCAAGTGTACATTGTACTACTATTAGTTAGGTTATTTAGTTATTATTAGATTGATTAGATAGTTGTTGCAACACTTGAACATCATGATGATCAACATTTGTAGGAATACGACCAAGTCGTCGATCAGATTATCATCTTCATCTATCCTATCCAACTGCAGCAAGACTACTACGACTCAATCATTCTTGTTCAATCAACTTCAGACTCGTTCATACTCTGCTGCCAACGTTGCCGGTCAAGTAAGTTCAATCGATCAATCAATGAACAAATGAACGAATCAATGTGAGCATGTCAGCTGACCCATCAACAACAACAACATACAGGTACTCAATGTACAGAAGAAGTCAGTTCAAGAGGCAGTGCTTGAGAAGACAACTATAACATCTACATCGGTCAAGTTTGGAAAGAGTTCATCACCATCGGACAAGGGATACTCAAAGAATGTTCGTCTCGTTGACAACAAATCAGTGGTACTTGTGAAGATTGGCGGTGGCGTCATCGAGGACAACATGAGCGCATTGATTCAATCGTTGAACTTCTTGCGCAGCATCGGTCTGTTCCCAATCGTCGTGCACGGCGGTGGCCCACAGATGAACGCCGAGTTGGCAGCCGCTGGCATTGAGCCAGAGTACGTCGAGGGTCTGCGTGTCACTCGTCCCGAGGTGTTGGCCATTGCCCAACGCATCTTCTCGCGTGAGAATCTCAAGATCGTCGAGGCCCTCGAGGCCTCTGGCACCAAGGCACGTCCAGTCACACAGGGCGTCTTCCAGGCCACACCTCTCGACCCCGCCACCTATGGCTTTGTCGGCAACGTCACCAAGATCCTCACAGACACCCTGGCCAGCTGTGTCTCTGCTGACTACGTGCCAGTGATCTCGTCGCTGGCCATGACCGAGCACGGACAGGTGCTCAACATCAATGCTGATGTGGCCGCGCTCGAGTTGGCCAAGGCCATCCAGCCCCTGAAGATCCTCTTCATCAACACAACCGCCGGTATGAAGGATGGCGATGGCAAGGTCATGCGCCACATCGTTCTCGACCAGCAGTACGATAACCTGATGAAGCAGGCATGGGTCAAGCACGGTACCAAGCTCAAGCTCAAGGAGTTCAAGAACTGTCTCGACAACCTGCCACTCTCGACCTCAATCACCATTACCAGCCCCGAGCTGCTCCTCAAGGAGTTGTTCACCAAGAATGGCAGCGGCACGACCGTGGAGAAGGGCAACGCTGTGCTCTCGTCTGACGACGCCAACATCGATTTTGCTCGTCTGGCCCAGGCATTTGGCTTGCGCTCAGCTGCCGAGATCAAGTCGATCATTGACAAGGACAAGATGAAGGTATTCATCAACTCGACCTACTCCAGTGGCCTCGTCATCCGCGCGCTGCCAGTGTCTCCCTCTGTTTACTATGTTGACAGATTCCTCGTGAGCAAGGAGTCGATCGAGGACGAGTCTGCCGATTCAGTGATCCAGGCCGCACTGGCCAAGTACCCCTCGCTGATCTGGCGCTCGGACTCGGCCACGACCCGCGCCTACCTCACCGGCTTCTATCGCAAGATCGCCGACGGCTTCACAAAGGAGAGCGGCTTTGACATCTACTGGACCAACATCTCGCACCACGATGCTGCCAGACCCATCTCCCTGTGTCTGGCCGTGCACAGCCACATTGGACATGCCATCGACACTGCTGCCGCTGCCTCGGCCGCCAACCTCGTAAAGGCCAAGAAGGACAAGTACCGCATTGGTTTGCTGGGCGCTCGTGGCTTCACTGGAGGCCACTTGGTGCGTCTGATCAGCCAGCACGCATCCATCCAGCTGGCCTTGGCTGCCTCGTCCACCAACTATGGCAAGCCAATCACCACCGAGTTCCCCAACTTCAAGTCCGACCTGCTGTTCAGCCAGGTCACCGCTGACAATATCGCTCGCTACACTGAGGACAATGGCATCGACGGTTGGTTCATGGCCCTACCCGATCAAATCTCAAAGCCCTACGTGCAAGGCCTCGACTCACTGGCGCGCCAGCCAGTTCTTGTCGACCTCTCGGCCGATCATCGCTTCGACTCGTCGTGGGCCTACGGTAACCCAGAGACCAACCGCAGCCTCATCCAACAGTCCAAGAGGATTGCCAACCCCGGCTGCTACGCCACTGGAATGTACCTCTCCCTCTACCCCTTCGTCAAGGCAGGCATGATCGACGGCGAGCCCAGCTGCTTCGGTATCAGTGGCTACAGTGGCGCAGGCTCCAAGCCATCCGACAAGAACGACCCCAAGCGTTTGAGCGACAACATCCTGCCATACAAGCTGGTTGGCCACAACCACGAGATGGAGGTTTCTCATCAGCTCAAGTCACCAATTTACTTCATGCCACACGTTGGCCAGTTCTTCCAGGGCATCACACTCACCATCTCGATGCGTCTCACACGCCCCGTCACAAAGGACGAGGTGGTCGCCATGTACAAGAAGCACTTCCAGAACGAGCCATTGATCAAGATCGATGCCGACGGAATACCAGAGGTGCGCGCCAACCAGAACAAGCACACCGTTACCATTGGAGGCATCACTGTCAATGGCAACCATCTCGTGGTCGTCACCACACTGGACAACCTGCTCAAGGGTGCAGCCACCCAAGCACTCCAGAACATGAACCTCTGTCTTGGTATCGATGAGCTCGAGGGCATTTCAAAGGATCTCTAAATGGATCGTTCATTCATTCATTCATTCATTCATTCATTCATTCAATCAGTCTTTGGAACTATTCCAATCAATTATTCATTCTCCGTCAATCAATCAATCAAGTCAATCCAAACTAAATGAATCACATTGGAGGAGAGGAAGAAAGAGAGAAGAAGAATACTATCTCTTACTCTTTACTCATTCCGATGTGTTGGCAACATGTAGAAGTCCTATTGCGTCGGCTTCCTTCTTCACAATCTAATCTTTAATCCCCATCATGATAGGATGAATGTGACACCTGATGTCCATAATGGGGAAGGTAGTTCTCCCCCCAACTTGAATGGATTGACACCAAACCCATTCATACAATCACACACGCGCTCACACAAACACGACCGTGGTGCCATCATTGGTCGCGTGAGGTGCCTTGGTTTTGGTCGTTTTTGATCAGTGGGGGACGTGCTGACGACACACAAACGACATCAATATGGAGGTGTGAATACAAGATTGTGTGTAGAGTGAGGTCACACCCTATGTTAGGTAGGACACACTTTTATTCATTCATCTGATCCGGTTGGTTGGAGTTGACAAGGTTGTTGGGATCATTAATGTTGTTTCTTTCAAACTTTAGATTTCCCATCAGGCAATCAGTCAGTGACTGTCATTCATTTCAATCATCCAATCATACACACACACTCATCACTCAAGATTCGAAAGTGTACCACGCCAACATCACATCTCTCTCACCAGTTATGTTTTACTGTTTGAAAAGAATCCAATCTTTGAATTCGCAATGACCAAGATGTTGACGAACCATTCATTCAACAATTCCACATCCATCCTACAACTAATACACAACCTCAATCACACATCCTAATTCATCTTAATATTCCCCAAATGTATAAATAATATAATTGTATAATAATATAAATAATCATATAATAATATAATATTTAAGACATGAGTGACAACAACATCAACAATGTGTTGTTCATTCAATCACAAACTCAAACACAAACTGAATCTCAAACACAAACTCAAACTCAAACACACATTAATGAAGAGGACACAACTACCATTCCACAAACACAATCATCACTATTAACAACTTTGCCAGTTGGCGTACTCAAACTTATATTCAAATATATATTCCAAGGTGTTTGGCCATCAGTTGGATATCTTCACTTGTCTTGCGTGAATAGTCAATGGCATAGACTGGCACTGTCATCAGTCACCAAGCTAAAGGTGGAGAACTTGTGGCTGACAGACCGCAACAGTGATGCGAGCAAGTGGATCAACTCGGTGAATGGATGGTTCGGGCGATACCATGGTGAACATCAACGTTGTTTCTTGGAGAGCATCACACTGCGTATCGGACTGATGCGAACCAATGTGCCAAGCATCATGGACAACATCGTGGACTATTGCCGATTCATCTCGCTCAATCTCAGTTGCAACTTCCTTGGCACGGAGGGTGCGCGAGTGATCATACAACGCTTGGTGATGGATGAAGGTCGCAACACATTGGCTTCACTCAACCTGTCCAACAACAAGATTGAGGACGGTGCCATCGTCGACCTGGCCAACGCGCTAATCACCAACACATCGCTACACACTCTCAACTTGTCCATGAACTACTTTAGCACGCGCGGCATCACTGCGCTCTTTGACACGCTGGCGCAACACAATCAATCACTGACCGACTTAAACATCGAAGGCATGCCCATCAATGAGGCCGCAGCAAGCATCGCCAATGCACTGCGCTCAAATGTGTGCGCACTCCAGGCGCTCAACATCTCGACAACTCAATCATACTACGACATCAACCCGCCCGTCGACGTCATATTCGCCGCGTTAAACAATCGTCTACAGGTGCTCAAGGTTGATGACAACCGAATCCAACCAGACAGCTGTCGCCACATCACCGCGTCACTCAGTCGACCCGACTGCGCACTGACGACACTCGAGATCAACAACAACAACTTGGAGGACGAAGGTCTCTTTGAACTGTGCAAGCTCTTTCGCCACAACAGCTCGCTCACACGTCTCTCGATGCGCAGCAACAACCTGACATTCTGTGGTGTGAGCCACCTGTGCCACGCTCTCAGCTTTTCCAATGTACAGCTGCGCGAGCTCGACCTGTCCAACAACCCGCTGTCTAGCAACGCCGCGCTCTACCTGGGCTACTTGTTCGACCACTGCCCCAACAAGACACTGCAGATCTGTCGTCTGCGCTTCTGTCAGATCGATGGCAATGGATGCCAGGTGATCTCGCAAGCGTTGCGCTCCAACACCTCGCTCACATATCTCGATCTCAACGGCAACAACATCAAGCCAGAGGGATGTCGCGAGCTGGCCACATTGATCTCTGCCAACCAAACACTCAAGACATTGAAGTTGGGCAACAACTCGATTGGCAATCAAGGTGCAACATATCTAGCCGCATCACTCAAGGACAACAAAACATTGACATCACTCGATCTTGAGAACAATGACATCACCATCTGTGGCGCACATCAGATCATCGAGGCACTCAAAGTCAATGACACGCTCCACGATATCAATCTCTGGGTGTGCAACGTGCCGCGTAACCTCAGGTTATTCCTCAAGAAGTCGCAATAAACTCTGTATCTATCGAATGGAATATCATAGCCGAGGGTAAGGGTTGAGGGCGAGGGCGAGGGCGAGGGCTAGGGTTTAGAAGTATTATACATCCATCTGATCGATGATGGATCATTGGACAACACAGACTTTATTACAATTAGATCTTGATTGTTCCATTGATTAGGGTGACGGACTGACCGCCAATCCATGGCTCGCCATCGAAATAGGTAACTAGGATACGTCCCTCACGATTGCGTAGAGTTCCTTGTCTTGCCATGTATTGCTTGGCAGTGGTGCCATGATCTGGGAAGCCTTGCTCCTGTAGAACGCGCGCCAAACATGCGTTGGCACTACCTGTCACTGGATCCTCGATGAGATTGTCCTGCTCGATAAAGAATGTTCTGAGCTCGTAGTTTACACCAAAGGCCATCAGCTGATTGGCATCGAACGCGCTATATATCGCGATGCCGCCAACATTCAAGCGCTCAACGACTTCTTTGATCAGAGCGGGAATGGGTCTAAAGGCGAGCACATCCTCGACACTACGCAGTCGCACAACCAACCAGTTCAGTCCTATCAATGCTGACATTGGCGCGACGGTGTTGTCCACCTCGACGCCCACCAGCGCGTCTGTGAGCAGCTTGATCTGAGCGGGGTCCTCCAGCGCGGCAGGATGACAGGCGGGAGAGCGAAATGATAGTGTGCGAGAGTCAACCGTCTCGCCGGCGATGGCGATCTCCACCAGGCCGGCGCCACACTGCTGTACAATCTTGTTTGGTTGCTTTGTTGCCAGGCCATTCTCGAGCAATGCGTGTGCGGTGCCGAGCGTGGGGTGGCCGGCGAATGGCAACTCTCTGTCCGTGGTAAAGATCCGCACGCGGTAGTCAGCTGATGGTTCAGTTGGCGGCAGGACAAACGTCGTCTCTGACAAGTTTGTCCAGCGTGCGATGCCCTGCATCTGTGCGTCCGTCAACCCATCGGAGTCCAGTATGACAGCCAGAGGATTACCCAAGAGGGGAGTCTTTGTGAAAACATCAACCTGTTTGAACCTTCTTGTGATTGAGTTGTTTGAGGCTTGAGGGGAGGAAGCCATCATTATTATTATTACTTTGTTAATTGACTGATTGAATGAATGAATGAATGAATGAGTCACGACTTATTATTGATTAATTGGGATTGTTGAGCATAAACAACACTTTAAAGTTGTTGGGCATGGAAGTCCCAATTTGGACATCTTGTAAAATTTTGATCAAAAAAGTTCCTGGGAAAGTGTTTTGATCTAACCTGGTCCCTTCTGATCAGTTGGGTCCCAAACGAGTACTCCAGATTTCTATATCGGGACCAACCAATTCTCCAACCAATCCATCAATCAATCAATCAAATAGTTCGCTCAATCAAATAAAATAAAATAAAATAAAATAAAATAAAATATTTAATTAAAATATACAATTATATAACTTATAACTTTAAGACTCCTGGAATGACATTACTTGTTCTTCAATGTCTGTGATAGCCATTCCAAACCTTCGTAGGCACCATCGCCACTTAAGGCGACAGTGGGCTGGCAGTACCACTTTCTGTTTTGTAACTTTGATAGCTCGAGCTTGTCAGAGATCTCAGAGATGGACAGGGCTTGCGGCAGATCCTGCTTGTTGCACAGGAAGAGGATTGGTGCACCACGCAACTCGTCCTCGGTGGTGAGCTTGGTCAGCTCCTCCCTGATCTCCTCGAATCGCTCGACATCAGTCGAGTCCAGCACAAAGATGATGGCGCCAGAGTTCTGATAATAATGTCTCCACAGCGCTCTGATCTTATATTGTCCACCAACATCCCATACTGTGAATGATATATTCTTGTACTCTACAGTCTCCACATTGAATCCAATTGTAGGTATAGTTGTAACAATCTCTCCAAGCTTCAAACGATATAATAGAGTTGTCTTGCCAGCAGCGTCCAAACCAATCATCAATATTCTATGATTCTGCTTTGGATCGAATAAGTTGTAGATTCTTGCAATAAGGTTACCCATTGTTGTTGTTATTATTATATATTATGTGTTATTGATTGATTAAAGTTGATCTTATGTTTGATTGATCTTTGTTTGTTTGATTGAATGTAAATCATGTTCAATCGTGTAATATATATAGGGGATGTGGACCTTAGCCCAACTGGCAACATGTTCGTTGCTAGCATATGTGTCACGCATGTCATAGTATTAACAAACGACTGTAGTTGTCCACCAAGATGATAGACACATCATCAAGTGCCAACAAAGCACCCTCTGACTCCACACTCTTCACACCAACTTTGAATCACAACTCTGTTGCCAAAAACAGAGATGTTTGAGAATTACCCGTTACAAACATATTCAAATTCAAATGTTAACAAATACCACTTAACCCATAAATATTGGTAATAACAACTACGATAATCAATCATACACATAATTAGTGATACGTGATCAGTGTGTTAATGTGTGTGAACATCATCCATATTGAGTGGAATGGGAAATAAGTACATACATATACTTATAATGATATGGTAGTGATTGATGTTATTTATTTGTTTAGAGTGATGATAGAGAGATAATGTATAAACAAGTATTAATTAAATCAATCATTAATAATATAGTTATTAGGAAATATATATTTAAATTTGTTTTTATTATAAATGATCAAAAATCAGATATATATAGAAAGAGATGGAATTGGTCATCATTAATTGAATCATTAGATGCAATAATTCATTTCGGTTACATTAATCAACTTATAAATTATATTAAATTTAATCCAATAACATTATTATTACAAGATGATATAAATTATTCAAGACGTGCTGCAATGTATGGATATATATCAATAATAGAATATCTTTCAAAATTGGATAATGAACAACAAGGTGGAATATTTGATGGTACTGAGTTGGCTGCTGCAATCTCAAACAATCACATTCAGATTGTTCATCTACTTCTTGATCATGACCAACTACACAATCGCCAAAACTATCATTTGGCCATCAAAGAAGCCTCAATCAATGGCAACATGGAGGCTTTGTATTGTCTCCTTGACAAACTCGATCACAAACCAGAAAACATGAAGTTGATCGAACAGGCAATGGACCAGGCAGCTGAGTACGGCCATTTGGATGTGTTGAAGTACCTGCATGAACAACTTGGAGATTTGGCGATTGCGACGAGTGATGCCATGGACAATGCCGCGGCAAATGGACATTTGGAGGTGGTCCAATGGCTGCACTCCAACAGGAGTGAGGGCTGCAGCCACCAAGCCATGGACTACGCTGCGATGAATGGCAAGTTGGATGTGGTTCGCTTCCTGCACGAGAGCCGCACAGAGAGCGAGTCGCCCAAGGCTATGAATCGCGCTGCCAAGGGAGGACACCTGGAAGTTGTTCGCTTCCTACATGAGCATCGAACAGCGGGCTGCACTACCTCCGCAATGAATGGGGCAGCGAGGAAGGGCCACCTGGACGTGGTACGATTCCTTCACTTCAATCGCACTGAGGGCTGCACTGTCAAGGCAATGAACAGTGCCGCAGCCCATGGACACTTGGACGTCGTAGTGTTCCTTCATCATCACCGAGGTGAAGGATGTGCGCCATCTGCCATGGACTATGCAGCGCTGTCTGGTCACTACGAAGTACTTCGCTTCCTTCACCTCATGCGCAGAGAAGGATGTACCTCTAACGCCATGTACTGGGCCATCCACTACAATCGCGATCAAATAGTATCATTCCTCAGTGCAAATCGCAGCGAGCATATCGGAGTTTCCTACATGACATCTATTGTATCTGGAATGATTCCACAAAACATTTGGACGTGATCTATATGTTTGTGTATGAAATAAAGAGTACAACTACATCATCGTTCTCCCGAGTTGGGAATATGGAGTTGAGGTCGAACGAATGAGAGTCACTTTGATCACCAAGATAATAATACATCTTTGAATTCGGAAGATGGATGGATTACACTGATCTGTGCATCTAGTATGTATTTGTCATCATGTGACCTTATATATCATATGCTGATGAATGTACTTTATGAGTGATCGGAGCTTTCATTTGCTTTTTACTACTTCTCAAATTTATTTTTAATCAATTGAGAAAACGCACTTTGCTTGGTCCCTAATGGGGCGACATGGTCCGATGGTTGATCATGATTATTCAAAGTTGTATCATCATCATCAGCAACAGTTCATTCATTCTACTACTTAATTGTTTACCAAATAATAATAATTATATCATATTTATTGTATTGTTTTACAACTGTGTAGTTTGACAGATCACTTCCATCCCATCACACACCTCATCAATCACCAAAACATCGTTGAAAAAAAACACCAGATTTTTATTTGTAATTGAGGTTTGAATACCCATCCTGACTAAGCGCAAGGACTCTTCGCCTCCCACACTGCAAACAAGACCGATCAATCAGACCCATCATCAACCCCCACATCATCATCATTCAGTAGAGTCACACACCAATCATATCTATTTTTAAAGATAGACACACAATCACACTTAGGCTTAGCTTGTCAACTCAATCACAGTTCAATTCATTCATTCATTCTGATCAGATTCACTGCATGTCAACATCATCAACATTGTAATAATACAATCCAACATTAGTCAGTCAATCAATCATTCAATCAAACAACCCTGATCATCATCAGGACCTTGGCCAACAATAACATCAACAAGGACAACAACAATGAATAACCTTAATAGTATAACAAATAATATAACTCAACTATTTGCCAAGGGAGATTATACAGATAATGAGGAGTTGAAGACGGATTTGAAGAATTTGCATAAACAGGTGCGAGAGAATAATGTGAAGAAGGTCAAGAAGTTGTTGTCGACAAAAAGGGCCAAACATATATTGAATGCCGCCTCGGAGGACCTGGACGAGACGGCCATCCTCATCGCAGCCAAGGCCAACAACTTTGAGATGTTTGAATTGCTGCTGACATTCTTCAAGACATGTCGCGTCGACATCAACAACCCCGACAAGAATGGCTACACGTGTCTGCACCACTTGTTCGCCCTGCCCGACGTCGACCCCAAGCTGCTGCTCATCCTGCTCGACGCCGACGTGCACGTCAACAGCATCAACCGCGACCTCAACACACCGTTCCACTACTTTTGCCAAAAGTTCCGCTCCAACTCCATGGCCAAGGAGGTGTTTGATCGATTCATTGCCAAGGGCGCCAACATCAATGCCACCAACAAGAATGGCGAGTCTCCTCTGCACAAGGCGGTCTTTAACAACAATCTTGCCGAGACCATGGTGACCCTATTGCTGGAGGCACAGGCCAATGTCAATGCCACCAACAAGAATGGCGAGTCATGTCTACATTACTGCGTGAGAATGGGTCGCACTGACCTAGTCACACTTCTCATCAAGTATGGCGCCGATCGCACCATCACCAAGGACAATCAAACACTCTACGATATTGCCATTCAAGAGAACTTCACCAAACTAGCCGATTTGTTAAAGGATGGAGCTACGATTGACACTTCACAGAGTATGTACCTGGCCCTGCATCCGCCAACACCGATCAGCATACTCACTCACTCAATCACTCATTCAATAATAGATGGTTCGACAACAGAGTTGATCACATTATTACAGAATCCAACGTTGAGGGAGGACTTTAGAGCATTCCTACGCGATGAGCTGATATGCGAGGAGAATATCTCATTCTGGTTGGATGTCGAGTCGTTCAGATTGATGAAGATTGACAGCGCACAGCGAGTGTTCAAGGAGTTCTATCGCATACAGGAGAAGTACATTATGGACAACTCACCGAGCGAAATCAACATCCCATTCACCATCAAGAAGGAGATCAATGCATTCATCAAGACACTGCCGCCTAGGACTGAGATGCTGTTTGACTCGTCTGGTTCTTCAAGCTCGCCAATGCTCTCACCCATCTCAATGTCGGCGCCAAACCTTGGCGGCGTGATCTCTTCGTCCTCGGGCAGTGGCAACAGCTCTCCATCACTCTCGCCAGCACACTCCTTTTCACAACTCCCAACACAGTTGTCGTCCAAGACAACGCCAACAGACTCTGGCTCGGCCACACCAGCGGCCAATCCAGCCACCACTTCAACTTCCACTTCCACATCCAATCCAACATCCACTTCCTCATCATCTACAAACACCAACACAGCCACAGCCATCCCATCTATTACAACAACCTCAACTACCACCTCTAGCCAATCGACGACAACAGCGATGGCTGCACCAGCCTCTGCACCGGGTTCGCCACAGGCCAATCCAACAGGCTTCGACTACCAAAAGATAAGAACCATATACAACTCTGCACAACAACACATATTTATGCTAATGGCCACAGACTCGCTTGCCAAGTACAAGAAGAGGACTAGAAAGAGCAAGTCCTACAACACACCACTGTCAGCATCCACCACTTTGGCCTGATGATCGATCGCCAGGCCCCTTTAGCGCGGACAATCACTGACTCAACCAACCGGACACCCTTACCAACCATCCTACCATCCTACCAACCAATAAATCCCCTTGTATTCTATTCTATTTATAACTATACTAGTGTCTGTCGATCGGTGACTATTTATATCAGGTTGAGCTTCTTGGCTGGCGATGCTGTTGATGCGCCGGTGGACTTGAAGTAGCCAATGCCAAGAGTGCTCTGGTAGGTCTGGTTGGCGATGTCTTCGAACTGCATCTCCTTGGCCAGGTCATATCGGACGTGCTTATCGTTTACAAAGTTGAGAAGGAAGTGTTTTACATGTTGCACTTTGGTAGCCTTGAGACTGTCTGTCTTTACACGTTTGATCAGGTCGTGGCACAAGTGTTGTGATGTTGAGAAGTTGGAGATATACTCCTGGAGGAAAGTATAATTGCCAAGACACATCACTTGTTGGAAGAGTACACTATGGTTGGTTGAGTGATTGATTGATTAGTACATGTCATGTCCAACTCTGAGACTCAACACCGCGCTACCACAACACTTACTTGACCCACTCAGAGTAGGCATTGATGTTGTATGCGTTGGCAATGATTAGGGACTCGCGGAATTGTTGTCGTGATGCCATCACTTGTCTTGCTTCGGCCACCTTGAGATTGATCAACTTGATGTCTGGAAGTTTGATTTGTAGCGCGACCAAAGTGCCCATGGCCACACATTGTTGAGAGGTACGATTGGATCGTTCCTTGGCATAGTTGTCTGCGGCGTCCAAGAATCCCTTCATCGCTGCCAACAAGTCCTTGATGTAGTTGTTGATGGGTGCCTTTGGGTCGCGTGTGGCGCCCTCCAACAAAGTCCTTGCCTTTTGCTCGTGCAGTGCAGCGATCTCGCGATGCATGTTGAAACGGTAGAAGAGCATCTCCAGCTTCTCCTGGTAGAGTGGCTGTTTCTTTAGCAGGTAGCTGTGCAGTGCGAGCTTCAGGCCATTGCTGTCCTCGTGTTGATTGATCTTCTTGCGTAGCAGTAGTTCAAAACTGTCGTGTTGCAACAGGATGTCAAGGATACCCTGTAGTTCATTGTATGATTGCATGCCAGTGATGATGCGCACCAGTAGCTTGAACTGATTGGCTTCGGCGTAGTAGTTGATTCGAGACTTGACAATGTTCTGCACAAGAATGGAGCCATCAACACTGCACGCTACTACAAAACAGAAGTGTGCGCGGACAAATAGTTCCACCTCTGCTTCCATGCCAAAGGGCGACATGATGCTGGGTTTGCCAACGATGGGGGAGCTTGTGATGGCTGACTTGTCAAAGTCGATGCCAGTGGCCTCAAGTAGGCGCATTCCAAAAGAGAATGGGTCGCGTCCAAGTCTAACATACTCGTGGAACTCCTCGGACGACCAGTTGGGGTCGATGCCATTCTTGGCCGCGGATTGAGTGGGAGGGGATTGTTCGCCACCAGTTGGCGACATGTTCTTTGATGAGCCTGAGAGGTCCATGTTGGACATTGACGTAGTGATGCCTTTGGATGAGGGGAAGAACGCCTTGACGGCCTTGGCAAAGTTGTCGGCCAGCTGCTCGTTCAAACGAACGGTGTCCATGTGATTGGTGGAGATGAACGACTTGATCAAACGGAAGCACTCCTTGCCCTGCATCAGCAACAGATTGACGATGCCAAAGTGGTTCTCGAGCTGAGGGTCCGAGAAGCTCATCGACATCTTCTGGCTGACGTTGTACTTGGTCGTGATGGCCTTGGCCGCCTCTTTGGCGTGTTGGCAGCATGATGCAAGCACTTCGAGGGTGCCGGCGATGGGATTGGCCTGCATCGAGGCTGTCATGGTGGGTGAGAGGACAGTCTGTGCCAGGTGGAAGGACTGCGATGGGACGCCATTCTCATTCATCTGTTGCTGCTGCTTCAACCACTTCAGGCCGTTGAAGCTCTGTTCGAGTGCTGTTAGTACGGTTGGCGAGAATGAGTGGGGGCTGGTCGAGATGGTCTTGTTGGCCACCTGCAGCATCGTCTGAATGATCTCATAGTCCAAGCTCTTGAAGTTAAACTGCTTGGAGATCTGCTCCGCCTGCACAAAGTTGCCGCTGTTGAGAAGTTTGGCAATGACATTGTCAAGTCCCTTTGCGTCCAGCACTAGGTCCATGCGCGATGGCTTGGCTGGCGAGAGGTAGGCCAGTGGCGTCGAGGATGAGGTGTTTGTTGGCGTCGATGCCAGTTGTCGTGAATCCATTGGCGATGGGCCTTGAGGCGGGGACACACTGTACCTGTAGCGTCGCGATGAGTGCATGCCAGGCTCGTTGTCATTGGGCGATGAGGACAGGGAGGACGATGGCGAAGGAATGGGCGAGGCGAATGATGAATGGGGCAGGTGCGATGCACGACCTGGAGATGTGGACGGCGACACTGAATTGGAGGTCGAGTCGCGGTCCTCTGAGTTGTCCGACTCGAGCGACAGACCCACAGAGATGAGAAGGATCTGTTTCCTCAGGTCCTCGATCTGGAAGACGTTGGGCGTCGGCTTGCGCTCGTACCACTCGATCGTCGTCGTGAGCAGGAAGACCTTCTCGTTGGATGGCAGCAGCTTGGCCCCGATCTGATTGAAGAAGTCTCCGGCAACCTCGGGGCGACAGCCGTGCAGGATGAAGTATTGCTGACACTTCTTCCACAGGTTGATGCGCTCCTGCTCGATCTCCCACAGACAGCCTTGCTTGTAATGGGCCACGAGCGACTCGACCTCGGCCAACGTGATGATGTCCTTGTCCAAGTTGTTCTCGTTGGAGTACTTGCGCGCCTCCTCAAACAGGCTCTTCTCGATCAGCTGCTGGATGATGATTTTGGGGTCGAGGCGGATGTTCTTATCCTCGAGCATTGTGCGCTTAAGCAGGTGCAGTGTGGAGTGCAGCGTGGAGAACACCGTGGACAGGCCGCTGCGGTGAAGGATGTCCAGGAAGTGCTCGCGCTCGTACGATGTGAACAGGTCGACGAGACGCTCGCACACGTCAATGACGACGAGACGCGCGTCTGCGCTCTCCTTGTTGTCGGCGTGGCTCTGTGTCTCGGCGATGAACAGTCCGAGACTTTGCTCAGACTCCTCGAAACGATACTGATGGAACTGGTTGATGAAGCGCAGGAAGTTCTTGAGAGGGTTGTTGGGCATGAAGATCTTGAAGCCCTGGATAAGGAGGTATGTCTTGCGCTGCTGGATAATATGATTGATTGATGCGCACAGATCGTCGTAGCCCCATCGTCGCTGTGGGGGCACGTCGCCAGTGGTCTCCATCATCGCATCGCCAGGCTCGAGCATCAATGTCTGATTGCCATTCAGGTGTGAGGACAGTGAGGGCACATTTACAATGAGCCAGGTGACCAGACATCCAATGGTGGTGATGTCGCTGTGGTGTGTTGACGCGGCGCAGACACAAGCAAGGACAGTGAGAAGTGCGCGACTATGTTGGACAGCGTAGTAAAGGAGATAGTTGCCAGGGTCTTGTGATCTGAATGATGCCAACAGGTAGCCTACAATGTCATTGTTGAGCTTGGATGGCTCGATTGGATGGTACTGCAATGAGAGTGAGATAAGCTCAGAGGGGGGCGGTTGTGGGGTGGGAGGCAGATTGCGTGTGCGCTCGTTGGCAACGCCCTCCAGGATCAGAGTCAGATGAGAGCGGATACCCTGGTTGCTGAACTGTCGTACGATCTGGCGTACCTGTGGCAGGGGGAACTCGTGTTGTTGGGCCTCGTATAGGAAGGCCAGCCAGTTGTCGTGACGAGCCCAGTTCTCCAGGCGACGTGTGAGCTTGGCCACGTTGTGCACCTTGCAGAAACGTGCCAGGACGGCCCAGTTTGAGTCATTCTCACTCAGCGGCTCGTCGAGCGCGATTGAGTCCTCAAAGGCATTGATAATCTTGGCGATGGGCGTGCCGGGCACGGCTTGAGCCGGGCCATTAGAGTCGAGAGGTTCGGACATAGCCCAGGTCGCGGGGATCAGGTCTGGCGACGTGTACATCGACAAGAACACATTGATGATGTCGTTGGAGCTGGAGCCGATGGGCTGGGCCGAGTCGGCGTCGGACTCGGACGCTGCCGCCTGCTTGGCTGTGATGATGCGTTTGGCCACACAGATGTCCACCTTGACCATGGCCGCCAGATAATCCAAAGAGGCAAGCTCCAAGAAGGCAATCGCGGCACAGACCGATGTGTTGTCGTTCACTCTCTTGAGTGCGAACGATCTGATCAGCCATCCAATGATCTTTGTCTGCTCCACCGTCAGATGCAGCTTGTCATCGTTGCGCGCTGATGAGCCAGCCTTGGCCAGGGCTTGGGCGGCAAAGAATCGGAATGCGCGCAATGGACGACCTTTTTCGAGGTAATAGAACACGTCGATACGGTCGATGTAGCCTTCCTTGAATGATGTGAGTGCAAAGTCTGGCACGCGCACTGAGAGCGGGTCGGCGCCAATCGCTCCAAACAGCGAGGAGAGGTTGAAGATTGAGTTGGCCTCGAGTAGCTCTGATAGGGTGATGTCAGCCTTGGAGCTGACAATATCGCGTGGCTTTGATTGCTTGGCTAGTCTCGACTTTTGATTGATTCGTGAGTGATTGGACTTCTCCAATCGCGAGAAGAGTGCGTGTAGCGTTGGTGATTGAGTACGCAGGTGATCAAGCAGTGGGGGCATGTTGATCTTGGCGCCCAGCTCTGTGACCTCGCTGACGAGGCTGGCGATCGATACGGGCGCGTAGATCATTGCAGCCAGAGCCATCATCGGACGACCAGCGTCCAGAGCACTGTTGACTGCAGAGATGAAGCCGTCAAGGCCGGCCGACGACGATGGGGCAGCGATGCGCAAAGCCGTGGCAATGTTGACGACGTTGGCGCGCAGCAGGTCCGAGGCGGTGCGCGAACGCAACAGGAAGAGGAGCTCAGCTTCAGGTGCGAGCATATCGAGCTGCATGATTCCAGTGTGTTCAGCGCGCACTGATTGAGTGGTGGCCAGGTTGTACGCCTGCAGGTAAGTGGACAGCAGCAACAACAACTTCTTCTCAATGCAGAAGCGAATGAAGAAACTATGGAATGGGGCCGACTGGCCGATGGGCAGCAAGTGATTGAGTGGATAGGCGTGTGATTGGACGATGCCGTTGCTGAGCGTGGGGAACAGCTGTTGGGAGATGGCCAGACGCTTCAGGAGCAAGTGCTCGCGGCTGGTATTCTTCTCGCGACTCTCAATATAGAACAACGGGGCTGTCTCCACGTCGAGAAGGAACACGCGATGCTTGGCCAGCTGATTGAGTAGCACCTCGCGAATGTATGGTGGCGAGATACAGACCGCACGCAGGATGGCCTGGTGCACCTCGACCAGTTCGGGTGCAGGTGAGGCAGAGGCAACCGAAGCAGTATCCTGCAGGATGAGCGAGCGGAAGTACTGCAGCTCAGGAGGCGTGAGCGAGTCGACCCATGTAATGACATCTTGTGCGCGGGAATGAGACACGGCGAACAACAGCTTGGAGAAACGGTCACGCTTGTCCAACTCGAATTGGCGATCGATCAGAATGCGCTCGCGTGTGTCGTGTGACCATCGCGACGCCCAGTTGAGTGTGAAGTGACTGTATCCATCGCCGCCCTCGTTCGCATAGTAGGGCATGCTGCCTGGCTCGTTCTTGATGGGCGGATATAGAGTGATAAGGTTGCGACTGCCAGTGTTGAGGTCGATAGGGCCGCTTGGCACCGCGTTGGGTCGCAGATAGCCGCTACTGTATACGTTGGACTGCTGATAGATGTTGTTGCTGCTGCCTCCAATGTTGTGTGTGACGATGTGGAAGCCGTAGTTGTTCTCTGTGTCTGGCAGGATGTCGTCGACCTCCTGGCATAATGGCTTGAGGTCATCGTCAGTGGTCTGCGTGTCGAAGCTGCCTTGGCGCGAAAGTGAAAGGTTCTGCGCCGAAGCATTCTGAAGTAGCAACTGTGACGGCTTGGACTCTTGGAAGGGGCGCCATTTGAACGAGAGACGAGAGAACTCGCGGTAGTAGCTTGCGTTGGGGTAGAGCTTCTCCATGTGCTTGGCGAACTCCATCAACGCCAGGAAGTCGGCAGAGAAGATGGAAGTATCCTTGGCCATGGGGTGGTTGGCAAGCGCCTCTAGCAAAAGATTACGGATGCCTCGACGCGATGTACTCAATGCGATCTGCTTGAGATGGGGCACGATTGGCTGGCCCAGGTGAGACAGGAACTTGATCGCCTGCTCCAGCTGGTCCTGGCTGATGGCCTGGTAGACCAGGCATGCGGCGATCTGTCTAAAGTGAGCCAAAGTGAAGGTTCCAGTGGGCGGGATGATCTTGGGGAGGCCGCCAATGCCTCCATCACGCTGGCTCATGGCGTCTGAGTTGCCTCCTGCACTCGCGTTACTTATGCTTCCACTGATGCGCAACAAGTCGTCCTGTGATGCTGCCGCGCCAGATGGCATCAACAGACCATGCTTCTCGCGCTTCCAATTGATAAATGCTATCACAGATGAGATAGTGTTGTTTGCCAGCGACTCTTTGACGATCTCCAACTCCTCCATGCGCTCCCAGCGCTCGCGTAGACCCTCAAACCAGGGTCCCATATCGATCTCATCGGTCGAGAGCACGTAGGCGCCCTGACTCATGCCGCCATGTCCACCGCCCGCGATGTTGATGGGGTGACGGTTGGCGTATGAGTGCTGCTGCTTGCTTGCGCTTGGCTGTTGCTGTTTCTGGAACATGCGGAATGCTTCTAGAATCGTTGTAAAGTTGAGCAGGTCCTGGATGGGCGAGTTGATGTCCTCGAGTTGCGCGCTGCTGTGTGTATTGGCGCCCGGTTGATTGGTAAAGTGCGAGTGGCTCGGTGAGAGGATAACGTTGAGCGATGAGAGTGTGAGGTTGGCCTCGTTCAGGGGGGTGGTCAGCGTCTCAGTCCAGTTGAAGTTGATGTCGCCCACGTTGGACTGAGAGCTGATGGCCGAATGGACCAGCGAGGCGCGGTCCTTGATGATCAGACCAATGAAGTTCATGCCAATGTGCAGCAGATCTGATGTGAATGACTCGTTGTGCACGTTGGCGTTGGACGCGTTGGCAGTGTACTCGAGGATGGTGTTGACTAGCAGTCGACTGCCAATGAGTTGCTGGTCCAGGTCCAGACTCTTGAGTGCGGGCTCCACCACGTCCAGCTGGCGGTACTTGAGACCGAGTTGCAGTGCGTGGATCTTGAGGTCGCGTTTGTTCCAATTGTTGAGCGCGCATAGGTAGTTGGCGCTGGCGCTACCCTCGTACATGATCAAGTTGTTGAGTATCTGTTGCTGGTTCTGATCAATCATGATCACATTGAGTCCACTGCTGCTGATGAAGTAGAATGATTGGTCATGCAGCATGATCGACTGCATACGCTCGTCAAATATGTGATGCGCCACCTTTCCATGATCAGTTCGACTGAATAGGTAGTACTCTGTCTGTGTCTGAGGCTCGGACGCCGACGAGGATGCATCGCCGTCAACTCGCTTTGCAAAGTCCCTTTGAAATACGATCACTTTAGGAGTGATCCACATCGACTGGCCCTCGACCTTGTACAACGTGGCATCCATCTCGGGCACGACGCCAGAGATCTGGTAGCAGTGCTCGATCAACATTGGCACGTTATTACCAAGTAATGTTGGGCCGTTGTTGTTTGGTAACGCCTGCGATGCGTTGAGCCCGCCAGATGTGTCGAGCTGGTCGTGGTTGAGGTCGGCGATCGACAATGACCTTGACATCGAGTATGAATTCTCTCTTGAGTGTCCTCGGGAGATAGTGCCGCGACTACCACCCGCACCACCCTGCTGCGATGGTTGAAGCTGCTGTTGCTGCTGCTGTTGGAGCAGCTGTGAATTGTTGATCTTGAATCCGTTGAAAGGATATTGAATGGATCGATTCGGCAGCCATGACACCATGGCGTCGTACTCCTTCTCGGCATCCATCGGCACGAATGTGCTGTCCTCAGTCTCGAACCAATGTACCAAGCACATGTCATTTGTCAATCGATTCTTCGTCGTCTTCTTCTTCGTCATCTTCGTTTTCTTCGTCATTGTCTTCGTCATTGTCGTCGCCCTTGTGAGCGCGGTCCTCCTGCTCGAGCCAACTCTCCTTATTGAACAAGACCACATCAGTGTCAAAGTGAGTCTGCGGCGTCCTCTGGAAGTATGTATCCAATGCAATGACATAGATTCTTTGTTTATCGTCCCTAAGTGTCATTGTCTCCTTGTCCGACGACACTGAGAAGTCCCTCATAATGGCTGTGTTCGAGTCTGCTCGATGTTAGTGCACTGTCTTTGGGATGCATCCAATTAAAGACATGACATACCTTCGTTGGTGGCAGCATTGTGCTTTTGTAGATAGTCCCAGATGTTGATGCTGCCGCGCTGTCGTCCGTTGATGCTCCAAACATCGACGTGTACGACGCCTGTTGTTACATTTCTTCGCATGATGAATATCCATTTGTCGATGGACTTGATCACCAACTCATCAGGTATCTTATGTTTCTTGTCTTCTTCTTCTTCTTCCACTTTGTTCTTGTTACCATTCTCCTCATCATCATCATCCTCATCATCATCTTCATCATCAACCTGAGGCGCTAGACTAAAGTGCCTCTCGACGTACATGACGAACCTGCTGTCAAACTGTCTAATCTTGATGACGACCACTCTATCCGCGTTCAATAGCAACACGACTGTACCTAGACGGTCGCAAGAGATCAGTTCCATTGATGGGTCTGGGAGAGGGGAGGGGAGGAAAGGTCAGTATGTTTGTGGATAGGCAGGGGTGTCGATCTCAGTCGACTGCATACCTGATGATGGCTCGACCTCAATGAGTGCCATGAGACTGTTGTATTCAATCACGTATGAGTGACATTGGAAGGATCCAGAGCTGAACAGCTTAGCGGATGAGGTGAACAAGTCCTTGGAGTCGGATGAAATGACACTGAGTGGCTTCTTGAGTCGCTTGAGCAAGCCCGCCGCAGTCTTGTTCAGAGCGATAGAGTGCTCCGGGAAGATGGACACAATGTGTAGACGTGTTTTGTTGTTGGATATCGATGTGAAGGCCAGGATGGCCGGTGTGTCATGTGCGGCCTCTGCCTCGCTGGCGTAGAGCGCGATGGTCGAGTGCAGGGGAAGTGGACGACACCATTGGAACTGGGTGATTGAGTGGGCGGCGTCAACGCCCAGCATCGAGCTGTTGGTCAGCTCGGCCAACGTAGTGAGCTCGACATTGTTCAAAGTGGTGTCCACATTCTGTGAGCTCGACGCGGCAATCGATGAGATCAAATCCATTTCATTGGATGCGCTGCTGCGGCGGTAGCTCAATGATAGACTTGATGCCACGCCTCCAATATTGAGTACCTGTAATTGTTTCTTCTGCTGGGCATCACTGCCACTGAGCACTGCAATAAAGGTCGAGACGGCACCATCACTGATGGCACACTTTATCATTGAATGTGGCTGGCAGGCCTTTGGCCATGAGGTCAAAGGTATGTTTCTAATCAATAATGGCAATGACTCCATCATCGTGTCGTATCCTGTTGCTGCTGCTGCTGCTGCTGCCGCTACTGAAGTAGATTGATTGAGTATATTCATTATTGGTGATGATGACATTGATTGTTGTTTATTCTGATGTTGTTGTGGAGGTGATGATGTTGCCATCACTTCTCAATCAACTTTTAAAGGTCAATCAATCACTCTATCTCTATTATATTATGTTATTGTAAAATATATGTATATAAGTATGTCAATGTTGTTGTTTGATTATTATATATATTGATTGAGTGAGAGAGATAACCAACCAGTCACAAGAAGATTCTTCTTTTTTAATTTTTGCAAAGGACCAGAGGTGTCCCTTGAGTTCACCAAGGTTGAATCTGATCATTGGGGTTGAATTGGAATTGCTCACACCGGGTCCATCATCACAGATCACTCCTCGTCTTCTTCAACTTCAGTGAGCTCCTCATCATCGTCCTCTTCCTCCTGTTCATCTTGTTGACCTTCATCCATTGTTTGGTCGTCGTCCTTATGAACTGCCTCCTCTTCCTCATTCTCTGTCTCTCCATCATCCTTCGCCGATTCCTTGGGGTCGGTCTCAGGCTTAACCTCTTCTTCAGGAGGCTTTAACTCTTTGAGATAGTTTGACAATTCCTTTGAAACTAGATTGAGGTATACTATTGGCCAGTGATTGGTTGGTTGTTAGTCATGGGCAGATGTTACTTCTGAGGACATGGACATACCATTCTTGCTCACAGCAATAGAGTATAACTTAGACTCGATAGCCTTGGCCGCTTGGATTGATTCCGACACATCGCCATTCAATACATCCATGCACTTCTCGAGGATATATAACAGGATACTAGATTGATTGATTTGATTGGATTGATTGATTAATTGATTGAATGAATGAACGAGTAAGATGCATGTGTACATACGCTTGACGAGCGAACCTTGGCACTTTGGTCCTAGTCTCCACTGGTATCATTGGGAGTTGGCTGACCTCGATACCTAGAGCACTCCAACGAGCTGGGTCGAGTTGTTCTTGGTTCTGAATGATGTCCAGCATCTCTTTGGGTGGCTTGGCCGTTGCACCCTGTAGCGATGGGTTCCACATCGATGTCTTGACCTGAAGTAGATCGATTGCCGGTGATGTAGTCGATGGTGTGTTGGTACTTGAAGCTGTAGTTGTCGGCTTGGATGGTGATGATGTTGATGTTGGTGAGAGTGGCTCGACCTTTAGATGTTTCTTTGGTGGCTGTTCATCATTGTTGACTGTTGCTGTAGTTGTTGCTGTAGTCTTTGACTTGATTGGTGATACGGGAAGTGCAGTGGGTGAGGTGAGCGATGATGGTGTCTGTGTTTGAGGTTGGGTCTGTGTTGCCGGCGTCAATGAGCGCTTCCTTGGGTCGGTTACCAGAGGTGTTGTAGTCTGTTGCTGATGCTGATGTTGATGCTGCTGTTGTGGTGGTACAATACCAGGTCTATGTTGTTGTTGTTGTGGTTGTACCATCTGTTGTTGTTGTTGTTGGTATATCTGTTGCTGAGGCTGTACAATTGGTTGTTGTGCTACTACTTGTGGCTGTATCAGTGGTGCTTGTTGATTGTATACAACTGGTATGTTATTGTTCATTGGCATATTCATTGGCATTGGTTGTTGGAACTGTTGTGAGTACTGCTGGGATTGTTGATTGTAATATGATGGTTGTTGAATGAATGGCTGTTGTTGTTGAGGTATTATCGGTATTGGTTGTTGTTGTAGTGGCTGCTGCATCAAGTGTTGTTGTTGTTGCTGCTGCAGTTGATGTCCATGACCAAAGTAACATAGGTCACCAAGTATACAACCATTCTGGAATGGACAGTCTACTGCCTTGAAGCTCTGTGTCATAAACATGTTGTTGTTGCTCTCTCTCTCTTAATCGATCAATCAAACAAACAATCAATCAATAAACAAACAATGAACAACAATCAATAGACAGGTCTCTCTATCTCTATCTCTATTGTATCTATGACTATAAATTGAAGAATGCATGAACCTGGTCATGTCCCCATTTTGAATCCCACTTTGAACTTTCATCTACCCAAAGGATTGAAATAATTTGCCAGGTGGGGTGGGACGAAGACTTCCATTTCGGATCATCAACAATCCAAAGTCCAACTCCAACTTCAATCCAATTACTTCATAACCTACAACCACTACAACTACTACTATTACTTATTATTATACATAACTTTGTTGGATCACAAGATGAATGTGATCACAGTACCAAAGGTCAAACCTGATGTACCGTCCAGTCCATTCGACAATGAGTTGTTGCCTGAATTGATTGGATGGATGGATGAACAGGAGTTTAAAGATATGGTGGCATCATTCAATAATAGACCAACATCGGGTGATAAGTCATTCGGTGTTTCATTAGTGACATGTGTATTCTGTGCATTAATATCTATTTTGATCTTAAACTCTATATCATCATCAAATGGAACAATACATACCATCAAGATAATTGGAATCATTATACTACTATTTGGAGGTATCTCCACTCCTTTATACTTCTGGAATTCAATGGTTAAGAAGGTAAGTTGAAGGCAGGCATCATATCAATCACTCACTCAATCATTCATTCAATCAATCAATCATGGAACTATTCCATCACTAAACCACACATGTACCAATCACTCAATCGATCATGGAACTATTCCAATCACTCATAATCAAACATGGAACCATAATAATAGAGAAAGGCATACTATGAGGCAAGAGTCAAGGATTACAACAATTTATTCAATGGACGAGGAGTAATCATTGAGTTTTATTATCATCATAAGAATAATTATGATGTAAGTATTGATCAATCAATCACTCAAAAGACAACTTACTGACATGGATGATTCCCAACATAGTTAAAGATCACATACCCTAATAGACCACCACTTCAACCAGTTTGGAATCAATCCATTCAAGTACAACTACCACCTCAAATAATGCCATACAACATGATGGCACCAATGAATCCTCATGTATTATATGTTCCAGCAGTTGGAAATAACTGGATCAATGATATCTCTATCGATGTTGGTGTTCCAACAGAGAGTACATCATTGTTAAAAGGATGATCGATCGATTCTGTAATATATATAATCAATTATTAAATGTACATATGTTGGACGTTTGGATACATCCATAACAAACGTTTATGCTTGTATTGTCTCGACTCTGTGTTGCCGATGTACTTGGGTGGTTTGTAGACTCTTCCAACAAAGGTAGCTGGTGATAGGATAGTCTTGATCATGTCTGGATCCATCCCTCTCGTGTCAATGTGCATCCGAGACAGATCGAGTATGTCATTGACATGTTGTTTGAGTTGTTCAATCTGTCCCATTGATCTTATTGATATCGCTCCACCACTAATACAGAGTGTATCCAGTCTTCTTTGTAACATTGGCATGTCAATGAAGTTGGACAAGTCCAATGTGATATGTTGAAGTGAACATGTAACATCGGTGAACATGTAGTCGAGCAGGATAGGCACTTCAAGGACTTGGGCAGCACTGGGCAATGGATTGAATAGGGCCAGTGACTTGAGCTCTGGACTGCGTTGAATGTATCTCAGAAGTTCAGGAACGTTTGACTCGGAGCCATCATCAAAGTTGTGACAGCATGATGGAGACACATTGATTGAGAGCGATTCGAGTCTCGACAGCTTTGAGAGTGTTCCATAGAATTGGTCAGGATTTTCCATGATGTATAGTCCATAGCCAGAGTGGTAGGCCATGCATTGATCATAGATTGTCAACGACTTGATGTTGGGGAAGTGCGTAGGCAGGCAGTCGGTCAATGCTTGCATCCAAGGACGTCCAATCTCATTCTTGTCGTAGAGGTCTTGTTGTGTCCCTCCCGATACCAATACTCTTAGGATGAGTGACTTGATGTTGTTGCCAATGATTGAAGGTAACATTTGATTGAATGATAATGGATTGATATGATTGATAACCAATGATTGGATAGATTGTAGACATAGACCATATCGATCAATGAGTTGTGCCACTTGTATACAATATACTCTATCAATGTTGATTGATATCGATTGGAGTTGTAACTGATTGAATAATGACTTTATACTTTGTACTTTATGCTCCAATGTATATGATGGATGACTAAAGTGTCTACACTGTAGACTTGTTACGGCACCATGTAATGTTATTGACTTGATTGATTGTATTTGATATAATGAGTACTTGTTAGTATCATCAATGTTTAGATGATATATTACATCATACAATGAATCTATCATCATTGTGTCATTATTGAGGATATGTGAGTCATTGTTGAGTAGTTGTACATCTGGTTCATAATCTAGACTTGCAGATATATTGATGTATAGGGTATTGTTGAATGATCTTGTCATTGAATGGAAGTACCATGATACCAATGACAATGACCTGACCCATCGTCTATCACCAATATCATCACTAGCTGACATTGACCATAAAAAGCTATAGATATATTTCAAAATTGATAATGATAACATTAAATAATATAATAACTCTCTAGATATCACTAAGTTGTGGAGAACAGAGATATACGACACTCTCTTGTCCGAAGCTCTGCAGAGCCAAGGGGTGTAAAGAGACAATTTCCTCCCCAGGATTTTCTAACCATCATCGAGTCACTCCGAGATCTCTCAGTCCAGTGAGATCACCTCCAGCATGCCACCTCCTCAACAAACAGCAGATCATCAAACTTGGTTATCTCACATCTACCCTGGCATCAGACACTTATTATGATCGAGTTCGTAACCTCACCCGTCATCTTTGTTGCTTCATTATTCGCTAAGTACAAAGAGTGTTTCTCAGTGAGCTCAAGTCACAGAGGATCATTTTTAGAGTCAATTTCAAATGGCAAATGGGATGAACCTCCACATTTGCTTTACACAAAAAAATTAAAATAAATTTATTCTTTTACAAGATTGGAACCAATTAATTATTATGAGTGGAAGAACAATCCAAAAGTTGTCAATATTGTTTTGAAAGTGATTGGTTATTGGACAATCCAAAGAGGTAGTCACATAATGGTCCGGTGTTAATTGTCTTCCAATTAATGTTGTTCTGGTAATTTGGATATAGGAGTCAGATTGATTGATTGATCAAGTGTGATTGACTGATTATAACTTACTTGTATAGTTTCAAGTACATAGTCCACTGAGGTCTGAGGAAGGTATGTCTTGTCACTCATGAACTGTTTGAATTGTTTGTAGGCAATTGGTGAATCATAGTTGTTGGCAAGCGTCATCAATAGCTCTGGCTGGAATCTGCTTGGGAATATATCCCAATGCTCCTGGACATACTCCCATGTTCGATCAAGCGCCTCCTGATTCGCTGCCAGACTCGATGTCAATGTTTTCTGGTCTTGGATTCTGATCGTACCCTGTTTGAGTTGATTGAGTGAGATGAGTTAGCGAGGCAGGGTTAGGGTAAGGAAGGGTAGGGTAAGGGTAGGGTACGTTACATTTCCCATCAAGTTCAATGATTGTTGGATGAGATAGGATTCCTTGGGAAATCCAAGTGCAGAGAGTGCATCTGCTCTCTCATTGATCGATGTGGCAGTGTTGAGGTATCTACCAAGTACCCAGTTATACTCTTGGTAATCTCCATTACTAACAATTGATTGATATACAGTCCTTCTAACATTGACATCAATGAACTGTGGCGTGTTCACTATTGTTGATTGATTGAGTGAGTGAGTGAGTGAGTTAGCTTGGGCAGGGGACTGGATGATCCAGGATGAACGGCAACTTACTGTTTTGGACCCAGACGTTGTGGAGATGTTGAGTGACGTTGGATACACCAGCAGAGTTACCAATGGAGATGGCGTATTTGGCTATAAGTTGTTGTTGGTAGGTGTTACTGATGTTGGTGGTGTAGATATTATTAACGTTGTTCACTAATGTTGTTGCAAGTGATTGAATGTATGCTGAGTATTGTGGATAACACATCTGGTCTGACATCCTTTGACCAATGTAAGATGTGCCAGACATTGCTGCTCTCCAAACATATATCTGGTTGTCATTTATCTGATTCGTAATGTTCAAGAATCTAATCATCTCCAATGCCTAAAACATGTTTGATTGATCGAGTGAGTAATTGGAATAGTCCCAGTGAATGGACAATCGATCAATGACTTACACTTGATGGCTGGACTTGTCCAGATTGAACAAAGCTGAATGTGTCGTCGAGGAAGGCGATGGCTGCTTGTGAACTGATGACCGTGTTGACGTTCGCCAACTCGTTGCCGATTTGTTTGAATAGCGCGTCGTCATAGTGTGTTCGGTAGAAGCCTGTCGAGTCGGCATTGAGCATTGTGAATACACAGTTTGGTACATTGATCGTGGTCGACGTCTGACTAAAGAGTATGTCATCATTGTTTGATGCACTCGTAGTGCAGTTGGTTTGGATGGTGATTGGTACCTGCCACACAGTGGTATCATTCGGCTTGGCATTGATGTCATTGATGTATCTGGATTGGGCCAGTGTGAGAGTGTCGCCATTCCTCGAGACGCTGACCATTGGAAGACCAGGCTTGTTGACCCATGCACTCATGATGTTGGATACATTGACTGTGCCGCCAGTGGCGGCAGTGAGTGCATCCCAAAGGTCAGAGGTCTGGGCATTGCCATAGCTGAACTTCTTAAGATATGATTGGATGCCAAGTTTGAATTGGTTGGTCGTGCCATTGTTGAGCATAGCATTGAGCATACCCAATACACTGGCTCCCTTATTATAAGTGATCGAGTCAAATGATGCAATGATATCCACTACAGTGACGTAGTTGTTTGAGATAGGATGTGTGGAAGATGATGAATCCATTTGTAATCCAGAACTCTTGATGTCAATGAGGAAGTCTGATGGTGTCTAATGATTGAAGTAAGTTAGTGATTGAGCGATTGAATGAGTATTCGATCGATTGGACTCACATTGAACTCGGGGCAAATTGATGCCATTGCTTGGTAAGCCATGAACTATGTTTGATTGATTGATTGATCGTGTATGTTAGTGGGTGAGGCATGGGATGGAGTGACGACAGACATACAGTTGCAAAGCCTTCGTTCAACCAGAGGTCGTTCCACCACTTCATGGTGACAAGGTTGCCAAACCATTGATGGGCAATCTCATGTGAGACAACCTCGGCCACTGATTGTTTGTCATTGACATTGGCAGTTGTCTCATTATAGAAAAGTAGGACCTCTCTGAATGTGATGCAGCCCCAGTTCTCCATGGCACCAGATGCAAAGCTAAGGGAAGGGGGTAAGTGCATGTTTGATTGATCAAGTGACTGAGTGAGTGAGGGTAACTACATACTCTGCGACACCAACGAGATCTAGCTTGGGCAAGGCGTATTCGATACCAAAGTACTGGGTGTAGAACTTGGTGGCATTGACGGCAATGTCTAAGGGGTACTCACGGGCAGAGGCAAGAGCATTGGACGACCAGACACGGATCTCGATGTTTCTGCCAGTCGCCGCGATCAAGTGTTCGGAGTAGGTGAGCTGGCTCACTACAAAGGCCACGAGGTATGAGCTCATCTTTGGTGTTGATTGGAACATGACCAATGTACGACCCGGTGCACTAGCGTTACGTGCTTGTTCGGGCATGTTGGAGATGGCCGTGTAGGCCGAGTCAATGTCGCACCAAATAGTCCAGATGGCCTTCATGGCAGGTTCGTCAAAGCATGGGAATGCCAGACGAGCGTAGGTCGGCTCCATCTTGGTCAGTGCCAGGTACTTCTCACCGGGGTCGTAGTACTTGGACCTGTAGTAGCCCTTCAGGCCATCTGTCAGGTTGGCATTGTACTGGAGATAGATGTTGAACAATGATCCCTTCTCGAGCAGCTCGGGCAACTCCTTGAACTGAATGACATAGTATGTGTTGTTGGCGTTGTATGTTACGCGCAGGGGCTCGTGTGCCCCGGCTGGCACCTGTGAGCTGGTGGGGTAGGTGGCGGCGTCAGCGGCAGTGGTCGGAGCGAGAAAAATCGATGTGATGTTGAGGTTCTCGCCGTGGAGCACGACAAAGTCCTTCTTCTGGGTGATGTTGACGGTGATCACGACGGCGCCAGTGAATGTGAAGTTGTTTAGATACGTGTTGACGTGCAACAGGTAGTTGGTTGGTGTGACCCAGGTGGGCAACAGCATGTCCGTGTAGACTACAGCACTTGGGTCACTGTCATTACGATCTCGTGTCGTGAAGTAGACTATCAGGCCAATGGATATTGCCAGTAACACTATAATGATTGCTGCCAACACTGCCTTGCGTGTCTTTGTTGCAAACATCTGAGAACAAGTACCCTTACGCTTATAATCTTGACGAAGGTATTCATCCTCACGATGATCATTATCGTCATCATCGACTCCGAATGCACTATTACTCATTCTCTCTATGTTGTTGTTGTTATTGTTGATTGTTGAATGAATGAATGAATGAATGAGTGAGTGTTTGGAATTGGAATGACGTGATGATCAATCAATCAAGTGATCAGATATTTGATCAATCCCACCCGACATGCCCCACACCCACACCTTCCCCCAGGGTTACTTAACTTGGACAAGCATGTCACACGTGTCAAACTGTTTGATTATGGGATAGATCCATGTTTATTGATTGTATGAATGCATGGGTGAATGACGACATGCTTAGTTGGACAGACCAAAGAGGTAGGTGCAGAGTGGCTGGGCGAATTGTGCCTTCCAGTTGATGTTGTTCTGGATGGTGGAGAGGACGTAGTAGACGGCTGCTTGGGGCAGGTTGGGCTTGTCGCTCATGAACTCCTCGAATTGGGTGTAGGCCAGTGGATAGTCAAAGTTGCCACTGAGTGTAAACAAGACCTCTGGTTGCATCTTGGCTGGCAGCTGGTCCCAGTTCTCCTGGACGAATGCCCAGGTGCGATCGAGTGCCTCGGGGTTGGCGGCCAACGCTCCAAACAGTGTGCTCATGTCCTGCAGTCTGATTGTGCCGTTTCCAAGGTAGTTCAGTGATTGCTGGATGAGGTATGATTGCTTGGGGTAACCGAGGGCGACCAAAGCATCAACACGCTCATTGATCGAAGTGGCAGTGTTAAGGTATCTTCCAAGCACCCAGTTGTACTGCTGGTAGTTGCCATTGCTAACAATGGATGTGTACACAGTCCTTCTAATGTTGACATCAATCAGCTCTGGTGTGTTCACTATTGATTGGTTGATTGAGTTAGTGAGTGATCAAGGTGATGGACCTAAAATACAGGGAGGCAGGATGACTTACTGTTTTGGACCCAGACATTGTGGAGGTATTGGGTGACGTTGGTCACGCCGGCAGAGTTACCGATGGAGATGGCATACTTGGCGGTCAGTTGATCTGGGTAGGAGAAGGTGGTGTTTGTGGTGTAGACGTTGGCAACGTTGTTAACCAAGGTGGTGGCAAGGGACTGCATGAACATGGCGTACTGTGGATAACAAATCTGATCAGACATCCTCTGAGCGATGTAAGACTGACCCGAGAAGGCAGTTCTCCAAACATATATCTCCTCAGCGGTAACTGGTGTGCTTCTGTTCAAGAATCTGACCATGTCCAATGCCTGTTGTTTGATTGATTGAGTGAGTGATTGATTGAGTGATTGAGTGATTGAGTGTGAGGCTTGAGGGTACTTACACTTGATGGTTGGACTTGTCCTGATTGAACAAAGTTGAAGGTGTCGTCGAGGAAGGCGATGATGGCTGGTGATCCAATGACGGTGTTGACGTTGTTCAACTCGGTGCTGACCTGCTTGAAGAGGTCATCTTGGTAGAGGGTACGGTAGAAGCCGGTGGAGTCGGCGTTCAACATGGTGAAGACGCAGTTTGGAACGTTCTGGTTGCCAGTCTTGGCGGCGAAGAGTGAGTCGACGGTGGTGCAGTTGGTCTGGATCGAGAGTGGCACCTGCCACACGGTAGTGTCGTTGGGGTTGGCATTGATGTCATTGATGTATCTGACCTGGGTGAGGGAGAGGGTGTCGCCATTTCTTGAGACGCTGACCATTGGCAGACCGGGCTTGTTGACCCAGGCGTCCATGATGACCGAGACGTTGGTGGCACCACCGGTGGCGGCAGTGAGCGAGGCCCAAAGATCAGAGGTCTCGGCATTGCTGTAGCTGAACTTCTTGAGGTAAGCTTGGATGCCGACCTGGAATTGGTTGGTCTTGCCATCATTGAGCAAGGAGTTGAGCATAGCCAACACACTTGCGCCCTTGTTGTAAGTGATCGAGTCGAACGAGGCGACAATATCAACGACCTTAATGAAGTTGTTTGAGATTGGATGTGTGGCTGACGATGAATCCAATTGCAATCCAGATCTCTTGATGTCAATGAGGAAGTCTGATGGTGTCTGTGAGAGTGTCGCGCGAGTGAGTGAGTGAGCAGGCATGTATCAGCTGTCCATGATCAGTGCAACTTACATCAAACTCTGGGCAAATGGCCTCCAAGCATTGGTATGACATGAACGTGGCAAAGCCTTCGTTCAACCAGAGGTCGTTCCACCACTTCATCGTGACAAGGTTACCGAACCATTGATGAGCAATCTCATGAGCAATGACCTCAGCAACAGATTGTTTGTCATTAACATTGGCAGTGGCCTGGTTATAGAACAACAGTACCTCTCTGAATGTGATCAGTCCCCAGTTCTCCATGGCACCAGCTGAGAAACTAAGAGTGAGGGATTGGTTAGTGATTGAGTGGTTGAATGAGTGGGATGGTTCCATGGACTTACTCAGCAACACCAATGAGATCCATCTTGGGCAGAGCGTACTCGATACCAAAGTACTGGGTGTAGAAACGGGTCGAGTTGATGGCGATCTCCAATGGGTATTGTCTGGCGGTGGAAAGGGCGTTGGACGACCAGATACGGATTGTGATGTTTCTTCCATCGGCCTCCAAGAATCCGTCGGTGTGGGTCATCTGACTGACGACAAAGGCCACGAGGTATGAGCTCATCTTGGGTGTGGGCTGGAACTTGACCAATGTGCGACCTGGTGCGCTGTCGGCGCTGGACAGCTCGGGCATGTTGGAGAGGGCGGTGAAGGTCGAATCGACATCGAGCCACACAGTCCAGTTGGCTTTCATGGCGGGCTCATCAAAGCATGGGAATGCCGAACGAGCATCGGTTGGCTCCATCTGGGTGATGGCGAGCCACTTCTCACCGGGGTCATAGTACTTGGACCTGTAGTAGCCCTTGAGACTGTCGGTCAAGTTGGCATTGTACTGGAGATAGAGGTTGAACAAGGTGCCCTTAGCGAGCAACTCGGGCAACTCCTTGAACTGGATGACATAGTATGTGTTGTTGGTGTCGTAGGTGACGCGCAGGGGTGCGTAGGCGCCCTCTGGTGCCTGCGAGCTGGTGGGGTAGGCGGCGGCGTCGGCGGCAGTGGTTGGGGCAAGCAAGATCGATGTGATGTTGAGGTTCTCGCCGTGAAGGACGACAAAGTCCTTCTTCTGGGTGAAGTTGATCGTGATGACAGCGGCGCCAGTGAATGTGAAGTTGTTGAGATACGTGTTGACGTGCAACAGGTAGTTGGTGGGCGTAACCCAGGTGGGCAGCAGCATGTCCGTGTAGACATCGGACGATGGTTCGTTGTTCTTGTGATGACGATCACGTGTGGTGAAGTAGACCACGAGGCCAACGGTCACAATCAACGCGATAATAATTGCCGCCAACACTGCCTTGCGTGTCTTTGTGGCAAACATCTGTGCACATGTTCCCTTACGCTTATAATCTGGACGAAGGTATTCTCCTTCGCGATCATACTCGCTACTCATTTGGTAGCCGCTCATTCTCTCTATCTATCTATCTATTATTATGAAGTGATTGAGACCTGTCGAATGATTGATTGATTGAATGAATTAAGAAGTGATTCGGACTAGTTCTTTGATATTTTTGGAAGAGTCTGGTACAAGTTCGCTTTGCAGTCTGTCTGAAAATGGATTTTGATTGGCAAAACGGCTTTTGATCAATCAGGACCTTCAAACTTATCCGAAGTTCTTTTGTGTCCCAAGACTTCCCACCCTCTCAAAGACCATCCCTTCATTCCAACATGTTCATAATGAAGTATTGTCCAACACATAAGAAGGAAGGAAGGAAGTAATGACAGATACAGCACATCAAATATCATTGCGGCATAATCATCAAGCTGATGAAGAGTCAACACTTGAGAGTAGTAATAGTAATAACAATGAATCAAACAAAGATAAACAACAACAACATCAACATCAACAACAACATCATCATCATGATAATGACGATCAACATGGTACCAAATGGTTGACAACAGAGTTCATCATATATTATGTTATAATCATAATAGGTTACCTCATATGTATAAATAAGATATTGAATAGTTCAAGAGGTAAGTAATGATCACTCATTCAATCAATCAATCACTCAATGATCATTCAATCATACTTACTCATTCAATCAATCTATTAGATTATAATGATGGTTTAAAGAATAGTGCAGGTATTGTACCTGGTTGGTTCATTGGTAGGAAGCAGGACTTGTCTGATTCACAGTATAGGACATGGAGAGGTAACTTCCCATTGTTGTCAATTGGTCTATCTATATTCATTGCACTCAGTACGATAATAAGGAAGTATGGAGGCTCATCAATCAACAATATCAACTCAAGACTACTGTATTATATAATTGCATCATTGTTATTCTTGTTGTTTGTTCATGGCTCATCGACCATCATCATCGTGGCCATCGCCCTGTCCAACTTTGGCATCTCGCGCTTCTTTGCCCGCTCCTCACTGCTGCCCCTCGTCACATGGGCATTCAATGGCTTCATTCTCTGGACCTCATACATATACTCTGGCTATCAATTCTCATCTCTGGCCATCCTTGGATCATACGGCCCGCTGCTGGACAGCTATCACGGCTCACTGGCATGGGAAACCTACTTCAAGATGTCGATGCTTCGATTCATCAGCTACAACATGGACTATTATTGGATGATGATGAAGCGGCCTGTTGTCGACACCAAGGACAAGGATGACTACTTTGTGCTGCAAGAGACACACCTCGCGCATGAACACCAGTACGACATCACTCACTACTTGGCCTACATCTTCTACATACCCCTGTACATTGCCGGCCCGATCATCACGTTCAACGCCTTTGTCGGCCAGGTGTACGCGCCACAGCGCACCTACACACTGGCTCAGCTCGTCAAGATGAGCATCAACATCGTGCTCATATTCTTTGCCGTCGAGATTGGCCTGCACTACTCATACTACTACTCGTTCGACCGGTCCGACGTGTGGATGTCGCTGGGCGGCGACGAGATTGCTCTCATGGGCTACATGGTACTCAACTTTATGTACCTCAAGTTCCTGATCATCTGGCGAGTATTTAGACTGTTTGCATTGTACGATGGTATCAACACGCCAGAGAACATGAATCGTTGTGTCAACAACAACTACACATTCACCGGCTTTTGGCGATCGTGGCATGCCAGCTTCAACAAGTGGACACTCCGCTACCTGTACATACCACTTGGTGGCAACAGAACTCGACACATCACAGTCTGGATCATCTTCTTCTTCATTGGTCTCTGGCATGACCTCTGGTGGAGTTGGGTCGCCTGGGCACTACTCAACTGTGTCTTCTTCACCGCAGAGATAGGAGTAATGACATACTTCTACTCGCCCAAGGTATGGACTACCACTCAATCTGCCGCGATACAACATGTACTAACGACACTCACAACTCAACAACTACAGAGACTACCTCTGCGAAGGACTTGGTACTGGAGGTATGTGGTGGCAGTGGCGGGCACATTCAACATATACCTGCTGATGATTGCCAACCTTGCGATACTTCATGGCTTTGCCAACTCGATACTATTCATCAAGTTATGTTTCTTTGGCGAGGGAGGTCTGCGAACATTCATATTCTCCTACGTCTGGCTATTCTCTGGCATATCCCTAATGATTGAGCAACGTGAGCATGAGAGCAGAGCCAAGGCCAACTAGTCTTGGCCCCATTCAATCGATCAATTAAAGGTTAGACAATGCTGGATACACGCATAGTTTATTGGAGCTATGGATGTTGATGATGATCGTTGTGAGGATGAAGATGTTGATGATGATGTGATGTCCACTTGGAGTTGGCCAAGTATTACATTTGATCGAGATGGGAGATGGCAGCTTGGAAGGAGACAGAGCACCAGCCAAACTCGCCGCCACTCTCCAGCTCACCGGCAAAGTGTTGTAGCTGCGACACGAGTAGTGCCGAGCAGCCAATGATATTGGAGTGAATGAGTGTGTAGATAAACAGAGGGAAGAGGTCGTCTGCGCTCATGGTCGACTTTTCACCATTTACAGTGTTGCCGGCCACAAGTTCGCGAGACGTTTGTAGGCGTGGTCGTGTCTGAGGTTGTTGTTGCTGTTGTTGTTGTGTATATTGTACATGATGGTCTGCTGCGGCAGGGCCATCTGGCGATGAGATAATCTGATTGATGAGACTGTTGGTGGCGGCCACTTTGTGGATGGCGCGAGCAAACGCGTTGGTGGGTCGCACACTGCCCTGGGCCATCAAACGCACGGACACGTTGTGGATCATGGAGATAGCGCGCTGTACAGTGTAGACAATGTCGATTGGCACCACATGGAACGCCGCCTCATTGAGTATGGACACGGCGCCCTCGAAAGGCTTGTCGCGAGCGTAGTCAAGATGCTCGGGTAAGTTGCTCGGCAACAGGTTGAGCTCGCGTATCGTCTTGGTTCGCAACTGATCCATCTTGGCCTGGAAGTCCATGTCGTAGCGGATTGATGCGCCACTACCCACGCATTTGTTCAATATGCTCTTGGTGAGCGAGTAGATGCGAGGGTAGAGCGTGCGCTTGGTCATCTGCGAGAGAAGGTGCTGTGTTGGCGTCTCGAACAGTGTGACGGTGGGTGCGATGTGGTGCTGGGCGATCATCTTGGCCGTGAACTTGTCGACAAAGTCCTCAATGTCGAGCGGCACGATCTTCTTGGCAGTGATGACGTCCTCCGAGATTACCGACACGAGTTCCTTGAGGTGGCGGCCCTCGACGAAACGGCTGTCCAGTACCCAGATGTCAAACTCGCGCTGGATGTCCAGGTTCTCGTCCCACGGGAAGTAGCTGTGGAAGTCGGGATGTGGGACGGCGCGTGCCACCATCTCTTTGAGCCGACGAGTGCGCTTCTCCACCGTGTCTGATGTGTAGTTGAACTTTGCGTTCTTATAGATGGCGCATAGACGACTCTCGCGCTTGGTTAGGTACTGGCGCCGCCTCAGGTTGCGCTGCAAGTCGTGCGATCCGCTCATAAGGTCGACGGTCTTGGAGAAGAACGATGAGTAGACGTGCAGGTGGCGTCGTATCGACTCGTCGTCCAAGTAGCGCGTCATGTGGACAATGTCCACGAGCTTGCGCTTCAGGTTGTCACGCTTCTGATCGGTGATAGTCTGTACCAACTCGAGCACCAGGTCATTGCAGACATAGTACTCGTGATAGGACTTGTAGATACCCAATTGGTTATCGGCGTGGAACAATCGCGATTTCTTCTCAAACTTTAGTCGAGCATTCTGTCGCTTCTCCTTCATATCATCGCAGTCCTTTGATATCTTGTTGATCAATGTTATAATCTTTGCGTTGTAAGACTTGAGTAGTTCCTTCAACTATGTTTGATTGTGTGTTAGTGTTTCCGTGTTTCCGTGTTGCCGTGTTGCCGTGTTGCCGTGTAGCCGTGTGTAGCAGTGTGGCAACTGGAAGCATGGACATATGTCTGTGACAGGGTCTACTTACTCGCTTCATCTTTTGTGGATTGTCCAAGTCGATTGGACTGCGATAGTATCGTTGGTCCAGTTGTTGACTCTGGCGATTGTTGGCGTTGAAGCACTCCATTCCTCGACCGCCAAATACTATGGATGTCTTGTTCTGAAGGATGGACGCCGAGGTGATTGATGCCGGAAGTATGGTAGTCAGGTCTGGCGAGCTGACCTTGGTCTGAGTTCGCGACCTATTGCTGCCGCCATTCCCACTGTTGTTGCTGCGAGGTGAGGACGCAGGAGAGTTGGATGATGACGTTGATTTGCTACTGCCGCTACCACTGAGTGGTGATGTTGGCTGGTGCTGCTGTTGGTCGGCCAACAACAGTGAGCCAGGGAACGTGGAGCGGTGTTTGAGCTGCGGGTTGACCGGGTCGAGATTGACAACGGACGTGCGTGTGAACGAGGAGTACTTGGAGGGGTCGGTGGATGAGCGCGGGTGGCTCCATTGGGAACTCCGCAGGTTGCCAGTCACCAAAGCAGACGACTGTTTGTTCTCGCCGGTGGCGCCCGCCAGCGTGGTGGGCTTGCCATTGCGCGAGATTGTTCCAGACAGCCAGGACGAGGTCGAGGGTGAGCCTGAAGCGGGAGATGAAGATGATGAGAGTGATGATAATGATGAAGTTGAGGTGGATGGTGACATTGTAGTGTTATCAGACACAAGATAGTCGTCAGTACTGCATCCAATCAGTGTTGGCGATGATGAAGGTGATTGTGGCTGTGACTGTGAATGTGATTGTGATGAGAGCGAGGAATGGGAATGTGAATGAGAGGTGGTGGAGTGCGATGTTGGCAGACTCGAGTCTGAACTGGAGAACATCTTTGGTCGAAGCTGAAGCATTGGTTTGATGTGAGGGGATGGTTGGGATCGAATGATTGGTGAGCCTGGCCCACTCCCACTTCCGCCGCCATTGCCACTACTTCCGCCGCCACCGCCAAAGTTGGAAAGAGCGGATATCTCGGCACAGGAACTCCTAAGATTGTCCTCAATTCCACGTATATCAATGACCAAAGAATCAATATCCATTAGCAAGGATTCAATATCTTGTTCACTATCCTGTTTCTGAGTCTGTGTCTGCTGTGTCTGTTGTTGTTGCTGCTGCTGCTTCTTGTTCTTGATGTCTGGCGATGATAATGTGATTGGAGTCTTGGTCTGGCCAAGTGAGGCTGATGCTGGACGCCACCATTTGGAAGTGTAGGATTTGGAGTGGTCGATCAGGTCCTCCAACATATCGGATGGAGTGGTGTATGATGTGGCGCCATTGGAAGTGGAAGTGGAAGTGGTGGTAGTCGTCGATGAAGATGATGTTGTCGAGATTGAGTTTCGATTGGATGGTGAAGTGGACTTGGAGTGAGTGAATGGCGTCGACGTTGATGTGACCTTCTGATCGACCGTGTCAAATAGATTGATGGCTAGATCCGAACGGACTTGTTTGGTTGTTTGCTGCTGGATGCCTCCTGGATTTCGATGTGAGTTCATCAACAAGAATGAGTTGGAGGTGCCAGTGGAGGTGGAGTTTGGGTTGGAAGTCGGCTTGGGGGCACCGGTGGTGAACACCATGGCGTTCGAACAAAGATTGGTGCTGGTGGCAATGACAACCAGTGTAACTGTCTGTTGATCAATCAATCAATCACCTTTGTTTGTTTGTTTGCCAAATATATATATGTGTGTGTGTGTGATTGATTGAGTGTGTGTGTGCGTGTGTGATTGAGATGAAGTGATTGATTGATGACACACGAATGCGGGAAGTGTTACTAGTTGTGTATGAGTGAATACTTGAGTTTTTGCTGTTTGATGAGCCACCTCAAAACCTTGATATTTGTTGTTGGCCTTCCACAACTAACCCAGCTATCCAATTCATCCATCGTTTGCAGAGTGGTCCAGATTCGCTGATCACTACCCTGTGCCACACTATTGTTCTTTAGATCTCTCCAAAGGTACAACAACACTCAATGAGAATATCGATTTGTTCACTTCATTTCATGCATTCATTCCATCATTAATCTTCATCTTGGCCAGGTGTTGTGTCAACATAGGCCCTGTTTATCAATGATAATGGGTGATCAACTACTACATCGGTGAATGGGCTCAATGTTCATGGTTGTAGAATGACAATTGTTTGTTTGTTTTTGTTTGTTTGTTAGTCAGTGTCATGACTTAATATCTTTTGTGCCCCTTTGATGTTGATTGTTGGTATCCTAGGTAGGCCATGCGTCATCACTTACCCTCGACCCGCAACCCTCGAACCCTTGAACCCAACCCTCAACCCTCGACCCTTGACTCCTCACACACTCACTTTGATGAATCATTGTTTAGTGAACTTCATTCATTCATTCATTCACCTGCTCAATTATATACAGATAACTCACTTACATACTTAGGATGGCAACATCCAACAAGAATGAACAAGCAACTGGTCATGTTGCAGTGGTCGTCCTAGGTGACATTGGAAGATCACCTCGCATGCAATATCATGCACTGTCAATCGCTCAGTTGCCAAACACAAAGGTGTCGATCATTGGTTACAACGAATCGATACCTCATCCAACAATTGTGAACAATGATCGTATAAAGATACACTCTCTACGTGCATTCCCCGCAATGTCCGAGAAGCTACGCGTCTCTATACTATGGCCTGTGTTGGCAGCACTCAAGGTGATGTTCCAGATCATACAGTTGATGTGGCAGCTACTGTTTGTTGTGCCACGACCTCTACATACTGTTATAGTGCAGTCTCCACCTGCTATCCCCACCATATTCGTACTCCGCATCGTCTGTTCGCTGCGCTCTGTGCGTCTAATCATTGACTGGCACAACCTTGGCTACACACTACTCCAACTATCCATTCGCAAGTCTGAGACACATCCGATCATTCGTCTGGCCAAATGGTAGGGTGGTATTTGGTCGCGATAGCTCCTCATGCTCTCACTCACTCATTCATTCATTCAATCCCATCCAGGATCGAGAAGACCTTTGGAAAGAAGGCTTATGCCCATCTCTTTGTCACTGAAGCCATTAAGAACAAGCTTGTCAAGGAATGGGGACTACAGTATGTGTCGTCTCACCCTCTCCCTCCTTCGCTTACTAACTTACAATCACCAATCAATCAATTCAGAGGCCAGACATACGTGCTGCATGATAAACCAGCACCTATATTCATGTATATGACTGATAAGGAACGATTGGACTTTGTCAAGCTGTTCAAGGACAAGTATAAGATCACGGCTGAGAAGGACGTTCGCTTCATTGACAGCGCCCTACAGACTGCCAAGGGCTCAACACAAACCAGGACCGCCCTGGCAATCTCCTCAACAAGCTGGACGCCAGACGAAGACTTCTCGATACTGTTGAGCGCGCTAGTCGAGTATGACCGCAAGCTGAACCGCATCGAAGAGGGACGTCGTCCAAACATCCTATTCTTCATCACGGGCAAAGGCCCTCAGAAGGAGTACTATGAGCGCGAGATCGCCAAGCTCAACCTCACACACTGCCATGTGATCACCGTATGGCTGGCATCGGAGGACTACCCCAAACTACTGGGCTGTGCCGACGTGGGCGTATCACTGCACCGATCATCGTCGGGCTGCGACCTGCCCATGAAGGTGGTCGACATGTTTGGATGCTGCGTGCCATGCTACGCTGTCGACTTCCAATGTCTGGACGAGCTGGTGCAGACAGGTGTCAATGGTCGCGTGTTCAATGACAGCTCTGATTTGGCACAGTTCTTCTTTGACGACTTTGCCGACTATCCATCGACCAAGCTCAACAAGTTCCGCGAGAACCTGCGCGCCAAGAGAGCTGAAAACACATGGGACAACGAATGGCGACACATCAAGCATCTCTTTGAGAGCAAGCGCGAGCGTGGTGTATCCACTCCATCATCATCCTCTTCTTCATCTTCATCATCATCCACTGGCGATAAAAAGACAAGATAAACCATTCAATCAATCGATCAATCAATCAATCTCTGTTGGTGTCGCAAGGTGGATAGCACGTTGCTTAGTCTATATCAATGTTTATTCGCCAAGGTGATCGTGATCGAGTTGATTTGGTTGTTCCAAATCGTTCGTTTAGAACTTCAATACAATCTTCTTTCCCCTGTAATTGAGTGGATGGTTAGTCATCTCAATCAATCACATGTGAGTGAGATACATACTTCTGAACAAACTGTGGTCCGGATGGAGCTGCTGCCTTGGGCGCAGCTGGTGCTGGCTTGGGACGTGGCTTGTCTGAGCCGGGAAGAGAGGGGAAGTCATCTTCCTTGGGTCTTTGCATTGAGCGAAGTGGCGCTGCGGTTGGTTGTGGTGGCTTGTTGGCCTCCATGGCGATCTTGGAGAAGTTGGTGGTGGAGGTTGTGCCCGATGGGTAGTAGTTGCCCACGCCCACACCCAATAGCGATGGGTACTCAATCTCGTCGTCCTCGTCGTCTCCTGGCAGTCTGCCAGAGGTTCTTGGAGCTCTAGAAGTGGAGTTCTTGGTCGAAGTGCTCTTGCTAATCTTTGACGCCATCGAGTTGGAGGGCGATGGTGCGGTGGATGTTGTGGATGACACCACAAATGTGTGTAGGGGCTTGGTGGACACGTTGAGACCTGGTCCCTTCTTGACCTGCTGCATGGTCTGAGAGGACGACGTCGACCAGATGTTGGCCTGCTCCGTCTTGTTCTTTCCGTCCTTCTTCTTTGAGGGCTTGGATGCCAGCGATGGATACTGCTCCTCGACGTGCTTCATGAAGTTGTGCAGCTGCACCAAAGAGTCGCGCTTCGACTCGTCCGGGAGCAACTCGACCAACTGATCAAAGATGGTGTTGGCATTGGTCTTGCCAAACAGCTGTACAAACTGTGTGTAGTACTCGTTGACCTCGGTGCGTCCGTTCCTAAACTCCACAGAGATGGTCTTGAACACGGCGAACTGCTTATCGTTCAACATCGTCTGAATCTTCTCGATCAGCTGCTTATTCTTCTGGTCGATCTCCTCCTGGGTCAACTGCCGCTGTCTCTCCTGCTTGACAAAGCCTGGATTGAAGGCCTTTGGTGCGCTGCTGATGCCAAACCTGCTGGCCACGACTGAGCTAGCCGAGGGATATGACGACGAGCTTGAGCTGGTGTTGGTGGCGGTCGACAATGATAGTCCAGGGAACTCTTCGGCAAAGTTGTTATCATTGACGGGCGCGGTGGATGTAGTTGATGTTGTTGATGTGGTCGATGTCGTTGTTGTCGACCTGGATGGGGTGGAGGAGGAAGTAGAAGAATACAAAGACGACGAAGATGCAGGCGGCTGTTGTTGTGAGATTCGCGAGTTCTGAGTAAAGTTGAGGTTGATCTGAGTGGCCTGGCGGATCTGTACCTTGGACATGTTGGTCGTGTCGAGATGCGTGGAGATCGAGTGCTGCTTCAAGGTGATCTCGTCGGGGAACACAATGAATCGCTTCTCGACACACTCGGGATGGTCACAGGGGAAGTGCTCGTCGATGAAGTGACGCCTCAGCTTGGCAAAGTCCTTAAAGTATTGGTAGAGCACGCCCACCTTCTCACAGAGGAAGCAGGTGAAATGGGTCTTGGTCATGTGCTCATAGAGGTGGTCGTCGCCGTAGAAGTACCTGTCACAGAACTTGCATACGGGATGTCCCTTCTTGCCCTTCTTCACCTCACCAGCGCCTCCATTCCACTCGGCAAGATGCAGAGGAATGTACTTTGGATCATACAAGTCCTGCTCAGGCAGGAACACCTTTCTATCATTCAGACATATCTCACTTTAAGATTGATTGAGTTAGTGATTGGGTTAGTGATTGAGTGATTGGAATGATTCCAGAAGGATCAACAACATACCAATAACATCTTGAATGCTCGGCTCGCATATGTATCTCAAGCTTCTTGAGAGACTCGAATGGTTGGGATTCACAGAGACGACAGGAGAACTGCCAGAGAGATGCAACACTCTCTTCAAAGTCAGGATTGTCGAATAGGATGTTGAGGCCACGGTTCAGTGACAGCTGGCCCTGTGCGAGCTGAGCATACTTGATATCTGTCTTTTGAGTGAAGATCACTTGTTTCATCTCGGTCTATTGATGGTCAGTCTCGTGATCTTGTGATGTCATGTCATCATGAACAGACTTACCTTGCACATACAACACTTGTTGTCCTTGTATAGCTCTCTTTGACGTAGGATACATAGTGAGCACACCTCGGTATGGTCACATTCTCCGATGGAGTAGAAGACGATTGGATCACAACAGAGGATGCAGTGTCTCTCCTGAATGGGGAATCGGTCTAGTCGCAAGATAGTCTGTAATGAGTTGTCTAACACTGCTGCACTCTTTTGAGGATCTACAACTGAGTGACCATGGGCATGAGCATGTGATGCCTTGCTATTATGTTGATGTTGATTGTGATTATGTCCACCTCCTCTCTTATTCGCTGAGCCATCCTTTGATGGAGTTGTTGATGTCTTTGGCTCTCCTCTTGGCTCTCTTGGTTCTCTTGGCTCCTTTTGATCCTTTTGATCTTTTTGATCCTTTGGATCACGAGGCTTTCTCTGATCTCTTTGTGGCTTCTTCTGTGGTTGTTCACCTGCCGCTGCAGGTGGTTGTTGTGAAGCAGCACCAGTAGCTGGAGCCTTCTTAGGTTCCTTTGGTGCCTTCTGACGTTGTTGTTGTTGTTGTTGTTGAGGCTTTGGTTGTCGTTGACCTCCACTACCACCACTTGCTCCTCCCTCTGAAGTTGATGAAGAGGATGAAGTTGAAGTTGTTGATGTAGTTGTAGTTGTTGACATTATATATTATATTAAGTATGTAAGTAAATTGGTATTATGTGTTGGTATGTTATATATATGTTGATCGATATGTTATATCTATCTCTCTGTTTATCACCTTGTATTCTGCAGAATGAATGAATAAATGATCTTGGAGAATGCAACACTTTATCAGATTTCTCTTGTGTAATTATTTGAGAATGGAGTGTCTTCATTCCAAAATGGGTTGCATGATCAAACAAGATGGAACTGAGAATGGAATGATCGTGTGACAACAAAGGTCAAACGAATGTCAATAAGATGGAAAGGACTATAATATAATTACCTCGGGAATTAATTAATTAATATTGAATGATATATTAATTTATTCTTTAAACTAATTAATAATTAAAAATTATTATTTCTCAATGAGAGTACCCTTGGTGATGGTACCCCAGCCAATCAGACGCCAGTTCTTGTCGACACGTCTACTCAAAGCAATCTTCTCACCCTCCTGTGTGCACACTGGGGACAGAAGAGCAAGCTTGGCCAGATCGTGCTTGACGGCCGTGACACGGCAGCCAGTGGACGTCGAACCAATGTTGACCATGAGCGTGTCGTCCTTGAGCAGCTTGCGAACCTTGCTCTGCTTCTCGCCACCCTCGGACTTAACACCGAGCAGACGACGCAGCAGGAAGAAGTTGATTTCCAGCGCAATGAAGATCTCAGGCAGCTTGCCGACTGAGCCCAGCACCTGGCCGACCAGACGATCGGCACGGCACAGACTTGGGTCGATCTTGGTGCCGACACCGATCAGACCACCTGGCACGGCGTACTGGAGGTCGTTCTCCTCGGCGTACAGCGAGATGATTCTGGAGAAGAGGGGCGCGCAGCGCATGCGGCCGTCAAAGTCCTTGGTGATGACTCCGGGACGCACCTCAACCTCGTCGCCAACGCGCAGCACTCCCTTGATGATGGAGCCTCCGGCCACACCACCCTTGAGCTCGTCGACCTTGGCGCCGGGCTTGTTGACATCGAATGAACGAATGACAATGAGGTGAGGGTCCGAGGTGAAGTCGCGCACGGGGATGGGGATCTTCTTGACGATATATTCGCAAATGACATCGATATTGTACTTCATCTGTGCAGAGATGGGGATGATCGGGGCGTTCTCGGCGACGGTACCCTGAATAAACTTGAGAATCTGTCCATACTGCTCCTTGGCAGCGGCCTCCTTGACGAGGTCGATCTTGTTCTGCAGGATGATGATGTTGCGCAGGTTCATGATCTCAATGGCGGCAATGTGCTCGGCCGTCTGTGGCTGTGGGCACGACTCGTTACCGGCGATCAGCAGCATTGCGGCGTCCATGACTGCGGCACCGTTGAGCATTGTGGCCATGAGCACGTCGTGACCTGGACAGTCGACGAAAGACACATGACGCAACAGCTTCATCTTGCCGCCACAGTTGGGGCGCTCGCACATTGGCTCGTCCTCAGTATTACTCCTGTACGATTTGTAGCATCCTGGTCTGTGGCACTCTGGGTTCTCGCACTTGTATATCTTAGCATTGGCGTAACCCAACTTGATAGTAATGTTACGCTTGAACTCTGTAGACCAACGAACAGTCTATAATATGTTTGATTGATTGATTGATTGAGTGATTGAGTGATTGAGTATAAGTGAGTGATTGGTGTTCCATGACCCTGTGTATGTTGTCGCTAATGCTGTTGTTGTCTTCATCATCCTCATAATTATCATAATGATCTCTGTCGCTGTTGATACCTACAAGAACACCAGAGATGGCCTTGACCACGGTACTCTTTCCGTGAGCTACGTGTCCAATGGTACCAATGTTGATTGTTGCCTGTCTGCTGATGACGTTTGGAGACAGTGGAGTGAGTGTTGAAACATCCAATGTCTTTAGATCCTGGACCATCAGTTGTGCCTTTGGTTTAGCGACTGCTGGTGCTGCTACAACAGCTGGTGCAAAGTGTACAGCTGGAGCAGCAGCAGGTTGATTTGTTGTAGTTGTAGTTGTAGTATTCTCTGTATCAGCCATGATTGTCTATAAATTGATCAATACACTATATTATATTATATATTATATTATATTGTGTAATGTTTGATTGATTGAATGATTGAATGAAGGAGACACATTGATGTGTGAGAAGGTCGTGCATTTATGTTCACCAAAGTGAGAAAAAAGAAAAAAAACTAAACCAAATCGAGTCGTGTTGTTCTCACCCTAATCCCATAAACTAAACGTTGACTATTCATCCAACTGAGGGTTGACTCGGTCGGTTTAGTCTGTAGCCCTCATTTGGACATTACAAACACACTACACTGTATCAAGTATCAAGATGAGATGATAATTTCGTCATCATGTCCAAGAAGAATGTAGTGGTCTCTATAATTGGTGGAGGTGCGGCTGGTCTAGCATCATGCTACTTTGCCGCGAGGCAGTTGAAAGCGTTAAACATACCTGGTGTCAACATAAGGATTGTAAGTATGATTGAGTTGGATATTGGATGTTGGATGTTGGATGTTGACTAACAATGTAATGATCGTATATAGTTGGAGAGGAAGAGTGAGACTGGCAAGAAGATCTTGATGTCTGGCGGGTCGAGATGCAATGGTGAGTGAGCGAGCGAGTTAATGAACGAACGAGATGAGTTGGATGAATGAATGACTAACATAATCAACAGTACTCCCAAAGGTCGTGGATATAAAGAAGGACTACTTCAGTGAGGACATGAATATATGCAGGAGGATATTGAATAGTTGGAACGTACCAGACTGTCATAAATGGTTGTCCTCCGAGATTGGACTGCAACTCGCATTGGAGGAAGGCTCGAATAAGTACTTCCCCGAGTCAAACTCGGCAAGGGATGTACGTGATCTACTGCTCCAAAGATGTCAACAATTAGGAGTCGAGGTCCAGTATGATCGTTGTGTCAACAACATCGTCGCCGACACATCCGAGGACGACTTTGGCGGCTTCACAATCACTGGTACGACAGACAAGGACACTCAACAACACTTCAAACTGCGGTCGGATATTGTGGTGCTGGCGAGTGGTGGCCTGTCCTTTCCCGCGGTGGGCACAGATGGTCGCGGCTATGGCATCGCCTCACGTCTTGGACATACAGTGCACCCGACCTACGCCGCGCTGACACCACTCACTGGCACACATCCTGGCGGCATCAATGACTTGCGTGGAGTCTCTTTGAACGTCGAGCTCAAGTGTGGCAACGCAGTGTCCAATCGATCTGGCATGGTCTTTACACACAAAGGCTTCAGCGGACCCTCGGTCCTGGATCTATCACATCACATTGTCCAACCGCTAACTTTGGCTCAACAACAGTCGCAACAACTAGTCGTGCCCAAGTTGATTGTATCATTCGATGGCGAGACGCGAGACGTGTGGGCAAGAAGGTTGGCCAACGAGACCACAGAGTATGGCGGACAGAACATGATGGTGGCCAATCGCATCGGTCAGTTCTTGCCCTCGCGACTCGTCGACGCGCTCCTTGCCGAGTTGGGTGTGTCTGGCACCACCAAGATATGCGAGCTGAAACAGGCGGATAGGAAGGCGTTGGTGGAGTCGCTGGCCGCCTACCAGCTACAGTGCAGTGGACATGAAGGATATAGAAAGGCTGAGGTCACTGGCGGTGGTGTATCACTGCGAGACATTGATCACCGCACTCTGGAGAGCAAGACAGTACCTGGACTATTCATCGCTGGTGAGCTACTTGATGTCTTTGGTCGAATAGGTGGCTTCAACTTCTACTGGGCCTGGACAACAGGTCGCGCTGCAGGTCAAGGCGTAGCAGAAAGAATAAAACATGGACGACCTACTCAATGATCATTATGTGAGTATGTGTCGCGACACTCAATCAATCAATCATTCAATCAATCAATCAATCAATCAATCAAAGACTCAGCACACCTTGTTCAAGGTTATTACCATCAACCTTAGACTTGCAGGTGTGTCAAAGCCACTTGGAAGCCACATGATTGATCTTGTCCAAACCCCCTTTGGTCTTTGTCCCTGCCAAGATCGTTGTTACTTTGGTGTGAGGTACTGCAAAGGACCGCTCTGATCAAAAAAACGACCACACACAGAAATTTCCAAAAGGTGCGAAAGACAAGGCCCTACCCCCGATCAACGAGGCACATAGGACCACAAAGCATCAGAGAGATATTAGTAATCTGTGTGATCATCTTGAGCCACACTAATACATAGAACTCATTCATCATACATACTCATACATACATATACTTAATAAAACATACAGATACAGAGATTATGATGATGAAGTTGGTGTTGGTCATATTGATCGTGGCCTTGGCCTCAACACACGCAGCCAACTTGGGTTGTATGAATGAGGATGGCCAGCCAGTGGACTGGTGGGTCATCTCTAAGCAGCCACCAATCAAGACAGAGCCAGAGAACTCACCAGCACATAATGGAGTGGGCTACTCATATGCTGATGCCACAAGCCCCGCACTGGTCATGTCCACTCGCTTCCTGAACGAGACCAACGCGCTGTCCTACACTCTTGAGCCACTGTACAAGACTGAGACCAAGTCCAACCCATACCTCTGGCTAATGTACAATGACCAGCCAACGGGCATATCCGTGCCCAGCTCCTACGCTCACTCCAAGGGCGTGATCGGCTTCTCTGACAGCCAGGGATTCTGGCTCATCCACAGCGTGCCCCAATTCCCGACCGACCCACACAAGGGCGGCTACGGCTACCCAGAGAGCGGCCACGTCAACGGCCAGTCGTTCCTATGCGTCACCTATGGCTCGTCCGAGTTTGACGCCATCGTCCAGACGCTCTACGTCAACAGGCCATACGCCTACAGCTCGCTGGTGCCCACGGGCATGACCCTGCCACTCTCCCAACTCGACAGTTTCCTCAGCGGTGGCTACGAGTCGACGGCCACAGGCAGCGCAGCCACCCTCAAGTCCATTGGCGGCCAGGCCCTGTCCGTGTTCTACAAGAACCTGCAATGGAACAACGATCTGTACGAGGAGCTGGTGCAGCCACGTCTCGACCAGAACATGGTGGTGACATCATGGCGCATTGGCGCCAACAGCACCATCATGCCATCATTCTGCAAGCCAGAGTACAAGTACGACAGCGTCAACAGTCTGACGCTGCAGATCAAGGAGCGCGATGGCAACACCGTCTCGTGGAAGTACACCAAGGATCACAGCAAGTGGGCTGCGTCCATGCCAACCGAGGCGACCAAGTACATCTGCATTGGAGACATCAACCGAATGTACTCACAGTACAAGCGTGGTGGAGGCACTGCCTGTCTAGCAATCGACGCACTCTGGCAGTCCTACTACGACACCATCGACACTGTCAGCGGGTGTTAGTTAACTCGCGAGTTAGTTTCCGAATGATTGAGCCTGTGTGTGTGTGTGTGTGTGTCGGGTTGGGGCACCAAGTCAAGTCGACGTGCCAACTCAGGTCTTGCACTCACTCTTCAATCAAACTATCAATCACAATTCATTGTAATATTTACCATCCATTCATCCATCCCTTCGACTCATTCAATCAATCAAACACAATGTATATCCATATTATAACAGACTCATTCAAATAAACACTATCCAGCATCGACATGATTGTTTGTTCTCGAACATGGATGATTCACGCCGGCGATCAATATTAACAATCCATACCATTACCATTAAATCATTCAATCCATGGATTGTTGACCTTGCCTAAACTGAAAGATTAAACACTTTTTCGTCCTAACCACACATCAATCATCATCATCATCAGTCACCAAACCCAATATCGGTGGAACACTTAAGTCCCCGGGTTACACGACTTGTATTTGTCGCTTGATGATAAATCCCACACTACATAACATACAAATTTGTTGAGGGCTGGCATCACATCCAAGGTATCTGCCTCTCTCCCCCACTAATCCTTGGTTCGATCAAGTGATTAGTAAAGGGCGGAATCGCACCGTCATTTAGATGATTCACCACATTCCAGTTCCCTAAACCCAGACCCAGCTCGAATGTGATTGTAGCGCATCGCATGGGTCGTTCAGTACCATCCGCATCACCTGATGGATCCCAAGACAGTGAATCGTCGTGAGAACAGTCGATTGTTGTTGTTGTTGTGATGAGTTACACCTCAAATAATAAACAAAAAAAAAAAAGAAAATAGAAAAAAAACAATGAAGCAGGACGAACTTTTTAACTTTGGCGGGTCCCGCTTGGTTTCGTGCGAAGCCCGTCTTTGTGAGCTGGTGGGGGATGATGATGTGAGTGAGTGACCCAAAAATGTTGATGTCATGCCCGAAAAGCATGTCGCGTCAACATTTGTGGGCGTGTGTCGTCAACATATTTCATTTGTTTCATTTACTTTGTTCCAGACTTACCATCACACTACCACATCCATGGCAGGGTAAGGACACTACAACTGTGGACAAGGTGAGGTGAGTTGAGTCGGCAGTGTGAGAGCGGAGAGAGATGTCCTGAAGCGATCAAGCAAGCAAGCAAGCAAGCGCAAGCCCACGCGTGTGTCTGTGATGGAGCTGGTACTGGGGACTTGACCTGGACCAGCCAGCCGACTAGTACCTCCTCCATCATGACCGAACCATCATAAACTAGAAATAGAGCGTTAACATCATCCTACCACAAGCGGATATCCCATCCATCCACCATCACCAATCCATCTATCTACCTTCATTCATTCCTTCATTCCTTCTCCCTGCTTCCATCTCATTATCATTCATTCAATCATTCAATCATTCAAGTTTAACAACAACACCATCAACTATCCATAACAAGAACATTCACTTGTTGTCCTGTCATTCTACACATTCACATTCAATCATTCAATCATTCACACACTTAACCATATTTATCTGTTTGGAACTATTCCACGACCAATCTCATAATACTCTTCCATCTATTTATAAATCATTATCTGTCTTTAAATCCAAACAGTTGTAAATTAATTAATTATTTATTCATTCATTCATTCATTCATCCAATCAATCAGCCTCAGCCATCAATCAGTCTTAACCTCGGTCCACTCATACACACCACACAACATAAACATTTAATTAACTGATTACCCGACCCTGGAACCTTTGTCTCCAAGTCTACCTGAGCAACACAAGCATAATTAACCACTTCTGCATAAGTTGATGTAAGTATTGACATCCTCACTTAATCACAATCACTTGATCACTTGTTCTATCATTGGTCAACAATATGCATATAGCATTGCACGTTACCAGCCCTTGTCGCCTGTGCCACATCACTTCCAGCCCCACACACGCACCAAGTGAGTGTACACTCGTCGTTTTTTATCAAGTTCAAGGTGCCTTCTCCCACAGACGCGAAGCCCCACCACACTTGACCACTTTAGGACAAAAATGGGCCACTGACTCACACTCTGGGCCTGGCTTCCGGATTTTTGTTTTGTTCTTTTTTGATCAAAAAAGATTCATCACGAATCACACACACACACAAACAATCAATCACACAAACATAAGATAAGATGGTGACCCAATACCCGTTACCAAAATACCCCATTATACATACCTTACATTGCACGAACCAACATCTTATCCCTTTCTAATTCTTCTTTCCTTTCATTCATTCATTCATTATTGTCACGTCATCCATCCATCTATCAATACTAACTCCAAAGTACCTATCTATCACTCATAGACACACACATAGCTTAATCAAACAACTACTACTATTATTGGGTACAAAAGGCCACTTTCCAACCAAGACCCGACCCAACCAACCAACCACCCACCCCCCTAACTCCACCAACACCGGCACCATCATCATCATCATCATCATCAGCCAACTCAATCATATCAATCAATCAATTAATTAATTAATTACCAATACCATTTCCAACAACTATTATATTTATACATTCAAACAATAACATCATAATGTCTCAAACAAACTTCCTGATGCTGCCGCCACCCAACTCAATGCAAAGGATATTCTCCTTTGACGTGGACAGTCTTCCAAGACTGCCCTCACTACATACATCGCCAGCGACGCCCAAGTTGACTTCATTTTCCGACTTGTTCAGTATGCCTCCCACACTGGCCCTGGAACAACAACAGCAGCAGCCAACCTCCCCCAACAAGGCCATCATCAACAGCAGCAACACCAACAGCAATAGCAATACTAGTCCCCGACCATCATACCATCCCTACAATATCAATAACAAGGCACGCTCATCACCAGAGATGTCGCCCAGGTCGTCCAAGAACTACTGCAGCGCTGCGTCGGATCAGCAGATCTCCGAGATGACTGCCCATCGCAACTTGTTGGCCCTGATCGACACTGCCTCGTACGAGGACATGAGTGCCTCACGTGACTTTGACGACTCGTCGGCCGTGACCTCACCCTCTTCTGCCAACATTGCCTCCCCACCATCCTCGCCAATCGTCTCGCCACGCAGTAGCTCTGCCTCGCCCAAGATTGCCTCGGTATCACATCAACAACAACAACAACAACCTATTTATTTGAACAGCGTCCTCAGTGTAATCACCGAGGACTTCCACAACAACAATCATAACAACCAACAACAACAATCTCCAATCCTGTTACATCTACAAATGCAAAGTCGTCCACAGCCCCAGCCACTGCCACAACCTGCCGCTGCTGCCGCCAATGTGCCAGTCCACCACGCCCAACCACACGTCCACGTCCATGCCCACGCCCAAGCTCACGCCCACGCCCATGCCCACGCCCAAGCTCACGCCCACGCCCATCACCACGCCAACTCCAACACCCAACAACAACAACTATCATCATTGCAAGCCAATAGACTACGCGAGGGACACATCACACCACTGGACTGCTTCCAGACCATCTTTTACAACGTCATCTATCAGCTGGCCGAGATCATCTCGCAAGTGCGCGAGAATGAGGGCAAGGCCGCGTCCACCACCACGTCCTCGACCCACTACCTGGGCAGCCGCTTCCCAATCACCACCAGCATTGTCGAGTCCTTCATCGTCGTGTCGCTGTTCATCAACTCGCACTCACTGGATCGCATCTCGGACTACTGGTCCACCGAGCAGGCCAAGGTCTACCCAGACGTCGGCCAGATCCCTCGCATCCTGTCACGCAACAAGTACTTTGAGATCAAGAGCAGTCTGTCCAGCGTGTTGACACCCAAGCTGCTCGACCGTCTGCAGCAGCAACTGCAGGTGGACATCACCCGCCATGTGAGCTGCGCCAACCCCGAGCCACCCCAGTCCAGCCGCTTCAAGACCCCCGTCAAGCATCGCAACTCGACCAAGGAGCTGGCGTCCTTCAACCTGCTGCTCGAGTATGGTCTCTCACATGTGTGCGACCTGTTCAACCAGCAGCGCAACAGCCAGTCATTCATCCCACTCGTCCAAGTCGTGGAGCTGCTCACCGAGCAGATCTGTCCCGCTGGCACCGAGTTGACCATGGCTGCCAGTGGCCTCGAGTCCTCGTCTTCATCGTCGTCCAACAGCAGTCCACCAATGTCACCTCAATCACCTTCACAACAACAACTCCAACAACAACAACAACAGTCAACACAACATGTACTGCTACCTCAGCCAGCCGTGTCAAACGCAGCCGGCACGCCATCTAAAGCCATTAGATGTTTCACATGCAAGGCCACCACTGCCTTGCCTCTTGCCAGGCCCATCTTGAAGTGCAGCAAGTGTGCGCTGCACTATCACCGGGAGTGTTTCATTGCTTCCCACGAATAAAAGTCGTCGTAAGCATTAAAAGCTTAGCTAAGCTACCTACTACCATCCATTGGTCGAATGTTCTTTGTGTTTTTTGTTTTGTAGTCGTGTTCCAATGAGTGTGGCCGCAGGAAATTGAAAACGGAAACTGGAAGTTGGAAGTTGGACTTTTATTATTAGAGTGATAATGCACATACAAGGCCAATAAGAAGCAACATGATCAATACATTGTGGCTTGATCGTCCAGTGGCGGATGATGAGGTAGTTGTTCCGCCAGTGGTAGTTCCTTGATTCGAAGTGTGGCCGCCAGTAGTGGTAGTGGTAGTCGTGGTGGTAGTTGAGGTGGTAGTGGAGGTGGTAGCGGGTGTCTTGCATATGTCTGGGATTGGGAGGATATCTGTGAACTTGCACGCTTGGAGATTGACATCACATACACCAATCTGACATTGTGGATTCTTTGGAACACATTGTCTTGGGAACTTCAGACATCCAAGTCTCTTATCACATAATGATTCCGTGCAGTATTGTTCAGAGCTACAGGTTGCGTTGGTGTATGAACATCCCACACCTTTGACGCATGTGCCCACGGTGCATAGGTCGAGGTCAGGACAGACCATATCGGGATGTTGACATCCCAATGCAGCATCGCATGTGTCCTTTGTGCATGGATTGCCATCATCACATGACCTCATCGTGAATGAGCATTGACCATCATTGCAATGTCCCACACTGCATGCGTTTCCGTTTGAGCAGACACTGTCTGTGTCCTTGCAACCAAGAGGGTTGGTCGGGTCGCATGTCTGGCAACCTTTGCACTGTTTGGGAGTGTGAGTGATCGCTCCAGTGACTGGGTTGCAAGCATCAACAGTGCATGGGTTGTTGTCGTCCACAGTGACATTGGTGTAGACACACTTTCCGGATTGTGCATCGCAGCTGGCCACCATGCACATTGGTGTCGACTTAGGGTCGCAACAAGTGCACTCGGTACTGTTGGATAATTTGGAGACACATCCAACTCCTGGAACACAAGAGTAGATTGTGCATGGAGCAGGATCGGCTGGTGCACAGCTCTTGGCAGTGCTCACACATCCCAAGGTCTTGTCGCATGAGTAGTCAGTGCACCACTTGTCGGTCTGTGGACATATTACTGGCGCGGACACACAATCTCCATTGTCATTACAAGTGTTCGTGGTGCAGGCGTCTGGGGCCACGCACTTGGGCTTGTAATGGCATCCAAGGGTGCCGTCACAGCCATCGATATTTTGGCACTTGACTGGGGGACAGGTCTTGGAGGATACCTTTACACATGCGCCGCCGCTACATCCCCAGTTGAAGCAGATGTCGGCCTCAGTCTGGTTAGCGCATGTTATAGGTGTGTGGAGGCAGTTAATTGTTAATTTATTCACCCATTCATTTATCGAGTGACGTACATTGATCATCAGCTGAACTGATACATTGACAAGCAATCAGAAGAAGTATTACTTGTAAGATATATTTATCCATTATCTAAGTCTAGGGATAAATGATTAAATGGTATGATTGATTGATTGATCAAGATACTTCTTCATAGAGGCAAAAGCCTTTCTTATTTCTTCGCGGATGCAGTCCAGAGTTTTCCCTCAAAACAACCAAATCATTATACAAATAAAGAAAGATGGAACTTCAAATCATTTTGATTGAATCCTAAACGAAAGGGTGTGTGAAAGTTCGTGTTATGGGTGGTGACATGAATCAATTCAATTACTTTTCAATACAGCTCATGTGACCTAAAGAGCGATTGATTATCACTATCATTCAAGGTACTCTGAAAACATAGACTAGTTGATGAAGTGTATATAGTAGTTCAAGATTGCTCAACCTAACTTAGTTAAGATGGGGACCAATCAAGCCACTCGCACACACTCACACATACACACATACTCTCGCTGACTGGTCCATACTTCAATCAATGTATGATATGATGTATGACTTAAGACATCATGTAGCCAGACACGAGCCAACTTTTAACTATTTATACTTAAGTATACCATATCACTTAAGTCACTTCTGAGATCGATGGATAGTTAGAAAGAATGAAAGTTGGATCATTAAGGAAAGTATTGTTGATGTTGTTGGTCTTGGCAATTTCATCATCATTATGGACATTGCACCAGGTCGATGCCAAGACCATCTCATTACCAATACGTCCAGTGTATAATATACCTCAAATAGAGTCACATGTGACTTCCAAATCAATTAAACTAATAAATGACAGCGAGCCTTGTATGTATACTTGCCATCCAATCAATCAAACCAATCATCAAAATTACTGACTCATACCATAACTCTCTACTCTAACAGCCATGTATGCCTCACAGATGAAGGGAGACCTAATTGAGATAAGGACAAGTGTTTGGGTAGGAGGTATTGAACAGGAGGTGATAGTGGACACTGGATCAAATGTATTAGTAGTACCTTCAACTTCATGTTATTCATGCTCTCAGGACAAACCATTTTACAGACCCTCCAAGAACATGGAGTTCATGTCTTGTCAATCAGACCTCTGTCAACTACCAGAAAACTATTGTCTTCGTACCAACAATCATCCAAATGGAGTATGTGCACTCGAACTTGGATACATGGATGGTACAACATTGTATTGTAAGTCAATCGATCAATCAATCAATAACTTGTCCATCTTACTCACATTATTCATCAACTCTTAGCATATTTGTCGAAAGATCAATTTAAGATGTCTTCAGAGATGGATGATATCACTCTTAACTTTGGAGCAATCTATAGCCAGACAAAGGGAAAGAAGTTGCTGTATGGTATACTTGGCATGGGTAACTCGGATTGCAAGGATTGTTGGAAGTCGGCCATTGATGCAGTGTTTGATGAGCATAATATTACAAAGACATTTGGACTCTGGATCGATGAACACTACACAGGAGTGATGACGATTGGTGACCTCAATCCATTCTACTATTCCAAGTCATTGTCATACACGCCATTGTACTCACTTGGTTCCAGTCACTACAGTATCATGCCAACATATATCTCCATTGGTGGATCAAAGAAGAATGCATTGACACTGAGCTCTCGAGAGTTTGGCGTGTCTATCCTTGACTCTGGAACTTCATTCACTCTTCTGGCCTCGCCCGCATACGATTCACTCTACGAACATCTCACCGAGAACTATTGTCACATTGATGGAGTTTGTGACGACAAACTGTTTACTCAACAGTGCATGCAGTACAGTGATGATGAAGTGGGCCTATTCCCAACGATTGTTATTGGACTAGCTGGAGGTGAGAAGATGGTCGTCGAGCCATCAACATACTTTGTTACACTCTACATTAGAGGACTACGTTATCGTTGTCTTGGAATTGGTAAATCACCTCTCCAGAGTACTTCAATATTCGGTCTATCATGGTTCAGAAGTAAGATCAATCAACTACGCTCACGTCATCAATTTCTTACTAACATACATTGATCAATCATACAGAATCATACATTATATTCGATAAAGAGAATAACAAGTTTGGAATTGGCAAGAGGAGGGAGTTGAAGCGTCTAATCCCAGCTCCACCTGAGGACCCTGATGAGCATACATCATTGAAGAAGGATGTTGTCCAGACTTGCTCACTGAAGGTTCAACATCAAAGGGTTGCCAACAACAACACTTTGTACAACAACAACAACTCATGGTCTGCAACAATAACCAATATTGGAGAGGATAGTATTAGTAATATCAGGTTATTGTTCTCAAGTGATATTATATCAACGGAGTTGGAGTATGATTATGGACAACATACCTTTAAGAATGGATCATTGAACATTGGACCAGGCGAACATTTTATAATTATGTATAACAACAGAGGAGAGTATCCAAATAAGATAGCATTCCCTGACTACCCAGAGTGCAACCTCAAGTTCCCAAGTCACTTTGTCACGCAGTAACATAGAGAGAAGTAATAAAGTGATACTTGGAAATGATGATGGTAACAACATTACTAAATTTGGGCAAACAGATCTTTATCTTAATCACCACACACGTCATTCAAACATACAAATAAGATAGAGATAGAGAGAGAGATAAAGATAGAGATGGAGATGAATAATATTAATAGTTTAACAACATGTGTAATACATCATAAGATAGATGATATAATATGCTTTGATTGCAAACAGTTGGTTTGTAATGTTTGTTCGACGATCAATCATAATGGTCATAAGGTTGACAATGTTGAGAAGTTGAAGGAGTGCAAAGGAAAGAGAGATTATCAATCATTGTGGTGTACACCTCGTTTGAACTTGCTTTGGAATACATTGCAACGATCGGCAAAGACCTACCAGACGATGGACAATACTCTCAAAGATGTGAGCAATCACTTTGAACAACTGTTCAAATGTCTGATGGCACAGGAACACAGGGTCAAGCAACCGATCAAAGAACAGATGGAGCGTACCAAACTTATAGTCAACGAGATAATCAAAGAAATCAATGATATCAATCATATCATTTGTTTGAAGCATACAAATACCAACAACAACAACGATGATGATGTAGATGTATTCGAGATGATCACATCGATCATATCTTGCACATCAATCGATGAGTTCATCAACAACTCACTTCCATTAGACCAATCGAATGATGGCGATAGACATTTAAGTGACTTTGAACTGATGACTATGATCAGGAATCACTCTGAACACATTGCAAATGATGCTTTGGTTATGCCACAAGAATATGGTGTACGGACGGATATAGCCAAGATCAATGGCATCATTGAGGAGATAAAGTCATGCTTTGAGCTCACCGAAGATACCACTCAATCCACTTCATCAGTTGTGGTCGTGGCTCAGGCTAACAGTCCAAAGGTCATCACATTGGGAAAGGAATTCTCATTGTTCTCCTTAGACACTTTAGAATGGACACAGGCCACAGTTTGCCCAAAGCAATATGATAGCGTTAGGACATCAGTTGTATATGCTCGAGGCAATGTCTATGTAATTGGAGGCTATAGTACACAATATACATACTCCCGATACTCTTTGGAACATAAACAATGGTACCATTCCAAAATAGAAGGAGTCAAGGGTGGCTATGGCATCAATGCATCCTATGATGGCCACAGGCACATCTACCTTGTTGGTGGATACAAGGGGGACTTTTTGGACCGCGTGGATCGGTTCGATATTGAAACTGGACAGTTTAGTCGAGTTGGACAACTTCCTATTCGTCCATATTACATAAACTCCATCTGCAACAACAACACACTGTATATCTTTGGCCAGAAAGACACATCGAGCTTATCCGCTTACACACTCACATCTCACAACATCGAGACACTTGGCATCATTACCTCTGTTTACTTACCACTCGTCGGAAGTGTCCAATCGAGTTGCTTCGATAGAGATGGCAACATCTATATTCTGTTTTCAAATCATAGTTTCCTTCGGTACAATTTAGCAAACAATCAGCCATTCATATTGGCTCGTTGTCCACATCTTGGAACAATCGTACATTGTGGAGAGATTGGAGTCCTTTTAATTACTCTCGATTCCAGTTATCTGTATTCCACCCAAGATAGTAGATGGTCCGAAACCTCTTTCAAGCTTCCAACTCAAGGTCGTATGGGAAATGGTGTTTGTTTCATTCAAGACTAAATTCCATTCAATCGATCACTCAATCAATTACTGATACTCTCGTTCAATCAAACAATAAATCAATATTAACCAAAAATGGAAGTTTGCCTTTTTGAGAACAACAGATCATCCATTACAATCACACATTGTTGAAGAAGACAAAGAGATAGAGTTAGAGATAAAGGATGAATACATTACCCGATATAGTAATAACAGTTATTGGAAAACACTTATTGGGAATACGATGGAGAGGTCGATGTGTTAAGACTTGGATTGGTCAACAAACGATTTAGTATATGTATGAACAAGTTGTTTGTTCGCACTCCATTGTACATTGAATGGTGGAGAGATGAAGAGATAAACACATTGTTGCCAACAACAGCCTCAACTCTATGTATAAGTACTTACAAGATCATACTACCTGGTGTACTGCCTGACACCCTCAACAAGTTGATACTCGGCCCATTGTGTGTTGAGCCTATTCAAGCTGGAGTACTACCTCAATCACTTCGGACACTCAAGTTTAGCAAGTTCTACAATCTGACTATCGAACCCGGTGTCTTGCCTCCACTCAAAGAGTTGATCTTTGGCAATCACTACAATCAACCTATTGTGAATGATGTTCTGCCTGTGACATTGGAGCGACTGACCTTTGGCTTCTATTTCTCACAGGATATCGATGTCCAACTTCAAACGCTCACATCACTTAAAACATTGACAACTGGTCGTATGTTCATGCTCAACATACCTGGCTCACTACCACCTGCCTTGACCGAGTTGTCGTGTAACTATCCAAAAGGAATCATTCCTGGATCCCTACCATCAAATCTCAAGACCCTAGATATTACTGGCGGTCTCAGTGAAAAGATCATGCCTGGTTCATTTCCAGAATCGATCACTACACTCTCTTTGGGCATTGAATTTAAGAACTCCATCCAACCTGGAATGCTTCCCTCATTACTCGTAGCCTTAACAAGTGATCATTTCTATGTCCATCAAGGTTCTCTCCCCGACACACTTCGCACTCTGATACTTGGTCCTAACTTTGATGAGGCCATTCCTCCAGGAGTCATACCGGTCAGCATTACTTCTTTGGAACTTGGTACATACTACAATCATAAGTTTGGAGACAAGACTTTGCCATCATCTTTGACCAGACTGAAGTTTGGTTGGTCGTACGACCAAGACTTGACCGGTGTGCTCCCACCGTCTCTAACCTCATTGGAACTTGGACATATATACAGTCATCATATCACTTTCAAATATCCTATCAAGTCATTAACATGTGCTCGATGGCTGCAGGCAACGAACGTTCTCCCCATGGGAGTCTAAAGGTATCGAAGGAGGTCAACATCCGATCTTGGCAAGCACTCAACCGTATCAACTATAGGATAGGCTCATTGAGATTTTACTCAAAGTCTGTTGACGAACACCTCAAGACTACAGACTTTTGGGAAAAGGTGTTAGAGAGCGCTCCAAACGTAGGATCATACTCGCTTTACACAAAGCGTAATGGCCACAAGATATCTCTGTTCAAGATTGATGAGCACACCATCATCCAAGTGACCACTGAACACTCTTATGGCAAACATTCTATTCTAGATAGGAGGACAGTCAAGCAACAACGATTTCGAGTCAAATCACAATGTACAATCAATTGAGCTGGCCATCACTCAACCTTTTATTCTACTAAAATTGGTACAAGAGTACTATCACAAACAAAATAAGATACATGTAGTTGATCAACCGATATCCATAATGATTTACAGTGACTGCTCCTGATGGTGGACATCCAACATCATCTAGATATTGACAGCCGAGGTCTGGATCACATTTGTCAACAATCTTGCATTTGATTGGTGGACAGGTCTTGGCGGTGTCTTTGGCACACGTACCACCTTGACATGCCCAGTTGTAGCAACGATCCGATGCAGTTTGATTGTCACAAGTGATCTTTGTATGAATACAATGTTCTTTCCAGTTGGTTGTGTTCACTCCTGGAGTGTTGAGAGGTGGGCATGAATCGATGGTGCACTGATCATTGTCATTACACTGTCCACCAGCTGATGCTGAGCAGCAGGTTGATCCATTACCATTACACACACCACAATAGTCGACTGTACAATCCATAGTGATATCAGTCATGATGAGGAATGCTGATATACCAACTTTTCTATTACATTTGAAAATGTCTAATGGGTAAGCATTACCCTGTTGTTTGTTACTTAGTTAGTTGACAGATTAGGTCTTGAATGACCATGGTGGACACCCTACATACCTTTGTAAGATTTAAGGATGTTCCAAGATTAGGCATTGTTCGAAAGCTGCTAGAATGTGTACCTCCATTATCGATTACCAGAGAATTGTTGACATACATCCAGAAATCATCAGTAGATGTAACACTAAAGTATTCGCCTCCCTTTAGAGTTTGGGTGTGCACTGGTCAGTTAGTGCTGGTGCCACGCCGTGCTATCCAATCAATCAATCAAATGATCAAACATACATTGAATATGAATGAAGTATGTAGTTTGAGACAGTAGTGGAAGTTCTGGTAGTCGTTGGCAGAATCATTGTAGATCCTGTTGGCAGGGTTGGTATCCCATCCTTTGTAGTTGATTGGGAAGAATCCTGCTATTGTTCCAGCAGTGTAGTTACCATCGTTGTTGGTTGAGTTGACAAGATAGAATGTTAGATTGTAGGGTACGACCATATTGATGTTGGGAGCTGATGCAAAGAATGTTGGAAACAGGCTTGTATTGGTAATGCATCCTATTCCTGGGGGAGCTAATCCAAGTTCTGGTATACCCAATGTGGCATTGAGCGATTGCTTGACCAAATTCGTCTGTCCATCAACACAAGGTGGTTGGAAGTTGTTATTCAAAGAAGGAAGGTGATCAAATACAGTTGTAGCGACATTATAAGATGCTATATTACATTAATTGATTGGAATAGTTCCGACAGTTGGGGTCAGTGTGAGTGATTATAGCTTGATTGATTGTGATCACATACATCTTAGTGCTTGAACAGAGTCAAGTGTAGTTATGGTCCAAAGTAAAATGGCCACAAAGGTCATGATTGTACACCTACAAGTCATCATTTGATTATCTTGATATGAGAGTAGTTTATACAAATATTAACATGATCAATATATCTTTAAAGTTTGTGACCTAAACTACATAGTTGAAGGTCCTTTGAAAGGGAAGAGTACCCCCCTTGTAGACGCGGTTTTGGTGGACCATCACCAAATTGCGAATGGTCGTAACGCTCACGTGATGAGGGGGAATGTTCCATGGAACCACAAACTACATTTAATTAATATCCACGACTTATTATGGTAATGAACAATATCATCATCATGAGATAAATTGAATCGATATATCCATGATGAACTCTGGTCGAAGCCGATGGTACACATCCCGTATCATTAAGATATAGGCAACCAAGCTGGCTATCACACCTATCCACAATCTTACAATTGATTGGTGGACATGTCTTGGCTGTGTCCTTGGCACAAGCACCACCTTTACACGACCAGTTGTAGCAGCGATCTGATGCAGTCTCGTTGTCACAGCTGATCTTTCTATGTATACAATATTCCTTCAAGTTGGTCGAGTTGACACCTGGAGTGTTGAGCGGTGGACATGAATCGATGGTGCACAGGTCATTATCATTACACACACCAGCGGTAATGTTGTTCATTGGACAACATGTTGATCCATTTCCATTACACACTCCACAATAGTCCATCAAACATTCCAATACAAAGTTGGAGGATATCTGGAATGCTGAGCTATCTGTCTGTCTCTCACATTTGAATAAATCAATTGGATAAGTTGCTCCCTATAATGGAGTCAGTTAATCATTCAAACATTCCATTATTCAATCAATCAATAAATCAATCCACACTTACTTTTGTAAGGTTTAAGTATGTTCCAAGGACTGGAGTAACACCTGTAGTGGCTGTGTGTATTCCACCAATGTCCAATACTAATGTGTTGTTAACATACAACCAAAGGTCGTCATCAGATGTGACCGTGAGGGATTCGCCTCCCTAAAATATAAAATTACCTGTCAGTCAATCAATCACTCTCAATCGCTCAATCAATCAAACATTCGACTTACTTGGAATGTGAAATGAGTATGTAGTTTGATGCAGAAGTGGAAGTTCTGATAGTGACCTGTGGAGTCGTTGTAGATCCTGTTGGCAGGATCGGTATCCCATCCTTGGAAGTTGATTGGGAAGTAGTCGTTTGGTGCGCCTGAGCTGTAGGTTTTACCAGATAGGTTGAATGTCAGGTTGTAGGGAATGGCCACATTGATGTTGGGCGTCTCGGCAAAGAATGTTGGGAACAGAGCTGGTACTCCAATGCAACCTGTAGCAGGATTGGCTGGACCTGCCTCTGGTATACCAAGTGTAGCGTTTAGTTTCTGTTTAACAAGTCCAGTTGTCAAACCACCTCCACAGTTCGGTTGGAAATTTGCATTCTTTGAGGGCAAATGATCAAATATCGTCACTGCTACTCTATAAGATGCTAATTGATTGATTGATTGATTGATCCGAAGTCAGTACAAAGGAGGGGTGGTCGATGAGTGGGAGGACACTTGATAGATGGATGACTCACATGGAAGTGTTTGTCCCGAACATTTAAAGACCAGGAATACCAATATAATGAAGAATGAACTATGATTAACCATTATTGTTATGTTAAAGTTGTAAGTTATAAGTATACATATATCTGTTTATTTGTACAAAAAGAGTATATCTATGATCAATGTTCTTGATTAACCATAGACTTGTCTTGAACCGTGCGTGCGACGTTTGGATGTAGTCACTACATCGTTTTCATTCAATGAATGAACGAGGTTATATTTGGGGTAACTTTGTGGGGGAGTTAGATTTGCACACATTGATCAAGATGTGTTGATTGGAATCATCCCACCATCAATCGATCATTTCTGAAATAAATAAGTTATATTTATTAATTCATTAATTAATTAAAAATATTACAATAATAATAATATTAATAAATACAAACAATTGTGATTGAACTATGGTACTCGAACTGGACGTAGTCACTCCTGTTGTTGTCGACGATGTTGTGTTGGATGGCGTACATCCAGTGGGCAGTGGGTCGATGTTATGATACTCACAGACCTGTTTGGTTGGGTTGCATACTCCCTGTTGACATTGTGGATTGGGAGGTACACATTGTTTGGCAAACTGGATGCAACCCAGCTGAGCATCACACATTGTGTCATTGCAGAAGTTGCTTGGAGCAGCGCATAGCCTGTTGGAATAGCTACATCCTCCAAGGGTTGAGTTACACACGCCAACTTGACATAGTCCCTTGTCCGGACATGATGTGTTGCGGTGCTGGCATCCAGCCACTGGATCGCATGTATCATCTGTGCAAGGGTTACCATCATCACACTTGTTTGGAGTGAATGAGCACTGACCCTTGGTGCACTTGCCAATGGAACACAGACCTTCATTGCAATTGGAGTCAATGTCCACGCACTTGCCATCGGCTGAAGCTCGGCATGCCTGACATCCAAGACACTTCTTGGGAGTGTATGTTATCACACCTGTACTGTGATCACACTCCTCATCAGTGCATATGTCACCATCATCGATGATCAAGTCAGCGTAGATGCACTTGCCAGAGTCCTCGTCACACTTGGCTGACATGCAGTTTGGTGTCTTGGTTGGATCGCAGCAAGCACATTCTGTAGTGTTGAGATATATTGGGAAGCATCCAATGTCGCGATCGCATGAGTATGTTGTGCAGTCTTCTGGCTTTTGAGGCTCACAGTTCTTGGCCGTGATCACACATCCTAACTTCTTGTCGCAGGAGTAGTCCATGCATTTGTTGGGATTGGTTCCGGAGCAGTCCAGGGGGGTGCTCTCACATGTCTGATTGGCTGCGTTACATTTGGTGATTGTGCATGCATCTGGTGCGGTGCACAGTGGCTTGTAAAGACATCCACCCTCTTTGGCGTCACACTTGTCAACAACCTGGCAACTGATTGATGGACATGTCTTGGCGCTGTCCACCACGCACTTTGATCCATCACATGCCCAATTATAACAAGGGTCTGCTGCAGTCTGGTTGGCGCATGAGAACTTTGAATGTGTGCAGTAGTCCTTGAAGTTGGTGATGTTGGCACCTGGTGTGTTGTAGGTTGGACATGCATCGATTGTGCATGAATCATGGTCGTCACACTCGCCACCTGGACCGGCCACACAACAACTCGATCCATCACCATTACAAACTCCACAATAATCCTTTGCAAAACATCTAATCTCCATGTTTGTTATGATCGACATTGAAGAGGATGCAGTATGTCTTTCACAATGGAATAAGTCAAAGCTATACGTGTTACCCTATAAAGAGTGTGTTATGTCAGTCGATGCCTGGAAAGGGATTGGCTCAATCAATCAATCATACTTTGGTTAGATTGAGTGAGGACAGCTTGAGCGAGCCCTTGGCAGTGGCGTGTAGGCCACCTAGGTCAATGACTAACTTGCCATTGATGAACACCCAGAGGTCGTCGTCAGAAGTGACGGTCAGCTCCTCCACGCCAATGTAGGTGAAGAATGATTGCAACTTTATACAGAAGTGGAAGTTCTGATATTTCGCCATGTCGTCCTTGTAGAGTCTGTTGATGGGGTCCGTGTCCCAACCAAGGTAGTTGATCGGGAAGAAGGGGTCCTTGGTCATATTATACATGCCTGTAATAGAGCCATTGGTGGCCAGGGTGAAGTTGAGCGTGTAGGGTATGAACTTGTTGATGTTTGGATTGTAGGAGAAGAAGAATGGGAAGAGGTCCGGGCTGGTGATCCTTGCCTTTGTGTATGTGTCACTAGTACCGTTAAGCTCGGGTACTCCCAACTTTGGGTCCAAAGTAGTCTTGATCAAGAATGGTGTTATACCCTGAGATTGAGCTAAATCTGGTTCAAAGTTGTTGTTCTTTGATGGCAAGTGATCAAAAATGGCTGCATCAATTGTGTATGATTCTAATGATTGCGTAATTGTGAGTTAGTATAAGCCAGGACATTATACTCTAGGGTAATACTTACCTGGTCGTTGAGCTGAGGTGTGGCCAAACACACTCAGTAATATAAGTGTTGACAATATTGACAACTTCCGTATTGAGTACATGATTGATTGAAAGTTATAAGTTGGATTAATGAATGAATTGATGAGGCCTGCAGCTACTTCCTTCTTTCCTTCTTCCCATCATTCAACAAACACCTCGGGTCCATTCATTTCAATCAAAGGATGCCTTGGGTTGGTCCCAAAGCCACTCAATAGTTGTTATCGGGCCAAATCATTTGATGTCTTGTCAAAGGTTTTTTCGAATAATAGTTAGACTCATCAATGGGTGATCATCAGCGGACACATGTCTATATTGGGACGTTTCGTAACTTGGACATTCAATTCAACAACTCAATGAAACGATCTTGATCATGGAGGATAAAGGAATGGGCGTGTTTGTTCGTTCAATGTTTTATAATGCTGGATGATCGTGAGGACTCAATGATACCCACTGCTGTTGTAATGATGTCCAGTTGTCGGGGTCGGATTCGTAGGTATCACATCGAAACCATTGTGATAGTTATTATGATTGTTGTTGTTGTTGTGGAAGATGTTGTTGCCTGCTCCATTGTAATTCGATGATGAAGATGATGTTAACCTGGATGGATGATGATCATTCGAGTATGTTCCACTGTTATTGCCAAAGCCACTGCCACTGCCACTTCCACTGCCACCCTGATATGTATTGTTAGATGAGGATGAGGATGAGGAAAGGTTTGATTGCCTTTTGTTCAATGTTGGACAATCGTTGTCACGATGGTCACCACTTCCACAATTCCAGCAAACAGTGTGCTTTTCTGGTGGCTTATAATAGGACTTCATACGCTTATGACTGTCAGCAGTGTTGTTGCTGTTACTGTTGCTGCTTCTGTTTGGCATACGATCGAAATCACGCTCGCGATCACGATCACGATCACGGTCACGCTCACGATCACGCTCACGATCATGATCACGATCACGTTCACGGTCGCGCTCACGCTCACGTTCACGGACATCGTTGTGAACTGGTCCGACATCCCTTTCTCGTTTGCGTGCGTTATGTATTTCCAGTCCACGCCTCATTAGGTTCTTGAGGCGGGCCGTGTAGTCTGAGCACTCGCGTCCTGCCGCCGCTATCTGTGGGTCGAGCCTGATTTCGCTCCTCAGCGATTGGACGTAGAGGCGGCAGACAAATGCGCTAATCTCCAAGCCGTTGTCGCGTACCGTGTCAAGAAACAATGTGTTGTACTCTTCCGTCGGCTTGTTAAGGCCAGGCGCGCAGAGCTTCACGAGGTTGAGAGCTGGTTGGTAGTCGGGGCCATTGCCCTTGTCGAATGCTTTGTAGATGCAATCCTTAAAGTCTGCCCAAGTGTGGGGTAGCCTTCCATTGGGGTATTGGCGAGCGACCTTCTCGATTTGATTAGGGTGCTTGAGACCCTTAATGAACAATTGGATGAGCTGTCTTTCATTGAGCCTTGCCGAGAGATACTTATCCTCGAATTCGTTCAGTGTCTTTTTGAGATGTGGAGGATGTCTTGGCGTGAGCACAATCGACATCCTTATCTTGTCGACCATGTAATGTGGAGGTTGATCGTCTTCATGTCTTGATTGTTGCTGATGCTGCTGCTGCTGGTACTGAGATGGTCTGTCCTGTTGATTCTGTGGATGATGTGTTTCTCGCTGTTGAGGTGCCTGTGATTGTGTTTGTGATTGTGTAGGTGATGGTGATGGTTGTTTCTGAGGTTGTTGTGCGGGTGGTTGTTGTGGCTGTTGCTGGGGCTGTGGCTGTGGTTGTGGCTGTGGTTGTGGATGCTGTTGTGGCTGCTGTTGTTGATGTGGTACCTGTTGTGACTGTGATAGTGGTTGCTGTGGATGAGGTAGCGGCTGTTGTGACTGAGATAGTGGCTGTTGTGGCGGCTGTTGAGGTGGTTGTTGAGTCGGTTGAGGCTGAGGCTGATCGTGAGTCTGGAGTTGAATGTAAGTGAGCACTGACTCCATGTCAGCAATCACACCATTGACAACAAGGACTGTGAACTCCTCCATCTTGGCTGGACTGATCACTCGTCCACTAAACACACGAGCAATCTCATTGCGAATGAATGACTGGACCGATGGTGCCAGGAATGTTCGCATCTCCAGTGACATCAGAGCAAAGTTGGGAAACCTCCTACGTCCATGTGCATCGATATACATCAATGCCTCAAGTTGGGATTGAACTGGTGGTGGTTGATTTGCCTGCAGAAGTTGAGGTTGAGGTTGCTGTTGTTGTGGTTGCTGTTGCTGTGGCTGTTGCTGTGGTTGCTGTTGCTGTTGCTGTTGTGGCTGTGGATACGTCGGCAATGTCCCAAAGTCAGACGTCGAGGTTCCTGTTCGTTCATTTGAAACTGACGACGATGAGCTTGAAGTTCGTAGTGAAGTCGTTGGCTGTGATGTTTGATGTGTCGTTGTTGGCTGTGGTGTCACGGAAGAACCTGACGTTCGCAGAGGTGTCGTTGTTTGTGATGTGAAGGACGACGACGATCCTGATGTTCGAAGTGCAGTCGTTGGCTGTGATGCTTGATTTGATGTCGATACATAAGAAGATGATGTGCGAATGCCTGTTGAAGATGAACGAATATCACTTGATGTCGATGATGATGATGATGATGAAGTTGGAGGAGATGTGTTGTGCGATGCGGATGACGAATGGGGCGGCAATGAAGAGTTGGACGAACGTAATGATGATATAGGTTGTGATGTGGATATCGTAGAAGATGATGTTCTAATATTTAAGTTGCTGTTGTTCAATCCCGTTGATGAAGATGAAGGAATATTTGATTGTGATGTCGATATAGGAGGTGATGTAGATGATCCTGGCCTGTAATTTGATGGCAGTGGGGAAGTTGCTACCTTTGGGGCAGAGCTCGAACTCGAGGCAGAGATCGGTGTTGACACTGGCTTTGGTAAAATTATTGTCGAATTGTTGTTGTTCGCAGACGAAGACGAGGAAGAAGATAAAGACGAAGTTGATGAAGTTTGTGATGAAGTCGATGATGATGATGATCCAAAATGTCCAAATGAATATGATCCACTTCCTTCTCCTCCTCCTCCACCTCCGGATGATGATCGATTAATATTATTATTATTGCTCATGTCATAAATATTTATCTGTTTTATATATTTATAATTATATTTAAAAGTATAATATATTTATCAAATATTTGATAATTATAAATATATATGTTGTGTTTAAAGGAGAGATAGAATGAATGATTGAATGTGTAGATTGAGGTGATGTTAAAACCCAGGCTCTGCTGTGCTTTATCCAAAAACACATAAGCATACACATACACACCACTTTTCTGGTCGACAACAACAAGCAAAGCAAGTCAATAAATGTAAATGTGCCAAATTTGGCTTTTTAGATCTTCGTTCATCACCACAATTTTATCATGAATGCCATCGAATCGATTCTACCCAACATCAGCAACAACCTGTACAAGTAAATACAACATTAAATTAATTATTTATTTATTTACATTATGTTGTTGTTGTAATTGTTGTTGTTGTAGTAATATTTGTTGTTGTTGTTGTTGTTGCCTACATATACTTTGTATTATTGATTGTGTACGATCTGTTACGCTACACTGAAACTCGAGAAAGAGACCGGTGAGGAATGCATTGATGGTCTGCTCTTCAACATTGACAGAGTATCCAATGATGTTTAGGAATTGTAACTCCATTCGCAAGAGCATCTCGCCACTGGTATGGAATCGTTTGGCAACTTGATGCATACGGACGCTCTTATGGTCCGATTGCACCTTGATCGTGATCAAACAACTTATAAGCATCACCCATAATAGTTGGCTCTGCTTTACACTGCCAACTTGTTTGACATACTTGTCGGCAAGGTATGTTGCTCTGTATATATAGTCGGCGGGGACATTCAATTCTTCGATCATCCACTGAAGTATCATCTCTAGAATTTCTTTTACGACACAAGACATTTGTTCCGCTGGGAGCAAGTCAATGGTGTTGCGAGTCGGGCTGTTGTGGCTGGAACTTCCTGGCGAGGTCCCGTAGGAGGGAACTTGATGGCCATCCAACTGGGACCATTTACATATTTTCTTTACAAGTAGGTCCCGAGAGTTGTTTAAGTAGGTTGAGAGATATGGGTATCTTCTAGATGGAAGCGACTGGATTATATCGATAAATTCCTTTTCATTATTGTCGTTATTGTTATTGTTGGATGGGATTCCAACATTTCCGGAAGTTGATTGATGTTGTTTAGGGACTATATTTATACGACGCGAACATATTGGAGCTGATGATATATACAATGATGGTTGATTATAGTTTGTAGATATCATGGAATATATTTTGAATGATTGATTGAATGTTAATTGAGTTGAGTCCAGATAATAATAATAATATTAATAGTAATTTTGGATTGATTCAATTAATTGTGAAGGAGTAATATAACATATATACAATGAAGATGAGGTTTGGATGGAGATTATAATGCTTAGTTTGTTGTTGGGATGATTGGTACTGTTGGTGGAATGTAAGTGGAACCGAGAGTTGATGGAGGAGTGTATCGAGTAAGTCTACAAACTGACAATAGTTCATATGTGTATATACAACTTGTGAAATGATTGAATTACAATCTATTAGGGATCTTATATTTACACGATGTTGTGGTGGAGCAAACAATGGAAGTTGAAGTTGTGTGATTATTTGTTTGATTGATTGATTGTGTGTGTGTGAGGGGTGATTGTGATCACAACTGTGGGAGTGATTGACAGCATGTTAGATTGTCAGTGTGAGAGTGTGAACATTAATGTGTTTGATTGGTTGAAAGAATGAAGAGTTGACGGATGAGGTGAATACTCTGATCACTCACTAACTGGGTTTGTCACATTGTTAGTTGAGTTTCGAAGCGTCACGCATATTATTTAATCGATTAAACTATGTATGTAGGTGTGACACTATGTCAGACGATGGATGTGGATCATGGTATCCACCATAAACTAATCTATTACCAATACATAATACGTATATATTTATAATAGGAGGAGTGTTGGTCAAATACTTTCCTAGTGACTCCCCATCAAACAAAGGAAGAATTAACTTATGTAATATAATATAATAAAACAATCTATGAGAACTACTTGGTGTCTCCCCAACCCTCGCTCTAACCTTATTTATGGAAGTGTTTTCCCTCCTTTTTTCAAATTTTCAAACTAATGCGGTGTTTGAGTTCATATCGAATGTTTGATTGATTGCATTCAGATACAAAGATATAGATATAGATATATACGTACATAGGGATTGATTAACAATCAAGTATTATGATGGACCCATTCGATGATAGTGATAATGTAGAAAGTGATAATGACAATAACAACAACAATAACAATAATAACAATGGCAAGACTTCCAAGAAGTCAACTGCTAAAGCAACAGTACCAGCACCAGCATCCAAGATGTCAAGAATAGCATTCTTGGACACGAGAAACACTGATACTGGAGGTGACAAGAAACGACAAAAAGAAAAAGACTTGGTCAATCGCAAAGACAAGAAACGTCAAAGAAAGGACATTGATGACAAAGACTTGGACATAGATAAAGACAAGAACAAGGACGAGGACGAAGACAAGGACAAGGATGAGGACGAGGACCATCCAGATGATGGAGGCGACGACGATGGTGGTGGTGATGATGGAGGCGATGATGGAGATGAGAACAAATCAGACGATGAATATAAGAACAATGATCCAGTCAAGTACCATATACATATACCTGAAGAGACGGGAGTCTATATTTGGGGCACCCGAACCAAGGTCCAAGACGTACAAACAAAGTTCAGGAACTTTATACACAACTTCAGATTGAAGAGACGTCCAAGAGCCGACGACATTGATGAAGACGATGTCGAGCCACGCGACGACGATGAAGAGGCAGAAGACGAGCAGGACAAAGACCAAGACATGAATGGCAATGGTCATGGCCCATACCAACATCAATCATTGTATCTCAACCTGCTTGAACAGCTGCATGTGCGCCGTGGCAGACATCTCAACATCAACTTCAGGTACCTGGTCGAGTTTGATAAGGAGCTGCATGGACTGTGGATACGCTATCCAAACGAGCTGATACCATTGCTCGACCAGGAGATCAACGCCATCTACCAAGAGATGTACCCCGATGACGACATGGAAGACTCTGGCGATTCGCGTCTGCCCATCGAGCTGCATCCATTCAATCTGGATCAGGTGCGCCCAATGCGTCAGCTCAACCCGTCGGATATCGACCAGATCATTGCCATCCGCGGCCTGATCATTCGTACCAGCGCCATCATCCCCACACTGGTGCGCTGTTTCTTCCAGTGCTCAAACTGTGGCGCGTGCGCCGAGTCTGATGTGGTCAAGCAAAAGGTGATCGAGCCTGCAACCTGCACCAACACATCATGCAAGGCCAAGGCCTCGATGAAGCTGGTGCACAACCGATGTACGTTTGGCGAGAAACAATTTGTCAAGTTGCAAGAGACGCCCGATGCCATACCCGAGGGTGAGACGCCACACACCGTCTCCATGTTCATCCACTCTGAGCTCATTGACATTGGCAAGCCAGGCGACCGCGTTGAGATCACCGGAGTCTTCAAGGCCAATCCATCAAAGTCCAGCGCAACAACTCAATACCTTCGCGCCATTTACAAGACATGTAAGTGAAGTTGTGACGACCCATCCTGGAACCATCCCTTACTAACCAACACACTACTACCCTAGACATCGATGTAGTACACATCAAGAAGATAGAGAAGGTTAGGAATGATGAGGGAGGAAACGGATCGGTGGAGAGCAACCTGCAGCTTATGGAGAGCTTGGACGACGTGGAGATAACGTTGGAGCGAGAGAAGGAGTTGAAGGAGCTGTCACAGCGCAGCGATATTTACGACTTGGTGACGCGATCGCTTGCACCCAGCATCTGGGAGCTGGAGGACATCAAGAAGGGTATCCTCTGCCAGTTGTTTGGCGGCTCCAACAAGAACTTCCAGGAGGAGGGTGGAAACAGGATCCGTGGCGACATAAACATCCTGCTATGCGGTGACCCCGGTACGAGCAAGTCGCAGATGCTCTCATTCGTACACAAGATCGCGCCCCGTGGTATCTACACTAGTGGTAAGGGCAGCAGTGCCGTCGGACTGACGGCGTACATTACTCGCGATCCAGACACACGTGAGACCGTGCTCGAGTCGGGCGCGCTCGTGCTGAGCGACCAGGGTGTGTGCTGCATCGATGAGTTTGACAAGATGTCGGACCACACGCGTTCCATCCTGCACGAAGCCATGGAACAGCAGACAGTGTCCGTTGCCAAGGCCGGCATCATCTGTACGCTGAACGCCCGTACCAGTATCCTGGCGTCAGCCAACCCCAAGGAGAGCAGGTACAATCCACGTCTGTCGGTCGTCGAGAACCTCCAGCTGCCGCCAACGCTGCTCTCACGTTTCGACCTCATCTACCTCGTGCTGGACAAGCCCAACGAGCGCAGCGACCGCCATCTGTCGCGCCACATTGTCTCACTGTTCTGGGCGGAGAAGCCGATCCCCGAGTGGCACATGCCACACGACCTCCTTTCCGACTACATCGCATTCGCTCGCAAGAAGATACATCCAAAGATCCGTGAGGACTCTGTCGAGTCGCTGGTCAACGGCTACCTGGAGATGCGAGCGAGGGGCGGTGGCAAGACGATCACCGCCACGCCGCGTCAGCTCGAGTCGCTGATACGTATTGCCGAGGCACACGCCAAGATCAGATACTCACCCGAAGTCGAACCAGTTGACGTTGCCGAGGCCATCAGACTGGTCAAGGTGGCGCTTCAGCAGGCAGCCATCGACCCACACACAGGCACCATCGACATGGACCTCATCACGACCGGCAGGAGTGCCTCGTCACGTGAGGAGATTGGTCGTGTGAAGGACGCCATCATTGATGTGTTCCAGAGCAGCGATCCGAGCAGTGGCACACCCGAACAGCTCTTCAAGAGGCTCATGGCCAGTGCCCACAACAGCAGCAAGTCATCGGTATCATTCCAACATGTGACCGTCGATGATGTCCGCGAGGCATTCAAACAGTTGGAAGAAGAGGAGTCTGTCAGGATGGTAGGTTCAAACGTATACAAGCTACGTTAATCAATCATTCAATCAATCAATCAATCAACTAGAATGACAATGTAATAAAGAATAAGAGTGATGTGGCCAACACTTCAATGAAGTTGGTTCATTTAAACAAAGTCCAAAAGATGTTGTGGCCTGTACCTGTCATTGATGTTGTCCGTTGTTTGATTGATTGGCTTGGTTTGTTGATGATACTATTTATCGCTATCGTTAAATACAGTGAATAGAAGTGGAGTTGTGACCTTGTATGCCAAGGTTTGAGGATGATTTTAAATGGTGGAGGCGCTACCCTTGATGATAATATTTGTTGATTGTCTCTATCTGTCACTTGCTGGTGCTGCTGTTGGTGCTGTTGTTGCGTTGGTGCTGTTGTTGTTGGGTAATATAGTATGTGATTGTGCGCTATCCTTGAATGCATAGAACAGGCCAAAGGCAAGTCCAAGGAAGACTCCCCATAACAATATAATGACCAATGATGATTTAACTATGTTGTCATTATTGTTGTTAGTAACATACAACATTACAAACATGATGTATTATTAATATGATTGACACCTACGACAAATCATTGGAGTATCTCCACAGACTCGCAATTGTCCATTCTTATCTCTTTTGATTGGACTATAATTTGAAGGCTTGATATTCTTTACGCTCTTGACGCCCTTCTTTACTCCTTTCATTGTCTTCTTTGCAACATTCTTCATCTCTTTCTTTATTTGTGTTAAATATATATATAAGTATATAAAGATATAAATAGAATAAGTAAGTGAAGTGAATGTGATAATGTATCTGAATGAAAGAATGAACAGATTGGGGGTTGGTTGTCGGCTTCAACAACAACCAGGTGTGAAAACCTGTGTCAAGTCAGAGATTCACACTTTCGTGTTCTTCAAGTTGAACACAAGACTAACAACAAAGAATGAATGAAAGAGATAATAAGGGGTGAAAGGACGCAATGAAGAGGCAAACAAAGGCAAGTTGTATTTGGTTGTGATTTGATATACATTTATTTCGTATTTATTTACATGTATTTTGTGAAGACTGACACTCTATTTGATGTCTCGATGATTCTCTGTCATGTACATTACTATACCAGTTATCAAAATGAATGGTATTGAACTGTTTAACAAGTCCCAAGCCTCACCTGTTCCCCAATTATAAGGTCCAACTCCCAAAGGACCAGATGCATAATTATAATCCATCGTACCATTACTATACTCGCAGAACTTGCCTCCAAACTGTGTAGTGAATGGTTCAGGTGTATGACAATCCTGGTAAAGATGATTGATTGATTGATTGATTGATTGAGTAAGTTAGTGAGTGAGGGAGGATGGATGGGTGGATGGGACTATTCCAGTATTGACATACTTTGTAGACAGGGTTTGAGAACCAATTGATTGAATATGTTGCGGCAAGTGATACTAGTAGTGTGACGATACTTAGGTATTTGTTGATAAATATACATATTGGATGTCTAAAGTTATTAACTCTTGATATAAACATTGATAATAAACTTAATAAAGTCAATACTATTATTGCCAATGATAACATCTCTAGTGCCAGCACAAACTTCCTTGTTTGATATAATGCCATATCCTTCATTGTAGTTGACACTGTAGTACCATTATCATATACAGCCTTAACTTCCAACATTGATATTGTAATATATACTAATACTTCATTCTCGAAATCATACAAGAAGAATGATTCCCAAGGAACTATAAATATAATCAGGTTAGTTATGTTTGATCGTTTCAAGGATTGATGGATAACTTACCAAACAATGCAATTGACAATAATAATATTGTTACAAATATTGATGATCCTATAATAATATTGAATTTCTGGAAAATACTAATATCTGGTATTCTCTTTAATATTGACATGATTGTTATAAATATTATTAATATAATAATAATAGTGAAGATGAATAGGATAGATTAAATGACCGTGAACAAGGGAAGTTGCAAATATATTACAACACTACAACAACAACAGCATTCATTAATATTACTATCATCATGTGATCTGTTTAGATGAAGATAAGGCCTCCCCAGATAGTGATGGTGTAGACGACGTTCTATAACTCAGTTGAATGAATGAGAGAGAGTGATGACAATTTAAATGAACTTGGATGGTGGTTGTAAGTTAAGGTGATTGTTAGCCTCAAGGGGTATCCTTTAGTCAGTCAACCGACCTTTTTTTGTGTGTGTGTTTGATCAAACACACACTAAGATACCCCTTCGTCAATCAAATCATAAAGGTGGGGGAACATGTGATGTTAGAGTGATAGAGATAATTAGTATTACATTGTTTAGATTGTGATAGATAATACATCATCATCATCATATGATTTATTAATTATGGATGGATGAACTGATGGAACGGAATGAATCCACTTGTGAGTGTGTGATGTGAATGAACATAAATGGTGGAAGTTTAGAATTTGATGATATTGTTGTTTACTTGAACTCGATGAGGATCTCGTCGACAGCGACGTTCGTGCCTGCCTTGACCTTAATCGACTTGATCTCGCAGTCACGTGGAGCACGCAAGACGTTCTGCATCTTCATGGCCTCGATGACACACAACTCCTGGCCCAGGACAACCTTGTCGCCCTCCTTGACGGCCAGCGAGAGGATGGCGCCTGGCATTGGCGACAGCAGGGCGTTGGACGAGTCGACAGACTTCTTGATGGGCATGTACTTGTACAGCTCGTCCTCTTCGGGCGTGCGCACAATCACCTCGGTCTTGGTGCCGTGGAACTGCAGGGTGTAGGCGTGTGTGGAGCGTCCGTGAATCTGGAATCTGTGCACGCCGCCGTCAATCTTGAGTGTGAGCATCTCTGGTGTATCCTCCTGGATCTCCATATCGTACTGCTTGACAATCGTCTCGCTAGCCTCGTCGACCAATTGAATAACGAATGAATCCTTCTTAACCTCAACTCTCAACAAATGTCTAACATTGCCAACTCTGATGACAAAGAACTCGTCCTGTATGATGTCGTCCAATGATCAAAGTGATTGATTGATTGATTGATTGATTATGGTTGAGTGAGTGAGTGAGCTATTATTGCCAGCCATCCAACTTGATTGAGTACTTACAGTCTCGATTGGGGTATCACGAGCTTGGTTTGTGCTGTTGGAAAGGAGCTTGTATTGATCCATGAAGCGAAGAACTGTAGCACAGACGGCCAACTGCTCAATCTGCTTTGGAGTGAAGTGGTAGCCCTTGAAACCCTCGGGGTACTCCTCGGGGATGAAGCTGGTGCTGAAGTCACCAGAGAGGAACTTCTCGTTCTCCATGACGTCGCGCAGGAAGGGCACGTTGTGGTTGACACCCTTGATGAAGTACTCGTCCAACGCCTTCTTCATGCGGATGATGGCGCTCTTTCTCGTCTCGCCGTATGTGATGAGCTTGGAGATGAGTGGATCGTAGTAGGTGGAGATCTCGCCTCCCTCTTGGATGCCTCCGTCGATACGGACGCCGGGTCCCTCGGGTCTGATGTACTTCTTGATGCGGCCAATCGATGGCAAGAAGTTGCGGTATGGGTCCTCGGCGTAGACACGCGACTCGACGGCCCATCCCTTGATCTTGACCTCCTGTTGCTGCAGCTTGAGCTTCTCGCCGTAGGCGATGCGGATCATGTGCTCGACGAGGTCCTGGCCAGTGATCTCCTCAGTGATTGGATGTTCCACCTGGAGACGAGTGTTCATCTCGAGGAAGTAGAAGTTCTTCTTCATGTCGACGAGGAACTCCACGGTACCGGCGGACTTGTAGCCGACGGCCCTGCACAGTGCGGCGGCCTGGCGACCCATGGCGTTACGGGTCTCGTCGTCGAGGAAGGGCGAGGGCGCCTCCTCAATGACCTTTTGGTTACGACGCTGGATCGAGCACTCACGCTCGGGGAAGTAGAGGGCGTTGTCACCATCGGACAGCACCTGGATCTCAATGTGTCTGCCGCGGTCGATGTACTTCTCGATCAACATACGGTCATCACCAAACGATGACTTGGCCTCCTGCTTGGACAGTCTGAATCCGATCTTGACGTCCTCGTCGTTCCAGGCGATTCTCATACCCTTGCCACCACCACCAGCGCTGGCCTTGACCATGACGGGGTAGCCAATCTCGTTGGCGATCCTGATGACCTCGTCCAGACTCTCGACCTCACCGATGAAACCTGGGATGACGCTGACGCCGGCCGCCTTGGCGATCTTCTTGGACTCGATCTTGTCGCCGAGTGCGTGCATGGCGTACGAGCCCGGTCCAATGAAGGTGACGCCGATCTTCTCGAGCTCCTTGACAAAGTGACTGTTCTCCGAGAGGAAACCGTAGCCGGGGTGAACGGCTTGTGCGCCAGTCTTCTTGATGGCCTCAATGATGGCCTCGATGTTCAGATAGCTCTTGCTGGTTGGTGCTGGGCCGACACAGACTGCCTCATCAGCCTCCTGCACAAACTTTGAGTACTTGTCTGCGTCACTGTGAATGGCAACAGTCTTGATGCCCATCTTCTTACAAGTGCGGAATACACGGCATGCAATCTCTCCACGATTAGCAACCAATATCTTCTCGAACATCTGTTTATTTAACATCATTGATTGATTGATTGATTGATTGATTGATCGAGGTTAGAGTGTCAGTCACTCATTCATTGAATGTTCCGCGCGGAACCCTGTCTTGCTTCATCATCATGCACTATGTCGCATGAATGCATTGAATGACAACATGAACTTACAAAGTTAGGAGAAGACGAGTGGAAGTAGCGAACCATCTGGTGTGCAGAGGCACCAGCAGTGGTCTTATGTCCTGCGAGGGATGACAAGATCAACCTGTTCATTGTTTATTTGATTGGGTTGTGTTGTATATATTGCTGCCTAGCTGAGCTGATGTTGTTACTACTATAGTATTATATAATAATAATAATGATACCCCTGCTTGCTGCTTGTCTCTGAACTAAACTGAACTCTCTTACTATCTCACTACCCTTTCTTTCATTCACACCGCACCGCCACTTCATCGTGAGCTCATTCATTCATTCCCTTTGTGTGTTGGAGTGCACACGATTCCCAAACACAAGTTTTTGTCCATTTTTTGTGATTTTGGAAATTTCCATCCAAAATGATGAACTTCCTTTTAATTCGTCTTTTCTTTCTCCATGAAGATCTGACAAATTGTGTCAGCCTCATTATCATTGATGTCATTATCTATATATTGTATCTCTCTTATGAATCAACAAACAATTTGTAGGATGTTCTAGTATCTACATATCTGTACCCATCCCTTTAAAGATTATTATTTGTTTGATTGGGTGATCAAACCAAAACAAACAATGATTGTTTGAAACAACAACAAAAACAATTTCAAAAGTTGATCGATTGGGTAGTCCAACCAGATCCATTTTTCAAAGTGTCGTTGGGAGATGGGTTCAGAATCAAAAAAAAAAACTGGTGGATCAAATGCTTACAACTCTGACACTGACTGGAAAGTTGAGGCCACCGATAACAACAGTCCCATTCATTCATACATCAATCAAACAGTCAATCAGTCATCCATCCTACCAACTCACCATAAAGGTAGTAATAATACTACTACTTTATATGTTTTATTTGTATTATTATTATTATTCTTATTACTACATTCATTCAAGCTTTTTCGGTAAGACATCAATCAATCTATCAATCACTCCTCTTGGTCGGTCGGTCAGTCAGTCAGTCAGTCAGGACATGAATCGATAACCTTAGCATGAATGTTCATAATGGCCACTACAGCTACAGCTACAGCTACTGTAGCAGTACAAGTCGTGGAATTAATTAAATGTAGTCACTTCATTTAAGACATACAACACATACACTCACAGACATAGACATAGACATAGACATAGCACATAGACATTGATAACCTTAGCACGATCGGTCGATACTACTACTACTACACTACTATGACAATAGTCATTACATCCATTCATTCAATGTGTGGTTGGATGGATGGATGGATGAAGTGAGATGAGATCCATTCCATTGATCAATCAATCAATGCTCCATAGTCACTCACTCGCGATCCAAGTTGACAATCCCAAGAATAGTACCCCATACACACCGATACACACTCACAGCCACTCACAGCACAGTCACATGACTAAAGGGTTGTGTGGCTTGGCGCCAACACTTTGGCACACACTCACTCAGTACTATATCTCTTTCTCCAACTGCCGCGCTCTCACCTACCAATCAATCAATCACCAGCCATACAGCCAACCAGTGATCAATTCATCCGCCCAGACACCCGAACACTAAGATTGTTATCTTTATTGTACATTGACCAACCATAGTACAATCAATAGAAGCCTTATTTAGAAGTATTGTCCTGTCCTGTCTTGTCTTGTCTTATATTGTTGTCTATTGTGTCCTTTAAACGACAAGTTACACTTACACTCGGGAGAAGACGCGCATATCATCATCAACAACATCAACATCATCATCATCATCAACATTCATTCACATTATTAATAATTAATAATCATACTATCTAGATAGATACTAAGTAGTTAGTTACAGCTACTGTGTAATATATATATTATATAGTGAGCGATCGAGCTAAGACGACACGATACCCCAACAAACGTTATATAGATAGATACAAATGGAGGGAAAGAAGTTAGTGTCAAGCTTGCTCAAACCGCGCAAGTCCACTCTATCATCGAGTGGCATCAACAATACAAGTAACAGTAACTTGGCCGACTCATCATCATCGACTTCAACATCAACATCACAGCGTAACTCAACATCATTGGTTGGCAATGGCAATGGAACATCATCAAATGGAAGACCACAATCAACAGCATCGACATCAGATGAGTTGACGGCAGAGGAGTATAAGAAGCGAAACACCCGACAGATACCCGCCATATTGCTCGAGGATGAGACGGAGCGCGAGGACGAGGAGTACGCGTTCGACTTTGAGCGCTACTATTACGAGTCGAAGGAGTTCAACAGGGAGACCGTGCGAGAGCTCGTGGTCATCCCCGACGAGGTGACGCAGGACAGCGTGCAGCTCTTGCCCAAGGAGAACAGAGTGACCTCGGCACCAAACGACTTCAAGGCTGGCGCCAACCAGCACATCGACGACTGTCTCGACTTCTACCTAGCGCCCAGCTACAGCACGCTCAAGACGACGACGCACCAGACGGACGAGACGCCACACACAGTGGTCACGCAGCTGATGGAGAGGAGGATCGAGGCCAAGCCGCCCGAAGATACACAGCCCCCTGCAGCGCCAGCGACAGGCGGCGAGGGCATCGAGTCGACGACGACCATTTATCAAACACCCAATGTCATCATCAAGTCGGACGAGCCGGACGAGTTGCACATGGGCTATCTTGAGCGCCAGCTGCGCTCACAGACAAAGTCCGAGCAACATCCTCGCAGTCTGTACTCATACTTCACCGTCTCGGACCCGCCCATCGTCACGCCCGAGCCCACAGTGTATCCACGCGAGAAATGTAGGACGATACTAGTGGACTGCAAGGAGCTGGTGTTCAAGCTATGGGACAAGGACGACGAGAGCGAACCATTCTACTGCAGCCTCTACCTGTTTGATATCTCAAAGAAGGTTAGGGTTTCGGAGCTGTTCCACTTTGACTTCAACTCGGAGAAGACCGAGAAGATGTTGTCGTCAGCTGGCAAGTCACCCCAGCTCACCAGCAGAGACGAGCTGGCCCGCACCAAGAAGGCTCTTTTCACCATTGGCAAGTCCTCGCCAGACATATACCTCGTCTTGATCGTCGAAAAGATCCTCATGGGCGACCTGGACGATCAGGCTGAGCCATATATCAAGCTGAATGTAAGTGATTGATTTGATGACATTATTGATGATTGGATAACTAACACCTTTCATTCACAGCTCAAGGACAAGGAGAAGGAGAAGCTAAGGGAGCAGAATAGGTCATTGGCATCAAGATTGGGCTCGTATAGACAGGCCTTTTGTTGGGGCTGCGTGCCATTGTTTGGATTGGAGGGCGAGTTGGGCGTTGGAGAGAACACGCACTTTAGACCATTGTACAAGTATCGTCCAGACTACACAGACGCACAGATGCTCGATTCGACGCTGGGCGAGTTCTCCAAGAGCGCCTCGACAAAGAAGCTCAAGGTCATCCCAGGTCACTGCACAGTCGACATCAAAGAGTTGACCAACTATTACCGCACCACCGTTGATCCCCTGCCCGGCATGACCATCGTCAATCAATCACTTGTGCCTCTCAAGTTCACACAGCAGCAGCAGCAACAGGTATCGACTTCCCCAGTAGTGGCGGCGACTGATGCAGCTGGCACGATCACCGCTCCAGTGTTGCCACTCTCAATGCCTGCGGACAAGATAGCGCGCGAGGTACAGGAGTTCTCGCAGTACTCCAAGTTCGAGACCAACACAGAGTTCTTGCACAATCTGTACATCTACCCGACGTCTGTCAATCTGAGCAACCGCAGTGGCAGCGTCACAGCACGCAACATCACCGTCAAGGTGCAGATAATGGAGAACGACGATAACGTGCATTATGATGGCATGAAGCTGATCTATGGCCGCAGCAACAACGAGATGTTCACGACCAAGTACCACTCGTCAGTGTCCTATCACACCAAGACACCTATCTTCTACGACGAGGTCAAGGTGCGCCTGCCCATCACGCTTACGCCACAACAGCACTTGCTGTTCACGTTCTACCACATCACGTGCCAGAAGTCCGACAAGGAGAACGCGTTCGACCAGCCCATCGGCCACGCCGTGCTGCCAATCTTCCAGAACGGTCGTGTGCTCGCGGACGAGGTATACAACCTGCCCGTGGCACTTGAGCTGCCGCCCAAGTACACCAAGGAGGAGACAGAGGCTGCCCTGCGCTACATCGACAACAAGAAGCCGATCTTCCAGGTGCGCACCAAGCTCTTCTCCAACATCATGACGACGGACGAGCATCTATCCACCTTCTTCAACACCGTCTCCAACATTGCAGGCAGCTCGATCGAGCACATCAAGCGAGCGATCAAGGGTCTGACGCACTGCCGCGTCGAGTCGATCAATCAGTTCTTCCCCGTTGTAATGAACCAACTGTTCCGGTTGATGACGGGCGCGCAGTCGGCCGATCTGGCCATGATCTCATTCATTGTGATTGGCGACATCCTGGCCATTGTGAACGATGTCTCTTCGCTGGTGCACCAGCGCTACGCCAAGTTCGTCTTTACCAACGTCAAGGGCGCGTCGACGCCCGTCTACGACGTGCTCATACGCACATGGCTCGAGCTGATGCGCTTCCAGGAGAACAACTCAGACAACATCCTACGTTTCTCCAAGTTCTTCTTCTCGATCATTTACAAGTCGATGGCATTGCACCTGATTGAAACGCGTAAGGTCAATGAGAAGACGCGACGTGGACGTTTCACGGGCCTGCTGACCAAGCTTCGCAAACTGCTCTCCATCCTGCGTTGGGAGGCGACCACCCGTGTCAAGCACACATTCAAGCTCTCCAAGGAGCTCACCAAGTCACTTGGAACCTTCATCTCTCAGCTGCTAGGCATTGCCGACCGAGGTTATGTATTTTCAATTGTAAGTTCCAATGCGATGACATCATCTTGTGACCGCGACACGTCCACTCACTCAATCACTCAATCAATATAGATTGACAGAGTTGTAGCAGACTTTGAATCATCGATATCCTCAGGCAATGGCGAGTCAGAGGCAGAGATATATGAGCTCAAGTTTGAGTTCTTGCGTATCATTGCTCAGAATGAGTACTTTGTCCAGCTCAACCTTCCCCTCCCATACCGCATCGATCCATCCTTGAAGATCAGTGCGATACTCTCAACGTCCAGACACGTTATCTCTGAGATGTTGATCACACAGGTTACGAATGGATTGGCACACAAGGAGGTGGTCGTAAGAATGGACGCGTCAAACACGTTGAGAGACACACTGTCGAGGATTGAGATGGACACGAGATGGCAGGAACCAGTGGCCAAGCAGCGCATTGTTGGAGTGTTTGTGCCATTCCTTTCAAGCGTCGTCCAGAACTGGAATAACTTCAAGGACGACTCATTCATTGTGCGCCGAAACATCTTGGTGTCCTTCCTCTACCTGCTAAAGAGCGTGCATCCCAACCTGCTCAGAATGTGGTGGAAGGAGGAGTCCAAGGACCGCTTTGTCGCGCTCTTTGAGATCCTGACAACGTGTGCCGACCTGTTCGAGTTTGTCGGCAAGGACAAGCTGATTGACCGCGCACTAGAGTCCACCTCGATGAGGACCAGCACAGCCAAGTCCATTCTGGAGGACTTCTATACAGGCAACAGAGTTTCGCCCTACAGCAGCAAGAAGATGTACAGTCGCTCTCTGCGCGAGAAGCGTGTGGACGCACGCAAGTCTGTTTTGGACTCGTACAACAGCAATGGACACAGCATCAACACATTGACCAAGGAGAAGCGTGGCTTCACCAAGGGAATGGGCACAGCACAGAAGATCAACGTTGCCGACTATGACGATCGCCTCGAGAGCAACCTGGCGTTTGAAGCCGGCGCCATCATCCTGGACACAGCCGACGACTTTATGTATGAGTTTGAGCGCGAGCTCAAGCTGGGCGGCTACTACGACGTGCTGCACAAGGTGTTTGGCCTGCTCAACACGATGCTGATCAAGAACCAACCGATCACACTCGTGCCCAAGCTCTACTTCACGTTGCGCCAGTTCGTATTCAAGTTCCCCAAGTCGCTGTTTGAGCTCAACAACACGTTCTGCTCGGATCTGTGCAACGGTGTGATCCGCCACTGCAACTCGCCCAACAAGACGACGCGTGAGGAGGCATCCGCATTCACATTCATTCTGATGCGCAAGAACTACGAGCAGACACGCAAGAACTTCATCCGCACCAAGACGCAGTTTGTGATTGGACTGTCCAAGATTGCCGAGAAGGAGATCAAGGATGACTACTACCTCAAGAAGTCGCTCGACACAATCAACTCGTACGCCAACATCCAAGCCGAGAAGTTGGTGGGCAAGTCGTTCGCCAAGCAGGTGGAGGATCTCACCAAGCGCATGCACACCTTTGTCATTGACAACATCAAGATCAGCAAGCACAAGGACGACCCCGAGATGGTGGCCGACCTCTACAACCGTATCGCCGACAACAACAAGAGCAACGCCGACACGCGTCTCCTCTGGCTGCGCATCCTGGCCGACTTCAACAAGAGTCAGCAGAACTACGCCGAGGCCGCCCAGTGCTTCTTGCACATGGCTGCCCTCGTCGCTGAGTACCTGACCCTGATTGGCGCACCAATCCCCACGATCGCCGGCAGCAAGGCATTCACATTGTTCAATCGCAACTCTGTGGAGGAGTCGCACGCACACATTGAGCGCGAGGACGATGACAACAACCAGAAGTACTCGCTCGACTACTTCATGTCGCTGATAAATGACGCCATCCTGTTGCTCAAGGACGCCGAGCTGTTTGAGCTGGCCAACTTGGTGTACAAGCTGGTGCTGCCCGTGCACGAGCACAACTTGGACTACGACAAGCTGGCCACATGCCACGGCGACCTGCAGGACATCTTCAAGAGGATCGTTGAGTGCACACGCACCAAGTCTCGTATGCTTGGCAGTTACTACCGCGTGGCCTTCTTTGGCAACAAGTTTGAGGAGCTCAACTCCATGGAGTTTGTGTACAAGGAGCCCAAGATCACACGTCTCGTCGAAATCAAGGACCGTCTGCGCACACTCTTTGCCAAGAAGTACAGCGTACCCGAGCAGTCCATCCAGATCATCGAGGGCTCGTTCGCCGTCGACGTGTCCAAGCTGGACCCCGAGCAGTGCTACCTGCAACTGACGTCTGTCGTGCCATACTTCCCCGAGGAGGAGATCGCGCAGCGTCGCACGCCATTTGACCACTGCATCCATCTCAATCGCTTCATGTACGAGACACCCTTCACCAACACTGGCGCAGGCCAGGGCAACTCAGTGGCCGATCAGTTCAAACAAAAGACGATCCTGACCGTCCAGAGCCACTTCCCCTACACCAAGAAGCGCATCCAAGTGACATCCAAGCAGATTATCAATCTGAGCCCCATCGAGAACGCCATCGAGTCGATCGAGGGCCGCTCAGAGACACTGATGAACGAGATCAAGACTGTTCCACCCAACCTCAAGGTGCTGCAGCAGGTGATCCAGGGCTCGGTGCGCCTCCAGGTCAACGCCGGTCCACAAGAGATCTGTCGCACATTCCTCGCCGATGGCGCCAGCTACCCACAGAACTTCACAGTCAAGCTGCGCAAGGTGTTATCCACATTCCTGGGCACTTGCGCCGAGGCATTGCAGTTGAACCGCATGCTGATCGATCACAACACACAGGCCGCCATTGAGTGGCAGGATGAGATGGAGTCTGGCTACCTTTTACTCCTGTCTGTTATGGAGGGTTACCAGGTGGTGCCACCCGAGGGCAGCTATTGTCCAGCCAACAGCAACAACAGCACACCGACACTCTCATCGACACAGCATCGTGCGTCACTGTCCAGCAGCCATGACAGCCAGGACGTGGACGCATCGCCACATTCCAACAACAGTCCAAGTCTCACGTCATCCAGTGTGCAGCCAGTGGTTGGCAGTCTTGCAGCATCTCAAACAACATCAGCCGGTGGCAACAACAACGGCAGTGGTAATGGCAGCGTCAACAATGGCAACGGCAGCAGTGGTAGTAGCATATATAGGAAGTCATTCACACAGAGGATATCATATTCTTTCAACAAGAAGGCATCGGCAGATGGTGCGTCGCCACCAGATACCCAAACCTCATAAGAGTCAGTCATCAGTCAATAAACACACTAAACTTAAGTCTACTTATTGGTGTCACTGAACTCAGCTTGCTCCCTCTCAAGGGTGGAGATTGTTTATGAGTGATTCCAGTTGAACTGGAATGGTTTAAAGGAAAAAGTCTTGAATATCCACTTCTTGAGCTGCTTGGGGAAGGGGTTGGACAATAATGAAAGTAAGTCCCCATTCACCATTTGTGGCAGGTAGAGCCTTGATGTCAGAGGTAGCCTTGGCTAGCATTGCTTTGGTATCAGAAACAAGATCAGAGATTTGTCCTTCAAATCTAGTAAAGTAGAATTGAGAAGTCGATTTGTTTCTTGAACTCCAACCTTTGCCTCCAGGTATCTGATGGGATGTAATGTGGTTGAACAACTTGGTTCTGATCTTGGTACCTCTATTGTGGTCCTCCTCGTTGGAGGTCTTGAGAACCAATATGAAATTAGGACGATCTACCTCTTCTAACTCTTTTTGTTTGAGGCTATGAATTGTCTTGTTCTGTTCATTGGGTAACTTGGTGAGAGAGAAGACATTATATATTTTCGTGATATAGATATAAATAGAGTAAAAGTAACGAATTAGTTGTATCAATTTTTGTTTTTGATGAAGCACTTGAAGTCTCTCTCAACTTAAATATATTTAATAATAAACAAACAAATCTAAATGTAAACTGGACACTATTTTGATTGGAATTGATGGGTGTAAAACTAAACAACGCCCAGAAAACTCAGACTCCAAAAAAGTTAACTTTTTTGCCCAAAGTTTTGACAAAAAGAACGGTTTATGAAGATCTTCATTGATTTTTGGGGGGAGCTCCATTGTTCATAGAGTGAGGTGTATTTCCAGACCCCAAAAATCCCAAGATCTTCATTAACCAAACTAGTAAGTAGTAAATTATATTATATTAATTTATTGTACAAGAGGTGAAAGTTAACATTACTAAAAAGGGGTCAAAGGAAGTAAAAGGAAATATATATATTTAATATACTAACTATATTATCATTTAAAAGATATTCTATTAATAACTGTATTATCTTTTAAAAGATAGATATAAATAACAAAAGTTTCTTTTAAATATTTAAAATGTCTAAAATATTATTCATAATCTTTTTAATAGGATTTTTAGTTTGTGTTGTATCTCAAGATAAACCAGGTATGTTTTAGTTACTAAAAAAATTCTTACTTTCTACCTTTAAACTAACTAAATGGTTTTTTTTAAAGTGAACTTTATTATTACTATACCAGTGTTTGATCATTTACCTTCATTGAACACCAACTTTGAACCAGATATCTCAAAGATTGATGGACTTACCAAAGGTTTGGTCAAGAATGAACTTGACCCAACTACTAAACGTCCAGAGTTAGCTTCAGATGCAGATTTGGAGAAAGGAAGAATAGTGGATCCTGATACATTCCCTTTATGGTTCACCAATTCTCCGCTCACCAAGTTTATCCCTTTTGATCTAACATTGGCCAAGGTTATGAATGGTTCTGAGACTCTTTACATCTTTGACAGCAGCGCATTCTTCCCTATCAACAACATTGGATGGGACACTGATCCAGCCAACAGAATATTCAAAGATAATTCCAACACTTATCAAAACTTCCACTTTTGTTTTGTTATTAATGGATTCTTTGTCTATAATGTAAGTAATTACCAATTACCATTAATACTATTCCACTTAACTAACATAACTTTCATTCAAAGGGAAATGAATACATTAATATTCGTACTGTATATGATTCATGGATATATATAAACAACAAATTAGTAATTGATATGGGAGGAATACATCCAGCAGAACTATCAAAGGTTGATTTATCAACTGCCAAACTGGGAATTATAAAAGTAAGTTAAAAATTTATTAATATATTCCGATATTTATCATTATATATTAACCGAGTCAATCAATGAAAGAACAACACTTATCCAATTGACATCTTCCTGTGCCAGAGACATACCGATATTTCCGCATTATATCTTAGTACCAACATTAATGTCCAATGTTTGGAGACTGATTACTGTGGAGTGTGCAATGGAGATGGCTCATCATGTTGCAATTCCAAAATAGATTGTGATGATAAAGATGCCTGCACCATTGATACCTGCCCCTCGATCTCAACTCCTGGTGTCAACATTACCAACTTCAAGACATTCTGTGCACATCCCAAGATGACTTGCGACAAACAAAATAACGCCGATCTCTGTTTCAACTGGGTATGCGAAGGTGGAGATTGTGTCAAGGGAAGTGCCAAGACCTGTCCAACTCTAAAGTGCCAGGTGCTCAGTGGATGCGATCCCGAGTTAGGATGTCAGTACAAACCAAAGTGTGTGGCCGCCGACAACTGTACTTCAACAATATGCAATGACTCGGGAGAGTGCGAGGACAACAAAATCACTTGTTCATCAACAAACATGTGTTTGGAGTACTCATGTGACAAGAATCAAGGATGTATCTCCAAGACCAAGACTTGTGTACCCGAGACTCCTGCCCCATGTACGGTCTACTCATGTGAACCTGATAAGGGATGCAAAAGTGAACAACTCGATAAGTTCCATTGTGATTGTTGCCCTCCCGACCAGACCCCCAAGTGCAAGGTTGCCTCCTGTGATATGGGTACATCCAAGTGTATCTATACTGATGCACCCTTCGATGAGGGTGACCCTTGTACTGATGATGGATGTGACACTAGCTCCGGTGTGATTTGGCATACCCCAGTTGTGTGTCATGGATGTCAGAGATGTACCAAGGCAGCTGGCAAGTGTGTAGACACAGACTCTGTTTGCAACAATGGTAACCAATGTACCCCAGGTACATGTAAGGACAGCATATGTTCATTCAAAGAGAAGTCTTGTGATGATAATGACCCATGCTCCAAGGATTTCTGTAATCCCAACACAGGATGCAATCATACCAAAGAGGAGTGTCCTGATCTTGGGCTCTGTCAAGTTGGAGTCTGTTTGCCAAACAAAGGATGTGGATATGCTGCAAGGAACTGTTCATCAAAAGATTTCTGTACAGATTCTTTATGTGATGAACGTCTTGGATGTCTGGAGTTCAAGAAGGTGTGTAGACCAGACAATCCAACATGCCAGGTTGGAGCATGTAACACAACTACACAATCATGTGAATTCATCAATATCACTCCAATCCCAGAAGAATGTATACCAGTTACCTCTACCACAACTACAACTACAACTGGGCCAACTACTACCACTCCCACATCAACAACTTCTACAACATCAACATCCACTACATCCAGTCCAACATCAACAACATCAACATCAACCACAACTACGACAAACACAGCATTGTCCAACAACTCCCCTCTCATTATCATGTGTTACATCGTGGTATCAATCACAATGTTAATCATGTTGTAAATAAGAATGAATGATGATGATGATTATGTAAATAATACAAATAAAGACATTTACTTTACTTTACAAGTAGTAGTTTGGCCTGCTTCTTGAGGAATGAATCCATGTCCTTGTCATCTTTGAAGTACTCCATCACTTTGAGACAATCTTGATGAGGAGATGATAGACCATCACGATTGTTGTTGTTGTTATCCAATGGTATACCCATCAACTTGTGTGATTCAACCAACATCCTATAATATGTCTTTAGTTGGTCCACTGAGAATGAGAACAACTCCATCGTTGATTGAGGCCTTCTCAATTCCTTCTTGATATACACCAATGTGAGTCCTTCATTGCTCACATTGAACAGCTGGATCAATCCCACCACAAGTTGATCCAAGTTATCCAGAATGCCAATGTTCCAAACCTTCTTGTTATAACTCTTTGGCAACAAGATTGCCATTATATTCTTTGATGTATGAGTGATTGAGTGTGATTAATTGGGGTGGGGTGGAATCATTCCAGTTTGGGTTAGAGTTTGATTGATTGAATGAATGATCAAGGGTATACACATACCAATACAATGGTCTTGAACAGATACTTTAGGAATTTCTTGAATAGGCTTGGATAAAGAGTGATGTAACAGACTTTGATGTGGCTCTCAAGGAAGTCTAGGAGGAGATCAATGTTGCTGGAATCTTTTCCAAAGGCTGCTGTCACAATCAATGGTTTGAGTTTGTAGTCCATCATATAACAGAAGTATGCCAACAATGACTTCCACTGGAACTTGAGATATTTGTAAATGTCCCTGAAGCAATTTCCAAAGATATCACCATTCTCTGCATCAAACTCATCCAACAATCCTCTTGCCTCTTCAATATCATTGAGTTGTAGACACATCTATGTTGATTGATTGATGGATGGATGGTGGTTTAGTGACTGGATGTGAAATCATGCATGGATTCAAGCATACCTTGGATGTTATAAGTATTGATGGTTGATTTGGCAGAACTGGTTTGTTGGCGATCAGATGTGAGATGATGGAAGAAGGCTTCTTGTGCTCACTCAACACCTTGTCTATTGTACTCATGATGAATTGTTGATGATCACGCGAAAGACTGGACATCATATCAGCTCGCAGTCCCTTGATGAACAAGTAGAATGTGTTGTCCAGTTGCTAAAGTAGTTTGATTGATTAATTGATTGATTGTTAGTTTGAGAACAAGGGTATGTGGTTCATTGTTTGTACATACTGCTCCAAATGACTTCAACAACATCCTATATGATTGCATGTGTAGCCTATGTTTGATTGAGTAGTTGGAATAGTTCCAGTGTGGTTAGACAACTTGATAATCTCATACTTTGAATGAATGATCATACTTCTCTTCGACAACCTGGATAGACTTGAAACATTGCCAGATGTAGGTGAATAGGTCTATTGGTGCAGATGTGTGTAGGACATTGTTTCCATTCGCAGTCCATTGTTGTTTGGCAATGATTGCTTCAATATACCTCTCCAACAAGCACACACTATTCAGTACAAAGTTGCCCGAGAAGAATGATAAGTTCTGATCCAATGGCAATAAGTTCCTATTGTGATTAAATGAATGATTGATTGATTGATTAGTCCATATACTACCACGCCATGCAAATCAACTCCACTCCACCGGAACTTACTTCTTGACATATTGCTGACATTGATTGTTGAACTCATTTAAGTGGGGCACGAGCTCGACTAGGATGCCAGTTAGCCAGGGTGGTGTCTGCATACCAGTGTTCTTCTTGACGTCCACGTGCATGAACTTGGAGGATATTCGTGAGAGGTCCGCTCGGACGAGTTTGACAAAGGTCTCGATGACCAACTCGATGTGGGTAGTTCCACTGCGCAGATAGCTGTTCATGGTCGGATTGAATAGTGCATGGTCAACCTTGAGCCATTGACATATGTCGGCCATTGTCAATGAGAGTGTGAATATCTCAAGACACTGGTCGTGCGCACGACCCTCTTGCTGCTGTAGCAGGAACTCATACTTGGTGCGATGTACATTGTACTCCTTCTCGCTGCACTCCACGACGCCGGCCGCCACCAGCGAGTGCACTTGGACGTCGTGCCAGTCCATGCCCTTGACCACGCGATCCAACAGACGCAGGACCATGGCCAGTGACGAGCCGCCATGTTTGTGAAGTCTCGCGTTACTCTCCTTGGCCTTGAAGCACAGACGGTAGTGCGCGATGCGATGGCGAAGCTGCTCGACCAGGTACAGACAACTCTTATGTAGACGAGACTCCTCGTTGATCGTGATGGTCTTGGCATGACTCTTGCGCAGCTCCATCAGACGCCCAAACGTGCTAAACAGCGCGTTTAGCTGTGCGAGCGAGTCATCGAAGCGACGACACAATAGACTAAAGACAACAAGATGTCGGTAGAACTCGCGTATACCATAGAGCGTGCAGTACTCCCGCAAGATCCATCCAAACTCGTTTCGAATATTGAACGCGTCGCCGCCTGCACCCTTGCCGCTGGGCAGCACATCCTCCTTCATTGGCATGAACCTGTTGTTGTTGCTACTTGGTGTCTCGCCCATTGTTGCCTCGACGAATGCCTTGACCAACTCCTTGTAACCCTTGTGAATGTCGCTGCCTTGTGTATCTGCGCTGTTTCGAGCATTGAGTGTGTGGCGCTTGAGTGTGGCACCAAAGATCTCGCTTACCGTTGGCTTCTGGGACGTGGGTGATGCGCGATCTGGATATTGTTGCTGTTTGCCGTTCTTGCCAGTGGATGTTGTGTCACTGCCACCCTTGCCGCTGTCCGCCAACAATGCAGCAATATCGTTCAATTCTTCATTCTTCCATTTCTCGTGGCCGTTGGGGTCGCGGAAACCCTCGGAGCGGTAGAGAGGATGGTTGTCGCGCCATGCATATCTCAGTTGCAGCTCAGCCTTTGTCACCAACTTGGGAGAGTACTCGAGTATCTTGACGCTGACCTCATCGTATTGTTCTTGTGTGATGCCAAATGCATCTCGCAACAATGGACCAACTGTGCGCTCGTCCATGTTTGAGGAAGATGATGAGGATGAAGGCTTGGGCGTGCTGTTTGAGTAAAGACAGAGAATGGCTCGAATGATTGCGAATGATTTGACGTTGTTCAATGGTCTGATGACTCTTGGCGCTGGTTGATCCTCATCTTCTGTGATCAGAGTCATTGCGGCAACTCCAGCTCCAACTCCCGCACCGCCACTGACCACGCCGCCGCGTGGACTTGGCAATGGGGAGTATGTTGGCGCCAACAAAGATTTCTCAAGTGTAGATTGCTTGGACTGATCAAACACTGGTTCGACATCCTTCCTTGCCTTGACCAATGCCAGTAGCTTGCCCTCAGACACTTGCTTGGCATGTCTTGGTGCTAGGGTTGCTGTTGTGCCACCCCACTGAGGAGTGGCGCGACTTGGCACTGCGCTACTGCCCTTGCTCACACTTCCACCGCCATGCGTGTCTGGACGAGACGGTACAAACATGTCTTGTCTTCCAACCTCTCCATATCCTGAGTAAGGGTTGGGGTTTGATGGGTCCTTGTTCAGGCCCTTGATCTGTTGGACGACCATTGGAACACCATCCAATTGCACCGACAATGTAAGTGAGCCAACTGCCGTGCCACACTTCTTGAGCTCGACTGTCCAGGACAATGACATGCTGGCGGTCGACATATCCTTGATCGACTTGGAACCCTTGATCTGGCACTTGGAGAGGATGCTCAGCAAAGGTATCTTGGCATCGGCAACGGTCATCTCACGATTGTGATGGCGAACCGAACGAACTTTGATGAACAGGTTGGTGTCGGCCAATTGATGAGGCACAGCACCATCAATCTGCAATGTCTCCACTCGCTTCCACTTGAGTTGTCGACCCTCATGTGACAATGAAGTATGTTTGGAACATTCTGTTTTGGTCGCCTTTGATTCGTGTTCATGGTCCATGGCCAGCGCAGAGATATAGTATGAGCAGGAGGTGTCGGCTCGATCGATAAAGTCGACGTGCAACTCCTTGAGAGTGACCTTGACATCGGTACATTGAGTCATCATCACCCAGAATGTGATCGATCCAATGGCTGTGTCACCATGGTGTGACAGTACGACAGTCTGCTGCATTGGACCAGTGGCCACAGTCAACAGATCAACAGTAGCACTGCCAACAATATTATCAAACATCTTTGAACTATCAGATAATATCCATTTCAATTTCATATTGACCAATTGATCTACTGCCACCAAACAACTCATCTCAAACTGATCATTAAAGTCATATGTCGACACGCTGTCCACAGCCACCTGCGACTGAAACTTCTTAAGTCCTGCCACATCGCATTGGAACATCAACTTCTTACTGCGAGTGGGTCAATTGATTGGGTCAGTTAATGTGACTTGGGGAATGAAGCGGACATATCCTTACGTGTCTTTGGCTTTGAGGTCCACCAGGATACCTGATATCTTTATTTTGAAGTTGGCCGCAACAGATGTCATTGTTTATATATACATTAGGTAGACTATGATAATGAACTATTCATTGTGACCATCATGCCCCTTTTGTGTGTAGACTCAACTAATCGTGTCAAGTGATTAGTGAAGAGTGGAGCAAGACTACCTCGCCCATTCGATCAATCACACTGTTTTGTTCTTTGAAAATGTTTGATCTTGAATCTGGGTTGATCTAGATTATCAGTTTTTCACTGATCACAACCTTTTTTTTTATTGTATCGTTATTATTTTTACATGTAATAATGAGTACACTTATGTTTAGAATATCTATATCTTAACAATTATAGTTATGGGAATTACAAGTAGATGATGTAATTAGGATTGTTGGTCCTCCAATATTTGGTGATTCATTACCAATTGTTTGAACTGGACATCCCTGATTGAATGGTAACCATCCTATAATAATATATAAATGTTATATTAGTTATTTGTTATATATATAATTAATAATTAATATTACCAGAGTAGAATTGAGTTCTTTGGAAAAGGAATTCATTCTGACCATAATCTTGACAGTTGTGTCTGGTGGAGAGGGTACCAGCGTCACCACCTCCCCATTTGATCTCAATCCATCCATTGCAATTGATTGAGTCTACTAGTCTGGATGCAGAGACCACTCCATTACCATTATCATCAGCGGTCACTACAATATAATCATTATGTCTCTCCAAGTGTACACTCAAGCATGCCAAACTCGCTTGGAACATTAAAGTTGCCAACACAAATGATATGATTAATATTTTGTTATTCATTCTTTATATTTATCTATCTCTATTATTATTATTGCGATGATGGAGATGGACCTTGTCGGTGGTGTTTGTGCGTCCATCTTCTTAAATAGGTTCCATCAATATCAATAAATTAGGTTGGCGTAATATGATTTAGATCTTCTTTGTTCATAGTCGAAGGATGCAAATAAATCCATGAATGGTGATGTGTTCCACATTGGATAATCTTGTTGGAGTTCTCCAACAAGGGTTTTTCTTCGAACTTGAGAATTGAAACAAATAATCAATACTTTGAGTATTTGTTTACATTCATTGATATCTCAAGAGTCGTTTCAATGGTCTTTTTGGTTGGTACTTTCAGCCATTCCGGTTACACGAACAGATCATAAGACCTTTTTACATGGAGAGATATTTAGAGGTTCGAGCTCGACGATATCATCGTCAAAGAGCCTGTCCCACTTTCAATCACGATTCATCATCAAAAGATTGATACGCAAGTAGTCTCATAGTGATAAGAGATAATTACATGTTATTTGTTTGGTGTTTTGGAAATGAATGAGTTTGTGGATGTTGTGCTTGAATGAGGGGAAGGTTGGTGACGAGGCAAAAAAATCAGAATGAGCATGTTCATAAACTTCAATTTAAACATATTGAAAGATATTATTACATTACACTTATATATATACATATACATATAATATAATAACCAGGTATAGATAAAGATAGAGAATAATGAAAACAATATTTATAAGTTTAATATTGTTGTTGTCAACTTTAGCATCATTGATTGTGGCCGAGCCTCCTTTTTATGGCAAGGGTTCAAGTGTACATAACTTGAATGCCAACAACTTTGATTCAATGGTGAATGGTGACGATCATAATTGGTTGGTAGAGTTCTATGCCCCATGGTGTGGACACTGCAAGAGTCTGAAGCCTGAGTACGAGAAGGCCGCCACCAACCTCAAGGGCATCACCAAGTTTGCCGCCGTCAACTGTGACGAGGACGCCAACAAAGATTTGTGTGGCCGTGTGCACGAGATCAAGGGCTTCCCAACGATCAAGTTCTTCCCATCAAAGGCCAATGCCAAGGGACAAAAGGTGGCCGAGGAGTACCAGAGCGGACGTAGCGCCAAGGACTTTATCTCGTTCATGACCGGACGTCTGCCAACCTATGTCGAGAAGCTCACCGAACAGAGCATCGACAAGTTCATCACATCAAACAAGCATGCCAAGGCTGTGCTCTTCACCGACAAGGCCAAGACCTCAAACCTCTACAAGGCACTCTCCATCGACTTCCATCACAGTCTCCCACTCGGAGAGATTCGTACATCAAGCCAAGAAGTCTGTAAGTGTGACTGGAGGGAACTATTCCATCCTCCAATCAATCAATCAATCAACTAACTCAATCAATCAATCAATCAGTGGACAAGTTCAAGGTAAAGTCAATGCCAACTCTGGTTCTTTTCAAGAGCGACTCTGAAGATAGCGCAGTTCAGTATGATGGAAAGTTGGATCACGACTCTATCACTGCATTCTTGCAACCATTTGAGAATGTTGAAGCCAAGCCAAAGAGACAACAGCAGAAGGGTGGAAAGGACAGCAAGCAACAGAAGCCAAAGGAGAAGGAGGTGCCAGTCGAGCCAGCCCTCGACCACGCCGTGCTCATCGAGAGCCAGGAGCAGTTTGACAAGTACTGCGCCAACGGCCTGTGCTCCGTCTCGCTGTTTGACTTCCAGAACGAGGACGACAAGGAGAGCAACGAGCGCTACATTGAGATGCTCAACAAGATCGCCAAGAAGCAGGCTGGTCGCGTCAAGATCGTTTACATGGACGGCTCGATTCAGGCCAACTTCATCCAGGCCTTTGACCTGTCTGGTCTGCCCAACACATTCGTTATCAACATCAACAAGATGGCCTACACACCCTACCTTGGCTCATACACTGAGGAGGCCATCGATGACTTCCTCGGCAACGTCTTGGTTGGCAAGAAGAGGGCCGTCACCTTCAAGACCGTTCCCAAGGTCGTGGCCAAGGTCACCGTATCCAACGAGCAGCCCAAGCCAAAGGCCAAGGGCAAGGATGAGCTCTAAAGTCATCGCGGCCAACAAGCTAGCCAGCTTGGTAATATCAATTTAAAAGTAAACAAAAGTTAAAGTAAAGTATATCCAGCTTTAGTCTATTATCCATTAGCCATGTCGTTCGTTCGTTCGTTCGTTCGTTCGTTCGTTGTCCATGCTCTATGTACAACATTGACAATCGAATGGACACAGATCAGTGTCTCCTGTATCGTAGTCATTCTCCAATCCAAGCTCCTCCTCAGTGTACACTGGCAGTCCTTCGATAAATCTCCTCTCTACACATCATGATTGATTGATTGATTGTCAGTATTCTGTTATATATGTCGTCAATCAATCAAGGATAAGGATACTATACCTTTGATTGTCACACCTCTACTGTCAAAGAAGTCGTCATCATCAATTGCTCTGTTGTTCTTTTGCTTCTTTGCCAATGCTTCGTTCGCAGCCACCTCTTTCTCCTTCTCTCTCTGTTCAATTGCCTTATTCTTTATATCTCTCTGTTTCTTTATCGCAAACAATTGATCCAAGTCAATATCTGCCTTATCATCATTCATTGTCTTTGTCTCTGTCGTCTCAACATTCGATGTATCTGTCTTTGTATCCTTCTTGACTATCTTCTTATTATTCTTCATTATATTGGTGGCTGATGTAGTTGATGTAGTTGATGTAGTTGAGGTCGTTGATGTAGCAGTTTGATCATTCTTTGTTGGAGTTGTAGATGTAGACTTTGAGGTATTCTTTGGCTTTTGTAATAATTGTTCCTTTGGTGTCTTTGTTGTCTTTGTAGTCTTTGTAGTCTGTTGTTGTTGATGTTGTCGGTCAAGTATAGCCTTTCTAGCTTGTAATAGTGATGTCTTCTTCTCCATTGTATATATAACTTATTATCTCTACAATCTGTTAATATCTCTCTATCTCTTCGTTCGTTTTTTGGTTATTGTCAAAGGGTACCCCCTTACTCCAAACTTTCTGTTTTTGATCCAGAGCACAAGATTGTGATCAAGATTGACATGAATAGTGAATGGAGCCAATACAAACTAGTCATTGTAAATAAGTACCTTGTAATAATAGTCTAGTTATATGTATATATAAATAAATATGGTACCAACAACACAACAAACATTAATACCAACAACAATATCACCTAGATATTTATTAAAGGTTGATAATACTTCTGTTTCAAACTCAACAACTTCACCAAAGCAAATACAACATACTTGGAAACAGAATCATCCAGGTATATGTATCAATCCATCAGTTATAGATGATAACCTATTCATACAGAATATAATAGATGGTTATATTATCTCATCAGATATATATCCATTAATATATGATGATGAGGATAAGGATAAGGATGGTTCAATTCAAGTTCCAGAACCTTTAAGTTGTAGGACAACTTCATTCTATCGTAGACTGGCCAAGGATCCATCGATATTTTGTACACTCTCATTGTTGGATCAACAACATTGTATGGTTGGTATACGTGATCTATATTATGCATCACAACAAGTCAATATGTTAAGGGTTACCGATGGTGGCTTGACCCAATGCTTCTACCTGGACCTCGATGCCAAATTCGCCGAACAACATCAACTGTTGGTCAATGGACTGCATTTGTCGCCATTCCCATCGCATCATCATCCGATTATGAAGTACATCCCGCTTGAGCTACCCGATGACGTTGCACGATTCTTCATCACCAATCACCAAACTGGCTTTGCCATGGTCTTTGTCAGTCTCGACGATCTCACATACAACAGCATCGAGAATGTATTGCCAATGGATGGATACATTGGTAAACGTATCACCTCAACGAATGAACAGAATGGTACCATGTCAATCATACAATGTGACAATGGCCCTGGCGTGTATCGATGCCCCCTGTCACTCAATGATGAACTCAAGCGCACTCTACTTGACATGCATGGACTGGGCCTCTACCTAACGCCACTGAACCAGCAAGCTCGAGGTGGCAAACGATTCATATTCACATCTAACTTGCTCAGCAAGGCATTGACAGGCATCGTCAACACAGCCTTCAAGGATACGCCTGAGCTCATCAATTCATTCAGTCATGTCAATGAAGTGTTCCGCTACAACTCATTCCAGCCCACGGACAAGAAGTTCTCTGTACACATTGACACGCCCTACTTTGATGCCAAGAGTTCGCTCTACTCCAAGTACACCATGATCATCTACCTCACGCGTGGAAGAGGCACGGTCGACAACCCCGTGTTGCGTCTCTTCCCAACCAACTCAAGCACACCTTGCGACTTTGTCGAGATGGACGAGTTCACAGCGATCATCTTTGATCAGAAACTAGAGCATGAGGGTCATCCATTTGCCCTGGCGCCAGAGAGTGACAGCAACATCAAGATATTCATGCGAACTGAACTGATATACAGGAACGAGATGAAGTCTGAGCAGATTAACCATCCAGACATTGCACGACTGTTCAACATATCATGTTACACCGCACTGCAGGGCACGCGCAACCCCGAACTCATGCGATACTCAAGCGATCTCTTCAACCAGGTGGCCAAGCTGCGTCGTCAGCTACATGTGGAGCACGCTGACCTTGTGGCGGCCGACGTCCCCATGCTATTCAAGACGATTGAGCGATGTCAATCTCGATTCATCACCAATGGACATGACTACTGGTTCTCTCTAACTGATGAAACAAACACACCAGATCATATCAAGCAGTGTGCCATGGTATGTCTGTTGGACTACTTCAATGGCAGGCTACAGGGCACGACCACCAATCGCCATCTGGTCAAGCACACGGTCATACCAGACCTGCACTACCTCGATGGGGATGATGCGATCGTGGACAAGTTATACAAGATGTTGGGCATGCACGGCCAACATGGTCCTGTTAATGTCTCATCACTCGTCGACTGCACCCTGGACATGCAACAGAAGGGTGACCCCAAGATCTGCTGTCCATATCACCATAGCTTCTGCTTTGACAGCCCACAGAATATGATCGAGGTTCCAGACATTGCCACCGCCTTCAACTACAGCCTATACGGACTTTCCGATGCCATGAACAAGTTCTCGGTGAGCATTCTCAACAAGACCATTCACATCAACTATCAAGACATTGAGGTCGATGACCAGAAGGTGTACTTCAAGGAGACTGGCACACATCCTCGCATCAACTTTGCATCGTGTTGGGCGGACAGCAACTATCCCGAGGACTTTGTCATCACCAATGGCGTGCCCGTAGCAACATTCAAATGTCCATCAATCACCTACTTGCGAGTTGTCACTGGCAGAGGCAAGATAGCACTGATGATGTCCATTGATATGTTCAACAATGGATACATGTTGGGACCTGTCACCACCTCAATGCCAATGCCTACCGTCATTGTGGATCCGCCTCCACATCAGTATGAAGAATATACCTACGATGATGAAGATGTTTTCGAGGATATGTTTGATCTAAATGAGCAATTGGATCAATTGGACAATGAACAATAATAAACAATTATTGATTGATTGATTGATTAGATGAACTTAAACCCCAGACACACTAGTGAATCTGATCGAGTGCACTCCCATCATTCACACACCACGCAACACACATAATCAATCACGTTCGTGGTCAATATTCGTTCATCTTACATTCAGACACAGGACACTCAATCAGTGGTTGAGTGGTGGTTGAAGTTGTAAAGCTCATGTGAACTTATTCACGTGAAGACGACACATGATTGAATGTATGTTCACCATCCATCCATCCATCAATCCAACCAACCAACCAATCAATCAATCGATCAATCAGAATGGAATTTACCATTCAATCATTCAATCAATCAAACTATCCAATCAATATCGTATTCTTTTCTCTTAATAATTATTAATAATAAGAATAATGACACTTGAGAGCATAGAGTCAAAGAACTACCCGCCAATTGAAAGTCATGGTATCATTGGCAACATGTTGACAACGGCTTTGGTGTCAATACAGGGCGAGATCAACTTTATGTGCTATCCACACTTTGACTCACCGGCAATCTTCTGCAAACTACTCGATGCCAATAAGGGTGGCTTCTGGAACATCAAACCAATCTGCAAGGAGTTCAAGACCAAACAAAGTTACTGGCCCGACACCAACGTGCTCCAGACTCGCTTCCTCATGAAGTCTGCCGTCTGTACCATCGTAGACTACATGCCCGTCATCCAAGGCAAGGGTATGAGATGGTTGGTATGTATATTCAATCACATGATCAGTGTCACGTGACATAACGAGCAGTCAGCTGACATCAGTATTATCACGTGACTTTTGAAAATAATCAATCAGGTAAGGAAGGTAAAGGTGATCAGAGGAGACGTGGACTTTGAGATGAAGTGTTGGCCTACGTTTGACTTTGGAAGGAAGACTCACACGGTGAAGAAGACCACGCATGGCTACTTGTTGGCGTCCGAAGGTATAGAGCTCGAGTTGTTGTCCTACTTCCCGCTGTTCCCCAAGGAGAATGGCGAGATCGACTGCAAGTTCAGTCTGAAGGAGAATGAGAGCGCGACATTCGTCCTCAAGGACCCCGAGCAGGACGTCGACCTGTTCATGTTCAAGGACCACAATGGCAGTTGTCGTCGAGAGGAGTACCTCTTCATGAGCACCATCGACTACTGGCAGAAGTGGCTGGAGCGATGCACCTACAAGGGTCGCTGGAGAGAGATTGTTGAGCGCAGTGCGCTGGTCCTCAAGCTGTTGACCTTCTCGCCGACCGGTGCCATCGTGGCAGCTCCAACATGCTCTTTGCCTGAGGACCTTGGAGGTGAGCGCAACTGGGACTACCGCTTCACATGGATCCGTGACGCAGCCTTCACCGTGTACGGACTAATGCGTATTGGCTTCACAGACGAGGCCAAGCACTTTATGGACTGGATCGAGGCGCGTTGCTCCCAGATCGACTATGAGAAGTGCGCCAAAGAGGGAACCATGCCACTCAAGATCATGTACAGCATCAATGGCAGTGAGAAGATCCCCGAGGTTTCGCTCCCACATCTTGAGGGCTACCGCAAGTCGGCCCCAGTGCGCATAGGTAACGATGCTGTGAACCAGAAGCAACTGGACATCTTTGGTGAGATGATGGATTCGGTCTACCTCTCCAACAAGTATGGCTCACTCGTGTCTTACGACTTCTGGACTCATCTCCATCGCATCATCGAGTGGGTGTGCGACCATTGGAACGAGACCGACGAGGGCATCTGGGAGGTGCGCAGTGGACGACAGCACTTTGTATACTCCAAGATCATGTGCTGGGTGGCCATCGACCGTGGTCTACGTCTGGCTGACCGTCGCTCGTTCCCCGCGCCCCGCGAGAGATGGATCAAGATCCGAGACACCATCTATCGCGAGATCCAGGAGAAGGGATGGAACGCCAAGATTGGCGCGTTCACCCAGTCATACGGCTCAGAGAGTCTGGATGCCTCGACGCTCATCATGTCGCTCGTGTTCTTCATGGCGCCCAACGACCCGCGCCACATCCAGACCTTGGAGAACATCCTTTCGTCCACCTGACAAGGGTGGCCTGGTATCCAACTCTTTGGTGTTCCGCTACAACTCGTTCGAGGGCGAGGGCGATGGCCTGTCTGGCGAGGAGGGCACGTTCAACATCTGTACATTCTGGCTGATTGAGGCGCTGACCAGGGCTGGCAAGGAGCACAAAGAGATGCTGATCAAGGCCAGACTCATCTTTGATGAGATGTTAGGTTATGCCAACCATCTTGGACTGTTCTCTGAGGAGATTGGAACTAGTGGCGAAGCACTTGGCAACTTCCCCCAAGCATTCACACATCTCTCGCTAATCAGTGCAGCATTCAATCTGAACAGGGCACTTTCAAAGGGTGGAGTATAACTTGAATGAATGAATGAATGAATGAAGATGACACCATACAAGTTTATGTGATGGATTATTTGATTGTTAGCTCGTCTGATCATGTGATTTCATCAGTATCCAACTTTTCTGGAAATTTTTTCAAAGGGTCACCTGTCAATGATCATTCATTCAATCCAACCATTTCACTCTATCAATCAAACAAATAACAATAAGTGTAGTTATGGTGGAGGACAAATACTTGTTGACAAAGATATTGGGCTACTTTGTTAATGTTAGGACAGCATCGAATAACCCTCAACACTTGTTGTTTTGTATTCGTGTGATTAGGTCAGTGTGCAAGAGATGGAGAGACAACATTGTACAATCACTACAACTTCCAGTGTTTACAATAGACTCAAGATATCAACTACAAGATGATCCATATTCAACAATCATCAGTTATGGATGCCAGTTACAAACTAGATACCGAGCTGATGTCACTTACAGGACACGCGATAACCCCTACCCCAAAGCACCGGCAATCCTTGACGAGGACGTCGAACAACTATGTCTTGTGCTGCCGACCTATGCCACGGACGCTCGCGAGCAACAATGGATAATGAAGAATGCGCCTAAACTGTGGCGACTCGGCTCACTCAGGATTAGATTAAGTGGTCAGCCGACCATTGGAGACAGGGAGATGTTGGACATGCTGGCGCAACACACGCCACTTCACACAGTGAACATCGAGGACAACAGGTGGAAAACTGGTGATGATGTGCTAGGCCTAATCACTGACCCTCGCAACATACTCGGAAACAAGATTATCCATCTCAGCACACATACATTCCTTCCATCACTAATGAACACATTCTTCCCGCTCGACAAGCACTTTGCCAACCTCAAGAGCATCGAGATCAATGTGAAGAAAGGAAGATTCGACGATGATGACCAAAACAGTCCATTAATGGCCATGGGCAATGTCAAGACACTCGAGTCATTCACTCTGACTGGGTACAATGTGCGAGCATCACATCTCGATCACTTACTACGTGATGCCAACTCAATCAGACATTTAACATTGTGTAACCTACACATTGAGAGTAATCAAAAGTCACTATCATCAATGTCACTATCAATGGTCAGCCCAGTCAATGAGGACGATGATGATGATGAGCAATCCAAAGAATTACATATGAACAACACTATGGAGACGATCAGATTGATCAATGTTGATGGCTTTGGAAAGTGTCGATATATCAGATTTGGAAAGTCACTCAAACATTGGGAGATACAACCAGAGTTCACGTATAGGCTGGATGAGGTGGTCAACCTCAGGTGGGTCCTGCTAAATCAAGTGCCCAAGAGTACCAAAGTCAGACTATCGTTGAACATCCATCGTCTAGACAGTTTATCTCTAGACACACTCTTTAACCAGTCGTTTGATATTGACATCATTGGACTACATCTACTTGGTGGCAACCTTACACTGGAATCACTACCATCAATAATGTTCAAATTCCCCAATATCACAGAGCTGGAGGTGTTGATTGGCAAGGACATGCCCATCCAAGAATATGCCGCCAAAGGATTGTTGGAATTCATCGATCAACATCCAAAGTTGAAGTCACTCTCAATCAATGGCAATGATCGACCAAATCAAGATGTATACTACCAATTCTTCAAGGATTTGTTTGGACGTATAGGTGGACTTCAAGAGTTGACCAGCCTCAGTCTTATAAATATGCCATTATATTCAACTGCTGATGAGTATCGTACAAGGATACCAATCATTGTTGAAGCAATTAGAACACGTCCAACAACATTGGTATCAATCCAACTTGAACTATCACTACCAAGAGTTGTCGATGTGGACCAACCTCCATCACCAACATCAATGTTATTCATAGCCAATCGCGACAAATGGAGAAAGTGTGATCTCCATGACTATCCAATCGATGAATACTACCTCAAAACATTGAAGCCATAACCATTCATTTAATTAAATTATTTGTTTGATCAGATTTTTGTGTGAGCATGCTGACGAAAGTGTCGTCTTTGTCTTGTTCAACTCAAACCAACAAGACAACAATGAACATGATCAGAGCAACAAGTGAGCGATCATTCACTCATTGGTCAAACATCATCTTCAAAGGAAGGTGTACATTCTCATCATCTTCAACATCGACTTCATCAACTTCATCAGACACAACAACAACATCATCGTCAGCAGTAACGAATGAAAGGATTAGTAAGATACTTAGTCAGTTCCCAACTATAAAGTATGGCTTTGCTTATGGATCAGGTGTAATACCACAGAAGGGATATAATGCAGGTGCTACATCAATCAGTTTGGATAAGATGCCCATGATTGACTTGGTGTTTGCAGTGGACAACACATTAGAGTGGCATAAAGAGAACATTGAACGCAACTTCCATCACTACTCATTCCTGGCATACATGGGCGAGCAATCAGTCAATCATGTTCAAAAGATGGCCGCCAAGGTCTACTACAACACTCTCTTGAAGCATGAAGGAATAGTAAGTTGAGGCGCGTGGACTACCTTATGATCACACACTCACCCCACCCCCTTTTGGAATGATTCCAATCAGAGATATAAGTATGGAGTGATCGAGTACGGCGACTTGATTGATGATCTTCGAAACTGGGACAGCTTATATGTGTCTGGACGAATGATGAAGCCGATATTACAGTTGCCAAACCTGGCGGATGGAGGCGAACATATGAGCGCGGTCAATCGTGACAGCAACCTGTTGTACGCCATCAGTTGTGCAGTGTTGACACTGCCATCAGAGTTTAGCGAGTATGAGTTGTACCATATGATCAGTTCAATCTCCTACATGGGCGATATTAGAATGCGAGGTGGAGAGAATCCAAACAAGATACACAACATCGTCGTCAACAATCTCGAGTCAATGCGCGCCATCTATATGCCACTGATCAAGCAGCACTTTGGCAACAATATATCAATTGGTCATGTGGACAACACTGGTCTACATCACTTTATAAAGGTAAAGATCATGATCATGATCATGTCGTGTCGCGTTGTCGTTGTTGTGTCCATAACTAACAATGTTGTCGTTATCCACAATGTATGTCTAGAAACTGACTACACAACTGGACTACTTTGAACTGTCTAGGTTGTTACCACCTACGCTACAGAGTGCGGTCGTGAGCAACCTGCGGAAGAACTTGCGAGGTGGAAAGGTTCATGTTGAGCCACAGGTTGTGACCAAGTGTATCCAGGACATTGTCGGTCGCAGCAGCTTCACACAGTCTGCCAAAGGTGTTCTAACTGCTGGTCTAACCAAGTCACTCGAGTACATCTATCTCAAGCTTCAGAAGTCGTCGTCCAAGTGAAGTCGGTGTCATGATTGATCGATTGATCGATTGATTGATTGATCGAAGGCTAACTAACTGGCAAGCACGACGACCAATGCAGTTACAGCAGCGGCAATACCCAATAGAATGAAGATAATGGTGCCGACTCTGTTTGGCGCGAACTTGCCCTTTAGCAACTGTTTGTAGACTTGGAAGTAACGCACTGGACTATATAACAAGAAGATGGTCCCCAGCACTACAAATACAATACCACCTGGTTGTTGATGTTCAAGAAGTTAGAGACGTCACTCATTCCTTCATTCATGTTTCTCAATCAATTACTTACCGACTTTGGAAGAACCTATCTTGGCGAGCGCTACACCTAGAGCGATTGCTGACAGACCGGTCCTGACCCAGGCAAGGTAGGTACGCTCATTGGCAAGATGATCGCGGGCAGTGCTACCCTTGTTCTCTAGGATCTTTGAGAATAGTACTCGGCGCACATGTTCTCTACGCTTCTCTATCGTCACATTGTTATCAATATCTGTCAATATCTCATTAGTTGGTTTCAATTGATTGACTTGTTGTTGTTGCTGTTGTTGAGGTTGCTGTTGAGGTTGTTGCTGTTGTTGAAGAGTTGACATTGGCACTTGGATGGGAGATGATGATGATGGACTCTTTCCAATGGCCTTGTTCAAAGTGGTACTACTACTTCCACCCTGATCTGCATTCATTCCTCCTTCCTCCTGACCATACAACATATATATGATGTACTATGTGCAATGTTATATATATACCTTGTTATCTGTATGACTTGTAAGCTAGTGTGTAGATATAAGTGTGTGGTTACCTTTCATGTGCCAAGGGTTGATCGAGTGTGTTGGAGTCTTTGATGGATAGGACCCATAATCAATGTTATGGAATAGAAGGAGAGTTAGTACCAATCAATCAGAGACATCTGATTAAAGAACACAATATATGTTATTGTTTATTTGGTATGGTATGATCCATTGGTGCATCATAATGAATGAATGAATGAATGAGATGTGTACATATGGCACCAAAGCCTCTCGGCCTGGGCCTGTTGGTGATGGGGACTTGCTGGGGTTGACCAACGTCACCTCCCATAAATGAATATCGAGAGGATTGATGGATGGATTGATTGATTGATTGAATGATTGATTGATGATCCTGGATTGATGAGCTAATAATAATAAATATGTCTACATGATAATGTTATATACGTGTGATGATGTTTGAGTGGACGACTAGTCATCAAGATCCAATGATTGGTCCACTGATGAATCGATTGCACTGCCATTCTCCTTCTTTCTCTTCTTCTTGTAGTGTGTGGCCTTTGGTGGCTGCGAATTGACGAATGCCAGCTTCTTTAACAGCTCGCTGTCGTCGTGTATCTCAAACGGCTGGGAGAAGTTGAAGAAGTACTTGGAGCGGTCGGGCTCCACCTCGCAGTTGATCACCGTCGAGCTCTTGGTGTTGACGACGATGAACGGCAGATGTATCCTGTCATTGTCGCTCTGCGCGGTCGCCGCCACGTCGTTGTCCTCGGCGGCTTTGTTGTTCATCTGGTAGTTGCGATCTATGAGTGAGTTGTAGAGTCGCTCCTGGTTGTTCAGCTCTTTGAGTGCCGCCTTCTTGGCGCGAATGCGCGCCAGAAGATCCAGTTTCTGTTTCTCGAGCGAGGTGTGTGAGGCGGGCGGCGGCGCGGACGACGGCAGGCCGATCCAAGAGATGCGCTGCTTGTCCTTGGCGATGATGCCCATCGCTTGGAACACGTTGAGCACGTCGTAGATGCGGCGCTTCATTGTGTTGGTCTTGAGATCGCCCTCGTTGGCGCCATTCTTGATGCTCTCCTGCATGTACTCCTCGAGCAGCTCGTTCGTCACCTCCTGGTAGGACGTCGAGCGCTTGCTCTGCACCTTCTGGCAGACGCGCATGCTCAGATGACTCAGACCCTTGGACTTGTCCTCCTTGCCCTTGCGCTTCGTCTTCATCGACTCCTCGCTGATGCCCGTGTCAAACAAATGATTGAAGCCCGAGTTGATCGTTGGCATCTCCATGCTCTGATTCAGATCGTTCGACTTAGCACCTGCACCAGTTGTTGCCGCGCCACGTACATTGTTCCGACTTCGCAAGTCACCAAGTAGATAATGATCGCCAATCGATAGTGGTGGTACAACTGTTGATGTAGTTGTTGTTGTTGATGTTGTCGATGTTGTTGATGTTGTAGATGTTGACGTAGGTGAAGTTGTAGCAACAGTAGTAGTGTTGGGATGATGACTATACTCCCTCAGCGCGGGTATCTCATTATTCTGTATGAATCCTGCTTCTCGACCAATGCTCTCCAATCCAGTCTCTTTACATATCCTCATCACAGCCTCATGGAATCCTACATTCTCATCATCTATATCATCAAACGATGTATCCAATTGATCGACCAATATCGAACTCTCTTCAACTATACTATCATCATCATTATTATTCAAACTTCCCAACACTGAATTGACTGATTGATTGATAAGTTATTTGAATGATTGAATCATTGATTGATTGATTGTGTAATTCATTCACATACGGTCAATGGGGCGTGATGCAACGGGATATGAAGACATCCTGTCCTAACTCTATATATCTCTGATCTCTTTCTTTCTTATATATGATTGTTGTGATTGATCAAATGATAATATATATCTTCATCTATCACTGTATGTTATATATATATATGTTTCAATAATAACATCAAAGGTTATAACAACACAATGTTAATAAATGAATGAAAGGTGACCACTTCCCTCCTTTTTTCAAAGTGTGAAACCAAGGGTTAGGGCAAGGGTTGGGGTTAGGGCAAGAGATGGACCATCACAAAGTCAAGCCAATAGATCTATTTATTATAAATATCAAAGTAATAAATGATTGCCTTTTGATGGTAGGTATCACAATTTCTACCTTTACGTATGGGAACGTCTTTCAATTCTGCAATCACATTGTCCAATCGTTCTTGGGTCATTTGTTCAATGTCGCTCTCTAAGAAGAAGGTTTGGATATCCGGTTTAATACTGATCGTTGACAAACTTGGAGTGAGCGCCTTGATCAATGACCATGTATACTCGGAATTAACCTTTTTATGATCATCATCATAGTCGTTAATGATTCCAATGTGATCAGACATTCTCAACGCTGATACATGAGATTCATCTGGATGGTCCAGTTGAGATTGGTTGGGAAGGTCGCTTCCAAGGGGTCGCGGCTTGATCGTCAATGATCTTAATCTTCTTTCAGCCAATGGTAGTGATTGACCAATGAACAACTCGATTGAGATATTGTCAATGTTGCACTTGGAGCTGAGGAGGAATGTCACCAGCGCTTGTGGTCCCACCTCGGAATCACTGTCCATGTTGAAATAGGTGAATGACTTGATCGTTGATTGTGACTCGAGATAGGACACCAGGCTACTTGTGTACTGGATGTGGCCATGAAGATGAAGACCCGTCAACGATGTGAGCTTCGATGCATTGCTCCAATAATCGTACTGGGAGAGACGGATACTTTCGACTGTGAGTGTCACGAGATTGGTGAACGATCCATAGATATCCTCCATGCAGCCCTCAAAGATTTCAATGGGCTCGCCATGGCCGCCATCGTCGGTGCTGAAGGTCAGTTCGCGAATGTTTGGGTTGGCATCACCAATGTCTGACATTGGTTCCTCGGCCATATCTATGCCATCCAACACATAAGAGATGTTGACCTTTGTCAACGATGTGATGCTGAGCTTGCCAATGACCCTGCTCACTTGGTACGCAGGTCCTTTCAGTGATGTCAACACTCCATCGACAATCATTTGTTTGCACAAGTCGCTCTTGAGAAGAACTGAGATTGGGAAGTCGGGGGCCATGTCAATCGTGAGGTGTCGCAGCGGTGTCTTGCCAATCAGTGCGAATGGCAACAAGTCTCTTTGTTTGTTGACATAATCTAAAAACGATCGGTTTATGATTAGTCGATCAAAGCTCTTCACTATCAGTGAATGAAAGTGATGATTGAGAGTGTCAAGCCCGAGTGCCCACCTCCTTTCATTCTCATCGTTGGCCATTCTCCAAGCATCCATCATAATGCAATCCACTATCAATTGAGGCAATTGTGGAAGATTCTTGTCACTATCTGTCTCTATTGTTGTTGTAGTTGAGGTCATGTGTCAGTTATCTTTGAAGTGTCGTGATGTATGTATAAGAGTGTATCTCGAGAATGTGTTGAAGTGACCAATCACATGATTTAAAAGTGTAATTACCATTAATATAATCATCAGGATAGAAGTATAGCATGATGGCCTTATAAAGGTAGGTTTCCCTACTATAACCTAATTTTGGATTGTCATCCAATTGGGTAATCACATTGTCAAAGCTTTCTTGGGTCATTGGAACTCCAAAGTTGTCGGGGTAGCCCGGCTGTAGGACGTCCTCGTCCAAACTGATCCTGGACAAACTTGGTGTGAGCGCCTTGACCAACGACCATGTGAACTCGTGATTACCCTTTCGATGAAAGTAGCCGAAACGGATTCCAATGTGATCGATCATTCTCAATGCTGATACAAGTGATTCATCAACACTAGGGGGTTCCAATTGATCATTGGATTGGGTCTCTCCAATGTGGCGCATCATGATCGTCAATGATCTTATTCTTCTTTGCTGGACCAATGGTATTGCTTCACCAATGAACATTTCGGTTGAGATGATGTCAATTTTGCACTTGGAGCCGAGAAGGAATGCAAGCAGCGTGTCCTTGGAATCGCTCTTCCTCTTGGAATAAGTGAGCGACTTGATCGTTGCCTGTGACTCGAGGTAGGATTCAAGACTTCTAGAGTCATAGATGTTGCCATGAATTTGAAGATGAGTCAATGATGTGAGTGTCGATGCATCCTCCCACCTGTCGAACCATCCCAGCCAGCGCGATTTGATTGTGAGGGACGTGAGATTGAGGAATGATTCAAAGATACCCCTCATGCATCCGACAAAGTGCTGGTTGGGATCACCATGACCTTCATCATGAGTGCTGAAGGTCAGTTCTCGAATGTTTGGGTTGGTGTCGCCAATGTCGTCTTTCATCCAAACCTCTGCATCTTGACCATCCAACTCATATGAGATGTTGACTTTGATCAACGATGTGATGCCAAACATATTGATGACGTTGCTCACTTGATATGCAGGACCAGTGAGTGATGTCAACACTCCATCAATGATGATCTGTTTGAATATGTCGTTATCAAGAATTGGTGCCTCCTTATTGTCATCTTCATAGGGATCATAGTCTTCGTCATCTTTATCAATAGTGAGATGTGCAAGCGGTGTCTTGCCAATCAGTGCGAATGGTAGCAGGTGTCTTCCTTTCTTGATGTATTCAATCGTTGATTTGTTTATGACGAGACGGTCGTATAACTTCACGATAAGTGAACGAAAGTGATGGCTGACCATTGCCAGTCTGAGTGCCCATCTCTCTTCATTCACTAATGGGTCGAGAGCAATTCTCCATGACTCCCTAACAATTCTATCCAATATCAACTGAGGCAACTGTGGAAGAGGCAATGCCATGTCTATATATATCTCTCTGTTGGTTGACGTATGTATCTTGTCTATCTATCGGTGTGCGTGTGTTTTTGGACCAGGTGAAGATAAAAGTAGAATGATATTGATCACTCGAAGTTGTAGAGGATCGTCGTCGTTTAATTTATTTATTGAAGGTTTAATATATTTATTGAAGTATTCTTCAAAGTCCACGTCATTGTAGCTTTAGGTAGTTTCCAATGGCAGTCACAGTGTCCAAGAGCACTTGAGTGAATGACCTTGTCCATTCTGTTTGAGTAAGGTGCCTTGTTGTTGATGATGAACAAGGAACCATCATTACTGCTACAGAATATAGAGATGTTGTCCACATTTACATTCTGTTCAATAGTTAGATGCCGCAGTGGTCTCTTTGATCGTCACATCATATACATCAATCTAACAGATTTAATTATTATAATAATCAGGATAGAAGTATAGCATGATGGCCTTATGATGGTAGGTTTCCCAACTATACCCTAATTTTGGATTGTCATCCAATTTGGTAGTCACATTATCGAGGCGTTCTTGGGTCATTGGTTCTCCAAAGTTGTCGGGGAAGCCCAGCTGTCGGACATCCTCGCCCAAACTGATCTTGGACAAACTTGGTGTGAGCGCCTTGATTAACGACCATGTGAACTCCTGATTAACCTTTTGATGATTATAGCTGATACGGATTCCAATGTGATCGGATACTCTCAATGCTGATATAAGTGATCCATCAGGGTGGTGTACCAATGGATCATTGGATGGGATATCTTCAATTGGGCGTGGCATGATCGTCAATGATCTTAATCTTCGTTGAATCAATGGTATTGTTTCGCCTATGAATACTTCGATTGATAAGATCTCAATGGGGCAATTGGAGCTGAGAAGGAATGCCAATAGCGTGTCCTCGGAGTCGCTCTCCCTATTGGAATAGGTGAATGACTTGATCGTTGACTGTGACTCGAGGTAGGATTCAAGACTTCTAGAGTTATAGATGTTGCCATGAAGTTGAAGATGAGTCAATGATGTGAGTGTCGATGCATACTTCCAACTGTCGAACCTTCCCAGCCGGGGCGTGTCGATGGTGAGCGACGTGAGATTAAGGAATGATTTGAAGACTCCCCTCATGCAGCCGTCAAAGACACAGCCGGGATCACCATTGCCTTCATCATGAGTGCTGAAGGTTAGTTCCCGTATGTTTGGGTTGGTGTCGCCAATGTCGTCTTTCATCCAAACCTCTGCATCTTGACCATCCAACTCATATGAGATGTTGACTTTGATCAACGATGTGATTCCAAACGTCTTGATGACGTTGCACACTTGATATGCAGGACCAGTGAGTGATGTCAACACTCCATCAATGATGATCTGTTTGAATATGTCGTTATCAAGAATTGGTGCTTCCTTATTGTCATCTTCATCTTCATAGGGATCATAGTCTTCGTCTTCTTTATCAATAGTGAGATGTGCCAGCGGTGTCTTGCCAATCAGTGCGAATGGTAGCAGGTGTCTTCCTTTCTTGATGTATTCAATCGTTGATTTGTTTATGATGAGACGGTCGTATAACTTCACGATCAGTGAACGAAAGTGATGGCTGACCATTGCCATTTCAAGTGCCCAACTCCCATCATTCTCCAATGGGTCGAGAGCAATTCTCCATGACTCCCTAACAATTCTATCCAATATCAACTGAGGCAACTGTGGTAGAGGCAATGCCATGTCTATTTATATCTCTCTGTTGGTTGACGTATGTATCTTGTCTATCTGTCTGTGTGTGTGAATGTTCGGCGGCTCAAAGACGAATGATCATTCGAAGCGGGAAAACCTTCAGTTTTATTTATTAATTGAAAAATGGCAGTAACAGTGTCCAAGCGCTCTTGAGTCAATGACCTTGTGCAATAGGTGAAGGTGCCACCATTGAGGATCTCTTTCAAACCGATGGTCGTTGACTCACATGGAGTGATCGCCTTGATCAATAACCATGTGATCTCTGAATATGGGAAATCCTTATAATATTGGTAGCTGTTAAATATTATAACATGATCGACCATCCTCGAGGCAGCTACAATTGATTCATGGTCCAAATCGGTATCCATCGAAGTGAATGAATAGAGTCAATGATCTTAATCTTCGTTCAAGCAATGGAAATGGCCGGTGAACAAACGCTTCGATTGAAATGTTGCCAATGGTACACTCGGGGCTGAAGAGGTACGCAATCAACATGTCCTCTTCTTCCGCTTCCTCCTCTTCCTCCTCTTCCTCCTGCTTGGACAGAGGGTATGGAGTTTTCTCATCTGTGTAGTATTTGAGTGACTTGATCTTAGGCTGTGACTGGAGGTAGGACACTAGGCTGCCTGAGTCATAGATGACGCCATGAAGTTGAAGACGAGTCAATGATGAGAGTGTCGATGCTTGTACCCATTCGTCGTACCATGTTAGCCATTCACTTTTGATCGTAAGTGACAAGAGATTGTGGAATGATCCAAAGATAGCACTCATGCAGCGCTTAAAGGCTTCATAGGGTGTGTATAACTCAGGGGACCCCCTATCCAACATTACATCGGCTGCGCCGATTCCATTATTTATTTCCAATTACTCTTTTATATTCTTTTATATTTCTTTTGGGGAGTCTAGGGAGGATAATAATAATAATAATAATAATAATAAGTGTATCTGTCGACTAACTTGGGGAGGGAAGGGAGGAGAATGGGGAGGGAATTAAAAAGTGTATCTGTCGCAACTTGGGGAGGGAAGGGAGGGGAATAGGGATAGGGAATTTGGGGAAAAAGAGTATGTGTATCGACATAGGGAGGTTGGGGAGTCATTGGTGGAAACTTTTTAATAATTGAAAGAATTATTTGTATTCTTAATTTTCTTCCACCATCGACTCCCTGTCTCCCTGTTTGGACACTGTTACTCTTTTTGGTTGATTTGAGCTTCCCTGAGACTCCCTGAGGTAGAGGTGAGTGATTTGTACAGACAGCTCATCAATTGTTTATTGAGTTTGGTTGCGTTTAGCATCTAGTGCATCCTTGGAGTACTCCAACGCGAGTCCTGACATTACCAAACCTGTTATTGCCACTAGAATTGTCAAATAGGCCACAACAGGAGCACACTTGACCAAAACTCTCCATAACCACCTTAACTAAAAAAAGACTGTTAATATGTTAGTCCATGATCATGATGGGATCTCATCACTACATACCTCCTTCTTCACATTAACAAGAGTGTAGTCTCCAGCTGGATATGGGGGCTGAACAACGTTTGGGCTTGGCGGAGGAGGAGCTACATAGCCAGCAGGAGCTGGATCGGGAGGAGGAGGGTTCCTTCGTCTGAGATTGGCTCGAACCAAATTCAGACCCATCATGATACGTTCCAAGGTGCAACCTTGGTCCAGCTCCATTGCTGGTTGTGCATCTGCATCTCTCCAGAAGACTCGTACTAGTCATCATTAGTGACCATAAGAGTTTGACTTGTGTCGGAGTCAGTACTTACCAGGAGGCTCAGTGATGTAGATGTGCTCGGTGCCAGCAGGGATCAGAGCGTTGGAGTTGGCCACAGCAGCGTTCACAGCGCCAGGACGATACTCGATGTGAGTGTCTGCGCTGTTAGGAAGTCTGTGGGGCAAGAATCTCTCGATAACAACGTCTCTGAGCTCTAGGTAGGGGGTGTTGTCATGCACGACATCAAATGGCGCAGTAGCCTGGCCAAAGTGCAATGTCAATCGAGCAGGAGCAACGAGAGGAGCAGGAGCAACGAGAGGAGCAGGAGCAGGTTTCTTCTTGGCAGGGGCAGGAGGAGGGAGATCGGGAACGTGGGGGATGGCAACGACAGCAACCTCAACTAGAGGTGCACCAGCAAGCGGAGCATCGACAGGGAGAGCACCAGCAGGGGCAACTACTTGAGCAGGTTGGACAACCGCTTGTTGATTATTCATTCTCTGATATCCTTTTGGTTTGTTGAATGACCATCTTAAGCTTCGCATAAGAGTTTATATACTGACAAACATACAACTCTCTCTTGCAAGTTGATCAGTGTTAGAAATAAATGAGCAGTCAATCAATGAATCAATCTATTTAGTGGGCTAATGATTGACTGTTCACAAATTCAAATAAATAAAATAAATGTCAAATATTATCTCCAACAACAGATATAAGATGCCATCAATCAAACATCACTACCAATCAGACCCGGAGTTCAGAGAGCGGCACAAGGCCTACATCAAAGAAAAGGTCAAGTGTGAGTGTGGCTTTGAAGTGGGTAGCACCAATCTCAATCGACACAAGCAGGGCTACATTCACAAACAGTTGATGGCCAACAAATAATTCTAAATGATATAAGTTTATTATCTCAAGTAAAGTTATAACATGCCAGCAACCTACATCACAACCAGACTCAACAACCTCGACTGTCAGATGAGACATTACGCGGGAGCCTACACTAGAGAGACGATCAGAAGGATTGCCCAACAGCTCAGCGATGATCTCAGGTTCCGTGGCTCAGCTGCTCGTCTCGAGGTAGCGATTGAGTACGCCAACCGTCAATATCGTTCAGGTAAGTTCACAAAGGCAGGTGATGCGATCAGCCTGTTCAACCCAGACGAGTATGATGGAGTCCCTCTCGATGACCTCACGATCAAGGGATTCTACATCTTTATCATTCATCCTAACCTCAGAGCAGGCGGCTGTGATGGCAAAGACAACGAYTGCYTCTACGACTGCATCAAAGCGGCATATCCAGACAAAGTGACCAAGCACTTTAGCAAGCCATGGATCTTCAAGCGATTTTTCAAACTAGAGCGCGATGCCAAGGTCCCACTCAATCTCATGTCAGCGATCGAGGACAAGCTCAACATGCGCATCAATGTCAAAGGTGATTACTGCAGGATCTCGACCAAGAGCAGCTGCGTCAGAGTCGTCAATCTCAAACTAACCAATGAGCACTACACTCTCGACAAGCAGGGAGCATTTAAGTCCAAGGGCATCATCCTCAAGCGATACAACGATGACAGAATACTGCCAGTCATGGCGTACAAGTGGGACGACGACAATGATCAGGTTCAACTCTACGATGGCACGAGCCACAGCACGATGAGCAAGGCGACACTCATCGATGAGCTCAAGAAACAAAAGTTCGACGGCAAGTGTCGTTACATCAAGGTGGAGGCTGTCAAGAAGAGGAGAAAGAAGCCTATCAAGACGCTGGAGGAGACATGGGAGGACTTCATCAGAGACGCCGACGCACTCAAAGAAGGTACCAATGTCGTCATCGACTTGTACTTTACAGGATCAAACATTAACAAGGCCGCCCTCAACCTATTCAGCAARTACAAYAAGCATGTCATTCCAGATATCATCGAACAGATGGAGGCAAAGTGGATAGCCAAGGCATCGAATGGACCATTGAGGTTCGCCGACACATWCACTGGCCCTCTCTACAAGTACGAYGTCTCTGGCATGTACGCYGCCATCATGAAGAGCAGTACCTTCTCAGTSCCRATCAAGARAGGCGAGTTCCATCAACTGACTGACGAGGAGCTCAGCGCCAAGTCTGGCATCCCCTTTGGCATCTACAGGGCGATCATCAAAGGTGAGCATCGAGCATTYAGACCCAGCGAGCACAACTATTATACTCACTACGACCTCACCTTTGCSCAGGAKCTAGGACTTACATTCAACCTGATYAAYGAYGRCAAGCACAATGCCCWACTCTWCCCARCTKGCAGRGTCAAYGGCAACATGCTGTTCGGCAAGTTCATCGATCAGGTACTAGAGTGGAAGGARGCAGGTGTGCCYCGCGCCAAGGAGCTCTATCAACGTCTCTGGGGYGCTCTCTCCAAGTACAACAAATCCAAAGAGTATGTCAACATCAAGGCAGAGWAGAATGTTGTMGTCGACAAGGAGCTCGGMATCACTGAYGTTTACTTCAAGGCCAGTCTSCCAGAGAAYCACTCRGTCGATGCGATGAACATCACGCACAATGGCAACGTCATGGTCAAGTCAATCAACAACCTCGACACGTTCGACACGCCATTCGCTCGCATCATGCCATTCATCATCTCTCGTGGTCGCAAGATGATTGGGACGATAATAAAGGATGACATTGACTGCATCAAGCGCGTGCACACTGATGGATTCGTCTCGACCAAGCCATGGACAGTCAGGACTGGCAAGAAGTCATTGGATTACCCCAAGTTGGGCAAGGACTGCGGCGACCTGCGCTACGAGGGCTATTGTGCCAATGCCATCGTCAACAACATGCTCAAGCCAGTTGGAGTGTTTGAAATATAATCTTTACTTCCATCAATATGGACGTAAAGACAGAGCTAGACGACTGGAAACAGATGGAGGAACTACAGAGGCAAGTTGATGAGTTAGAGAAGAGACTCCAATGTCCACGATCATATAGACAGACAGTAAAGTTACCTAGCCATGAGAACTGGGTGATACTCCGTCCTAGATCTGATTGGATTACAAGGGTGGAAGGTGGCAAGCTGGTATGGGGACCAGAAGCATGTGAAACCAGATAGGACCGACTACATAATATAATCTCTACATCCATCAATATGGACGTAAAGAATACCATCGACAGGAGTGGCAGCAACACCAACAAGTCGTACAATCAACAGTACTATGAGGACTTCAAAGATGAGATCAAGGCCTACAACACAGAGAGGATACCATGCGATTCTTGTGGCAAATTAATCTCTCGGCACATGATGAGGCAACACAAGAGAAGGAAGCATTTATGAGATGTTGGTGGCCACAGAACGTGTGTTTATTACAGTACTGTTGGTTGGATAACAGCGGTGCTCTGTCGGTGCTGGGATTAAAAGTGGCAAAACTCCCTCTGTCACACGTGAGGATCTATGGTTCATTAGAGCTACATTCCTGGCTCATTAGAGAACGGGTTTCCAGTTCCTAGTCTATACCCTTGACCGTATGAACTTTTACTACTGGTGTTCATCGGCGAGCCTGGATTCAAGGTTGGTGAAGGGGATCGGCTCCTCTCCAAGTTGAATCTCTCCAGTTGACCAGTGATCTTGGCTACCTGGGTCTGTTGATGGTGATCTCGGATCGCACCCTTGAGAAGTGCTTTCTTAAGGGCCAACTCTTTTCGGTGGACCTTCCTAATGCAAACTACATACATCCCCAGTTGCTGGTTTCCTCCAGCAACACTTGATACAGACAATGGCCTCATCACTCTCATCTTCCACATAGTTATTCTGAAAGTCGGTGTCTATTGTGTTTGTTATTGGTGGTGGAAGAGTAACAACGGCGGATTTTCCACAAGTGGATGGTGTTCTGAGAAAAGACATCTTGGCATTATAAGTGATAATAGACTATTAGGTATTGATATATCGATTAGATTACGAGTGATTTGATTGATCTCGTTAATGAACGTATTTATATCATTGGTTGCGGGTGTGTTAGAATTAACGTGGGTAGCCAGCTTCACCTGTTCGAGACCCTTGGCGTAGCAGTTAGTTAGTTGGCCAGAGGATGCACGCAAGTCGTATCTAAACTCTCTTTCTCAGAGTGATGACATAGGTGGTTTGGTTGACTCTGTAGACCGTCTTTCGTGAACTGTTGGCAAAGAATCAAACTGATGATATGGGAGAAATGGGATGACTTGAGCCAACCAGCTTCGAGACGTTGGCGATAATCGGGATCGTCCAAGCCACATGAAGTGAACTTGGATGATAGGCTAGGCATTGTTGAAGGTGTTCGTGAAGCCTTCGCGTCAGGGTTGGGACCAGCGTCGCCAGTGATCATTAAGTCGTCAGAGTCAATGGACAGTGGGGTGGGCAGAGGAATGGCAGAGGCGGTCTTGGCGGACTTTGAATCAACAACAGGCTTGCTCTTGCATGTTGTCTTGTTGTGGCCTGTTTGTTGGCAATTTCCACACCTGTTGGGCTTGCCTCTCTTGTTCTGTTTGTTGTCGTTCTTCTCGTTCTTCTTGTTCTTCTTGTTCTTCTTGTTCTTGCTGTGTTGTGGCTCTTCACCAAGCACAACGGACTCTTGTTGCTCGGGAATATCTTTGTGAAGGTCGTCCATCTCGTTCWGTTCCTCCTTTCCATTCAATGTCCTATTCCGCTGTGGTGCTGCCATCTTGGATCTGATATATAACAGGTGATCCCAAAACATCGTTGCAGGGATGTCCTCTGGGGCTAAGGGATGATCCTTCCAGAATGGATTCTGAGGGTCCAGGTACATCTCCTCGATCACTTTGATCAGTGTGATCACATCGGAAAGGGCTCGGTGTGGAAGTTGATTCACAATATCGTAGTGTTTGCTGAGGGTGCTCAACTGACGATTGGGCAATGCCAACCAGTTGGTATGATCGAGGGTTTCAATCATTCTGATATTGATTGGTATGGCAACATTGTAATGTGCAGAGGCCTTGATCAGCATGTGCGAGTCATAACCCTTGATATTGTGACCAACCAAGTAGATGGKTTGATGAGGATGGCGTCTCAGAGCTTCCAACCAACAGAAGAAAACTGGACCAACTGTTTGCCAATCGTACTTGAGATTAATAACCTCTTTAGAAGGGACAGCGCAGTGATTGAATCTGTGGAGGACACCTATTATAATATTAGAAGAATGTTAACAGGTTGTCCATTGTGTGATTGAATGATATGAAATGAATGAGTATGAATGAGTGACTGATTGGAGTAATTGAGTGATAGTGTGTGGGGGTTGGACTTACCCTTTCCAGGGTGGATAAGAGTTGAGAATGATCGTGAGGATTGGAGACAAACAGCTGCAATCTCACAAATGCCAATGTTTGTACCCTCAAGGTCAATCACTACAAAGATATCACCATCGATGTGAGATTCAGGTGATTCACCTTCAGGTTGGGACAGCTGGTATCGTTGAAGGATACTGAGCTCACCATCAACGATAGATGGGTCAGATGGTGCAGTGGCCGATTCTTGAAGCTGCACATGATCGCTCTGGGTGACATGGAGCTCGGTGCAAAGGTCTTCATGGTCTATCTGGGAAGGGTCTTGAACTTTCACCTTTTCAAGCTGTGATCGTTCTTTGTAGGCACATGTGTCAATGAGTGTGTCTGCATCGGCGTAACTCCATGAATGACTCTCTACTAGATGCTTCTTGAATCTGTTGACAGAGATGTATATCTTTGAACACGACTCATCAGGGCAAGGATGTCCTCTGGTCGTCTTGCTCTGGGTAGGGTCCAAGTTGCATGTTGATTGCCTGTAGGTGAGCCTCCTTCTCATACATGGATATGCCTTGGCAAACAACTTGAGGCTTGAGGTATCTAGCTTCTTGTTTGATGGACCTTGGGTTGATGGCTCTTGGACAGAGTGCTGGTCCTGTGTGGTTGTGGAAGCACTACCAGCGTTCCCTGTGTTCGGTTGAACAGCATTCTTGTTACCCGCGGGTGCCCCTACACCCTTGTCTCCAGTGTCGGCGGCGTTAGAGCGGCTGTCCAACTTGGATTGGTGACCTCTCGTGAACTTTGGAGTAAGCGCGGTGAGCAACGCTTGACAGAAGGACAGATCTTGATTTGAGTTGTAGTTGCGGGTCGTGTTGAAAACATTCTTATGTCCTTTGTATCTCGAGTCAACATTGTGCTTCTTGATGAGCTCCAATAATGCTGCCCTCTGATACTGATAGAACGACATGAAGTTGGGCTTGAAGACCTTCCTCCGCACGGTACTGAAGTACCACTCGACAAAATATAAGAAAAAAAAAAAGATCTTGGTGAGTGCTGGAGATTGTGGGAAATGTTTGTTGTGCCATGCTGCGAGATTGGTGAGACCATCTATAGTTGTCTGCAGGTGGTCCT